CTCTCTTTTTCTTGCTCTCTTTCTTTCTCTCAATCCTTTCTCTACTCTCTCTCTCCCTCTCTTCTCCCTCTCTCTCCTCTCCCCCCCTTGTCAATCTCTCTCTCATTCTTTGCACCGTATCTCTCTCTCTCTCTCTCTCTCTCTCTCTCTCTCTCTCTCTCTCTCTCTCTCTCTTTCTGTGTTCTAATGACCTATATATTGAAGGTGATTTTATAGAGAGACTGACTGAGGTATTCTCTCTGTTTATACCCCCTCTCTCTCCCTCTCCCTCTACCTCTCTCTCTCTCTCTCTCTCTGGTGGGGTTTGAATAGTGGATCAGGCTCTGCTGTATCTACAGAGAGATGCTTTTTTCTGGAACAGATGAAATTGGGACAGATTTTCTCTCCTCCCACACGCAGACCCACTCACTGTGAATAATACAGGGGAAAAAATCTGCTTATGCTAATTTGGGACATCATATGGCTGATTTCCTGTTGAAGGCTGTAGATGATGTTCAGATATGAAACACATGCGCTAGGTTATTATTCTATTTATTAACAAATGTTATTATTTTCATTTTTATTTCCTGTACACTGCCATAAGAAGCCTTCAGGAATACTACTGTAATCACAATGTCTGTGTCTGGACTCACTTAGTAGCACTAAAACTACTAGAGTGTAACATTAATATCTAGAATATAATATAAATAAACATCTAATTTCAGTATTTTTTATTGTTATTTTGAACCACTTAAAATCTGTATCAGCCAAAAGCTCTTGATATCGGTCGAGCCCTGTCTGTAGTGCACACTCTCTCTCCACCAGCCTGCTTCAGTTGCGTTTGTTTATAATAAAGCTCAGTTTGTGTAGCGAGTGAGATCTGATTAATGTGTGTTTAGATTCCCTGCTGAGGAACAGCAGAGCAGTGAGAACGTTCCAGAACAAATCTGCCCACTCAGCTTAGCACTCTTACTTTCACCGTGTTGATTTTTTTTTTTTTCTCTCTGCTCTTAAAGCAGCAGTTTGGTGAAAAATCTTTAAATGTAGCTAATCAACCAAATCATGTTTGGTGTCTGGAGTTTGCTTCTTTAGTTTCAGCACTGGAGCTACGAGGCTAATGTAGCTAATCTAAGTATTGGAAGCTTATGTATGATGATTAGCATGGTGCTGACTGCAGGCCTTAATCATCATTACACTCCCCTCAAAGTGTGTGGAGGTGTTCAGCATCTCTAATAGACTTGACTATGTGGTTTCTGACACTGTATGACTCACTGTTGTCTATAAACATGGACAGATTAGGTTTAAATTCTGCTGTGTGAATGAAGCTCCCTGCAGCCTGGCAGCTCTCAGAGCCGCAGATGGCACCTTTGTTGGCACTGTGATGTACATTTGCAGACACTTTGAGCTCAGGAGGAAACTCTGTGTTCCTAAAGTCTGAATGAGAGTGACCGATAGTATCAAAAATACAACATCACAATACTAAAAGGCATTTTCAAAGTTCAATATTTTATTTATTTATTTCTGAAGTTTGGAACAAGCAAATAGTGAACACACTTTAAAATTTGCAGAAAATGGCATGTTTGTGTGCGATTTCTATTTAAAGTGTGCTGTATATCCATTTTTAACAATTTTGGATATGAAGAGTTTTTGAAAAGAACAACAGCTGATGTTAAATAGAAAACTCATTATTGATTTGTGTTAATCATAATATACGCTCTTAGGTTACGTAGGTTATTTATAGCACCATGAACACTAAAATAACCCTTTGCATGATTAAAAGGTTCTTTACTTGGTGAAATAGTTTGATGGAGAATGTTTTGTATAAAGTTCTGTATAGAACCTTTTGAAAAAGGGTTCTATATAGCGCTAAAAAGGTTCTGCTGTTGTAACAAGCTCAAATCGTAACCAGATACACCACATTCTCCATCAACCTAAATTTTCCATCTCAATCTTTTTTAGTGCTGTATAGAACTACTTTCAAAACTATTCTATATAGAACCACATACAACACATTCAACACATGGTTCTTCAGATTGACAGAGAATGGGTTGTATATGGTTATATACAGCACCAAAAAGGGTTCTGCTATAGTTACAAGCTTGACATTGTCACAATAGTAGAACCCTTTTTAGTGCTATATAGAACCAACACATTCTCCATCCATCTAAAGAACAATTTCACCATGCAAAGAACCCTTTAATCATGCAAAGTGTTATTTTGAGTGTTCATGTTTCTATGTAGAACCATTTTCTTTACTAAAGAAACCTTGAAGAACCATCTTTTTTAAGTGTGTAGAGCTGTGATATTACTTGTAAAGCTGAACAGTGTGTAACATGCAACAGTGACAGTGGTCTGCACTGCAATTTGGGACGAGTTTACACATAAAATATGTACTTTTGCACACATTTTATTCATTATTTTGTACCCCAATACATTCAGATCAGCAAATAAACAGTAATTGTGTATTAGACTATTGTTTTCTGCAGAGGATGTGTTCACTTATTTTCACTAAGAAAATCAACAATGACATAGAATTTGACTGGGGTGCCCAAACTTTTGCACATGACTATACTATATGTTGTTTTTTGTTTACAGCCTCTGTGTAACCGGTCTAAATCCGAAATTATGCTTCATGCGGTTGTTTAGTGTTCTAGAAGTTCTGACCACACCCATCATACACTTACAAAAGAATATCGCTACAGTATTTATCGCAATAATGAGAATGTATCGTCATATCACCCAGCCCTGGAGCCGTATTATAGAAACAGCCTAACTCTGAATTCTGATCTGTTTAGTTTCCATGACGACTTCAGTAAAGACTGAATTTAGGGCAGTAGCTATTACAGAATAACAGTTCCTAACTTCATCATCTCATCATTAACTCCAGATAAGAAAACAGTATTACACAAACATCCTAACTAGACTAAATCTCCTAAATACTGTCCTAACTTTAGGATAAACCCCAACAGTGTCCTAACTTCTGTTTAAGTGTCTGTTTCTATCGTTTTTAGGCAGCTGTGTCAGGCAGCATAGTTCACTACTAGCATAATGACGCTACATTTATTTACACTGTAAAATGCTGCTTTCACTGAGAGATGTTTTTCTTTTCTAACTCTGCGTTTTAAAAATCTCAGACACTGCAGACTCGACCTCCACCATCATATTACTTTTGTGTGTTACTGTTGATGCTAAAATATCACAGTGATGATGGTGAATAATGGGGAGACAGAGCTGAACGTGTGTCTGTTTATTAGGAGGAATAACGTTAGCACGCTCGGCTAAAGCGTTTGAGAAATGGAGACTGAAACTGGGGAGTGGCGACGCTCTGATAAACAGCAGGGGGCGCTCTCACAGTATTCACAACTTACAGTTTATCACTCTTTAGTTTTGTTTTGACCTTTTATACATCAGTAACAGCAGCTGTAACTTACATTTTTAACATTATTTTGATTACGTTTACGTTTCAGCTGTGTGTGTATGGTCGGTTGCTAGGCAACAGACATGACAGCTGATTGTCGACTTTGACTTTCGAGTAGGTTAAGATTTCCTAACTGGAGATAAGATGCTGTAAGATAAGATAAAATTCCTAAATTAAGATCAGATTTGCTCCTGTAATATGAATTTGTGAAAAATCTTATCTTGACCTGTCAGATCTTAATGTAAGAGAAAGACAGGAAGTTTCTGTATTACAGCCTCTGATGTCTAGACCTCATTCTTTCAGAGAAAAGGACAGTCTGTACTACAGTTGTTCAGGTTGCAGCATGCTCGTCTCTTCAGCCGGTCAGTGGTGTGGTTTGTGCAGGTTTGTGCGTTGGTGGGCGGGGTGAAGGGAGCTTTATGTATACAGGATGTTGTGTGGGGTGAAGCCAAAATGAAGGATATTTCCTGTGTGTTATTTATAGAGCGGATCCTTCAGTTTCAGCACCGCAGCCAACACTGGCTCTAAACACACAAAACACAGAGGGGGGAGGGGCTAAACTGTCTGCCACTAGCAGGAACAGTGTGAATATACAGACATTAGAAAATATTGTTTTGAATTTTGCTATACAATATTTTTTTACATTTGTTTTGTGGGATGTACATAAACATCTGTATAACAACTGTCAGTGCTCTTATCCAAGATTTTCTCCAGATTTCCCACCCACACAAAAACAAAACTGAAGACAAACATCAAAAAACCACATCATAAACAACATATACAGTCATATGCAAGAGTTTGACCACCCCTGGTCAAATGACATGCTTTGTGGATTTTCCAAGTGACAAGAATTGAACACACCCTCTACAGAGAACACACACACACACACACACACACACACACACACACACACATATCACTGCTGTCGGAACAAAACCTGGTATCTCCAAAATGATAATTTTATAGGAGAAGGAAAAAACATACTTTACCTTTAATGTAAGTCAGTGGAACCAGAATTTCTTCCGAGTAATTTTGGGCCATTTCTTTTGGTCTGTTTGTCATGAAAATTACACTCAATGAAAAGGGCAATGGGCATTTTCAAATGATGTCAAAAACTGAACAATGACAAAAATAATAATACAAGGTTTTATATATGTATGTATGTATATATATATATATATATATATATATATATATATATATATATATTAAAAACATAAAGGCTACTATATGTAAACGTGATGGTTTTCATGACATCACAAAAACATAACGTAAAAAACACTGTCACTGCAGCTTGAGTTACCATATATCCCTATATACAGTGAACAGTACGTTATGAAACCATGTTTACATTAAACTGTTTTGTATTGAAGTTTGGTTTTCCACGATATGCAGCCTTTAAGAGTTGTTTTCCCCTTTCATTAAGCATGATTAATTGAAGGGGTGGGTTTTGTATTCCTAAGTGCGTCTCATGCCTATAAATAAACATATTTTGATGGGTGTGGTCTTGCATTTATGCTGTCATTTGAAAGCCTAGAGGACCAGAGACTGAGGCTGTAGTGGTTTCAAACTCCATTCTGAACTCTGTGATGTTGTCTTGCAGGTTTTAAATGAAGAATGTGACCAGAACTGGTACAAAGCAGAGTTGAACGGAAAAGAGGGCTTCATTCCCAAAAACTACATCGAAATGAAGCCGCATCCGTGAGTATGAGGCCAGAATCATATTTCTCTTTCTTTGAGGACTGAGTGTTTTAACCGTCACAGTAACGTAAGATTGGTCGGTGGGTTTGTACAGAAGGGCCGTGCATTTGTAATGCGTTGGCTGAGTGTTGTCATTTGCGTTTGCACTGTTGTGTTGAGTGTTTCTGGTCTGAGGGTTACTGCACTACTGCAGTGAGTCCACAGCTACACCAGTGCAGTTGTTACACCAAATTACCTGCTCAGATCACTGTGTTTGTCTTTACAGAATAAGGAACAGATCCGATCAGGCAGACCTGCTGTATCTGATCTGTTATTTTCTTTCAAGGAAAGTGATCAAATTCCACAAATTAATGAACTAATTGTTCTTTAAATTTTTTAATTAAAGTGTGAGATGTAAACAAAGTGATTCAGAGTAGTAGACAGAAAGATTTTATGTAATAGCTTTCTGTGAGGGAGCTTTTACAGATGGACGTCTTGTTCCTATCACCACCACTGTGAACAATAAGGCAGATTTATGTAATATTTCAAATATTTTGGTATCGATAAGATTTTATCAACAGAAATTGACTTTATAGTGATTTTTGTCTGATTTTCTACCTCAAGATTTTATCCTCATTTTTGAAAAATTAAGCATTTATGAAATTAATTTTATTACAACTTCATTCTCGATGTTCTACAGCTTTCTCAGTCATTTTATCTGAAATCTGTGAAGTAGGACAATAATAATAATAATAATAATAATAATAATGGTTTCAGAAGCTACAAATACTCCTTTCTTTTTATCGTTTTCCACATACTTCTCGTGTTTTAATAAGCGCCCTGCGTCTCTGGCGTTGCTCAGCGTTCTGAGTGGTCTCGGCGTCTCTGCTGACTGTGCTGTTGTAACAGATCTGGTACGCTGGAGGTTTTCGGCTGGTGTTTTTTCACTCTGCAGTGGTCGTTGGTGGAAGGCGGTGGGGGTTTTGGCTCTGAGGTTCTCGCTCTGTGGTTGTTATTGTGAGGTGTCGGCTGAGTTTGCGGTGTTGGAGCTTTATTTTGGACGCTCTCACTGCTGCCCGCTGTGTGAACTCCTGGGTTTAGTAAGGACAGTTATAATCCCCCTCCAGATACACTGTGATTCATATTCAGCTTGATCTGCAGAAACTGTGTGGCTCTCCAGGGTCCAACACTGAGTGAGCACGTGTTACAGATTGCTAGTCTTAATTATATTAACTCTTTGGACCCTAGATGTCTTATTGTTTTTACTCTTTAAATGATGATAATAAAGATTCAGTATGAATAGAATAGACGGTCTTAGACTGTATTTACTAAAAATGATTCAGTAACGTTCATGAAATATGTTAGAGTCCTTATGTGGATACTTTAGTCTCTAGTCTCCGCATAATGACCCTAAACGTTTATCATCCATGCTTAAATGATTAAAACATAGCTTTTTCACTGTATTTACCACCACTAATAATAATAATAAAACCATGACTGAATACAGTAAAGTGAAGTTTTGTGTGTTTAAACCATGGTCTGTTTTCATCAGGTGGTTTTATGGGAAGATCCCGCGGGCGAAGGCAGAGGAGATGCTGAATAAACAGAGGCATGATGGGGCTTTTCTCATCAGAGAGAGCGAGAGCGCACCAGGAGATTTCTCTCTGTCTGTCAAGTACGGCTATTCTGCTCTGTTCTGTTCTAGTCTGCAGTGTTCTGCTCTGTTCTCCTCTACTGTCCTGTTCTACTCTATTTGGTTTTGTTCTTTTGTGCTCTGTCGACCATATTGTTCACCTGATTACTGCATTTTGTGAAGTAACAACAGAAAAAGTAATAACAGGATTAATTATAGTGCACTTTTTGTAGCAGTGGCAGCTCAGAGTGCTTTACAGACAGGAGATAAAGCTTAACGGTAATAGAAGAAACTAAAAATATTAATTTAAAATCATATAAAGCAATAATACTGAACAAATTAAAAGAGACATAGAGTTTTAATGAAGTGCGTTAAAGAGCTGCGTTTTCAGATGTTTATTAAAAGTGGGCTCTGAGGTTGACTGTCTAATAGAAGGTGAACTGAGCTCCACAGTTTAGAAGCAGAATAACAGAAAGTCTCTCCATGTTTTCTGTGTTTTCCAAAAGGTGTTTAAAATCGTAAACAGACAGACATTCAGGAGCTTTAAGGTCATTTAGAGCTTTAAAAAACAGCAGCAGAGCTTTAAAATCTCTCCTAAAAGATCCAGGCAGTCAGTGCAGTGTGTAAACGGGGTGATATGAGCTCTCTGTGTTGGTCTTGTGAGGATCTGGGCTGCTGGGTTCTAGACAAGTTGTAGAGCATGGATTGTTTTCTCTAGTAAGAAGATCATTACAGTGATCAACTCTGCTGAACAAACGCAGCAACAGGTTTCTCTGCATCGCTCTGAAAGAGAAAAGGCTGAACTTTATTGATATTTCTCACATGATAAAAAGCTGCCTTAGTGACTGTGTTTAAATGCAGATGAAACAAAGCTCAGAGTCTTAAGATCACATCCAGGTTTCCTACTGCAGGTTTGGTGTATGAAGCTAAAGAGTTTCTCATAAAGCATTTTTCAGTACCGAGAATCAGTACTTTGACATACTTTATGGTTTTGGCTCTCAGTGTTAACAAAATTAAAATGTTAAAATGAGACGCCTTTATTAGCATAAACAATGGATGTAGGCCAGGGGTCGGCAACATGCGTCTCTTTGACCGCCCTGTTGCAGCTCCAGCAGAATTAAATTTTTAGGAATGAAAATAATCCTCCTTTGCAGTAAAATAAGGCTCTGCTGATCGTTCAAACACAGTTTTATCAATAAATGGTCTTAAACCCTGGAGTTAATGTAGAACTGCTTATTCACCCTTTAACCCTGAAGATCAGCGCAGACTGCTGGTCACCATAGCAACACAGACAACAATTTCACCTAGCTAGCAGCTAATGAAAAGGCAAAGAGAAAGATTTAAGATGAACATTGATAATTTGGAGGCAAATGGACTTTTGTGTCCATGGGCGTTTGTGTTTATAATCACTCCAGCTGGTTTCCTGATACGTTTAATGTGCAACAAGAAACTGACAAATACTAAAAAGTCACGGAACTGAAGTCAGCTTCTCATTCTTCAGCTGCTCGGAAAATTTTCAGAAAAGTTTCCTGCTGGTGATGCGAGAAAAGTGGCTACAGCTGGGCTAAAGTTATACTACAACATTAGCACATACTGAGACATGTTTACAGCCAAGATGGTAAAATGGACATAAAATGTTGTGGCTCCCAAAGTGGTTTGGTTTTTTTGTTGAAAGGACAAAATGGCTCTTCTTAACATTTGCGTTGCCGACCCCTGGGGTAGGCTATAAAAAGAATCCTCCAACTAAAGCAAAAGCTTGATGGGGTGAAGGAATAATGTGGTTTCTGTTCAGCTTTATTCCAGTCTTTTCTACTCTGTTTTGATTTGTTCGAACATAATTCACTTTACTTTGCTTTATTCTGCTCTGTTCTGTTCTATTCAGCTATTCAGCTTTACATTATCATATTCTTTTCTGTTACGCTCTACTCTGTCCTATTCCTTTCCATTCTGCTCTATTCTCGTCTGTGTTCTCTATTCAACTGTATTCTTATTGTGTGCCAGTAGGCTCATAATTCAGTCTTGTTTGTTTAGGCAGCGTAATAAGAAGTGAATTATTTATGTAAAACACCACAACAAATGTCTGTTCTCAGCTCTGTGCCTGTGAGTTAATGTGCTCTGTAAAACTGGGTCACTCATTTCTCTACAGATGGCCACAGTGCAGCATAAGTGTCTGAATCACTCAGAGTGCAGTTCATTCTGATTTACTGCAAAAATCAGAATATTAAACCTGGAACATTTTCCATTTCCTGCTCCTAGATTTGGGAATGACGTGCAGCACTTTAAAGTCCTGCGGGACGGGGCAGGGAAGTACTTCCTGTGGGTGGTGAAGTTTAACTCTCTGAATTCTCTGGTGGACTATCATCGCTCCACCTCCGTCTCCAGGAACCAGCCCATCTTCCTGAGAGACATCGAGCAGGTACCACAGGTGAGCCAGGCTCCGCCCACTGTGGAAGGTCAAATGGTAATAATTTTGATGATGAACATTTGGGATATTTTTCATGAAATGATGATGCTATTATGATACTCAGTTCAGTATTAACAGCAAGCTTCAAAAAGTTGCTATTTCAATATTTTTACACACACACACACACACACTGACGCTGCTGTCAGATATATTTATATGTTAGAGCTGGGCAATATGGCCAAAAATGTTATCACGATAAACAAAATTCATATCGTTCGATATCGATACAAATCGCGATGAATGTCAAATCATTATTTCTTTCAATAATGAGGGCTGATTTTTGCTCCTGGGTGGTTAATCGCTGTTTTAAACTATCCTTTATGGTCAGAACATGACAAACACTCGCCAAACAGTGGAAAATTTCACAAATCTGTCTTGGGAGAGTGGGAGAGAGTGTCTGGTTGTCTGTTTTTACCAGCTGGAAAAGCATGGCCGCAGTTTTTGTAGTAGTCATAATTTAAGAAAGAAAACAGATTATTTTTAGCTGTCTGGTGATGAGTGCTAGGTTATCCCGTTACAAATGCTAAACAAATGCTAAACAAATGGCCAACAACAGTGCTAAACTGTTCAGTTTCTCAACAACGTCAACTTAGTAAGAACAGTGAACATTAGCTGGCTCGGTACGTCAGTGATGGATCACACCGCCTTACTGCCATCACTCCTAACACATCCATGTATTCAGACACCAGCTAGCAGACGTCTGGATTTCTCTATTGTAATTTGAGGGGTGAGCCGCAATATATCTAATACCAGACAAACAGAGTCCTTTTAGGCATGTTTAAACTGAAAGCGGTGCTTTTGTGTCTTGTCTGATCTACAGTGTCATCAATTCACCGTGTAGTGCAAGTGATGGAGCGCTGCTTCAAGTTAGCCAGCTAGCCTGGAAAGATGGCATTCTCCAGCTCTCCAATGCCTCACGGCATCCTCAGTTTACTTTCGTTTAAATCAGGGCTGTAACTTGTATGAACCCACCTCTTTCTTTCACTTTCATTGCTTGAGAATGCACTAATACATGACTTTCTGAGCGCTGTAACACAGCGCTGCGGTTGTGAGTATCAGACGTGATTTAGCGCTGCTAAAGCTTGTTAGGATGTAAGGAAAGAGGTGAGTTCACTGTAGTTCAGTACAGTTACGCCACAGATCTCATCACTCGCACTTGGTCACAGGCGAACAGATCGCCAATCGCTCCACTCAAACAGGGAATGTATAACTCCATGTTTCAGACTTTGCTTAAGTATAGTGGCCCCCCTCCCTCTCTTATCATGCCAAAAAACTCGGAAGTGCGCCCTGTTCCGGCGACAGCAGAGTAGTATCGTTTTCCTTGCAGTAGGGCTGTCGCTAGAATGTGGAAGTGTGAGAATGGTGCATTATATCGAAAATTTATTGAACATTTCTTATAGTTATATCAAGAAAAGTTGTATTGCGATACTTATTGTTATCATTTTATCTCCCAGTCCTATTATATGTGTATATATATATATATATATATATAAAAATAGCCTTCAACCAACATTTGATGACCTTTTATTATGCTGGAAAAGCAGAATGTTAAAGGCACAGTATGTAAGATTTAGAACCCTCTAGTGATGAGGTTGCAGACTGCAACCAACTGATTCCCCTCCCTCACCCATTCCCTTTTCAAGCATGTAGTAGAACCTATCCTGTCCTGATTTCGTTTTGCTTCTTCGTATTTTCCCTTTTTTGATAGTGAGGATTCACCTTCTCTCGCTTTTTCTCATGCTAAATAATAATTCTGATCCTCCATTTGTCAAAATTTGGGTTCTCAAACTTCTCACAACACAAAATGTTTAGCCAGCACTGGCAAAATCACTGATTCTTCTTTCCAACTGAAGCTACAACACCACCAGATTGAAGCTGCCACTTCAGCGTAAAAGCACGAAAGACACCCTCTAGAGCCGGCGTTTGATTTGTCCATTCTGGGCTACTGTAGAAATATGGCAGCACAACATTGCGGCCTCTGTTGCAAAAGGAGCTGCTGCCTATGTAGGTATGAAGGGCTCATTCTAAGATAATGAAAACACAACTATTCGTATACAGGTGATTATACACTAATAAACACATGGTTTTATTACTATATTCCATTTCTGCTGATAGATCCCCCACAATCTTGTTAGGCCTGTCATGATTATGACGTAGTCACCTAATCACAAGTGTGATGTGTGCTGGCTCAAACAAACAAATGTAAATAAAAGAGAACAGTATGTGCCTTCACTGAGACATCATGGGGCTTATGGAAATAAAAAATAATTTAATAATTTAATTTTTTACCTGTGTAGCCAATTATGTTTTTTGCTTGTAACTACCTTTGTGTGAATGTGTGCATAGTATAGATTCAACAACACAGCCAGTGTTAGCGACAAAGTAAACATAACAAGCAAGTAAAGTGGCTAATCAGGCAATTTGGGCCAAATGCTTGTGTTTAATAGCTGCAATTCAAGAACAAGACAGTTGAATCATTTATCACAGTGATTTCTATGATAGTTTTTTGCCAGGATTCTGACAGCCCTGCACTGTTACTGCACTAAAATAGTAGCTTTTTTTAAATTTTACTTCATTTACCTCTAACCTGCACACACAACTGTTACATTTCTCTGTAATGCTGATCCAGATTGATTTAGTGTCAGTTTCTGTGATGCGACAAATGTGTACAAAAATATCAGATACAAGCATCGGTCTGGAATTTGGGAACAAGTATGGGAATTCTATGTACATTTTTTCATATATAGCAAATCATATTCAAAAAGTATAAAATACACAAAAGTTTGCGCATCCCGGTCAAATTTCATGTTGTGTTGAGTTTCTGTGTGTAAATAAGTTAACACAGCTTCTACAGAGAATTCACTTTAATGCACAATTACTGTTTATTTGCTGAATTTAAGACACTGGGGGAAAAAAACGTAAAATGTGGCTTGTGGCAAATCTGAAATTTTATGTTTAATTTTTTTCCGATATGTTAAACATGAAGTTAGCTTGTTAGTTCTCTGTAGAGGATGTTACCTTACTTTCACTTAGAAGATCAACAAAATGTAATTTTTGCATATGATTACATAATAGTATACTGTAATTATTTATGTTAATTCCTTGATTAACTGTGCCTGAGATTTGATCACCACTTTAAAAATGCAGGGCACTTTGGTTACTAATGCTTACTTATTAGAACTTCTGCTTATTCTTGAAGTTTTACAGCTGTTTTTATCAGTCACCTTAGTCTTCCACAGCTCTACTCATCATTCTAGACACCTCTAACATTTCTTTATTATATAATCTGTAGCATCATAATAAAATCGTTTTATGTGTTTATCTGCAACATTTTTCTCTAAATGTTATTAAAGAGAGACTTTTGAACTGTAATTTAGAACTCTATATATGTTATACATCATTGAGTTCTCTTGGCCATGTTTGCTCTGACGAATGAATGAAGCTGCTTAATGTTGTTCTGATTCTGGTTGTGTTTCTGCAGCATTCCACGTACGTGCAGGCTCTGTTCGACTTCGACCCGCAGGAGGAGGGCGAGCTAGGGCTTCAGACGCGGCGATTTCGTCCAGGTGCTGGACAACTCGGACCCTAACTGGTGGAAGGGGGCATGCCACGGCCAGACCGGAATGTTCCCACGCAACTACGTCACCCCTGTCACTCAAAACATGTAACCGCGTGCCGACGCAATGTAAAGAATGCAAAAAAGAAAAAAAACACACAAAAAACAAAAACACAAACTGAAACTGTCTGTTAAGGCAAACGAGGACTTCCAGTGGGGGGTTGCCATGGAAACAGAGACCGTGGAGGAGAGTCGGGGAAGAAAAGGCCGGACTGATGCCTCCGATTGCTGATTGGCTGAGAGCGACGGAACGGGGTCTGCTATTGGTTGGCAGTGCGGCGAAGCTGATTGGCTGGAAGATTAGCGAACCCAGCTGGTTATAGTGCTGTGTGAAGTGTTGAAGCGCTGGCAGTGAACCTAAAAAACCTCAAACTGTGCTGCTTTCTACACGCCTGTTCCTCTCATACTACACAGTCAGCTGCAGAATTCTGATGTACAGTATTACGACCGGAAAAAAATTAATAATAAATAAGGGACTGTGCAAAGCTGTAGACGAGTGAAGGGTTTCGCACTGAAGTGTGAAACTGAAAGATATTCCACAGTATGTATCGTTTTGAATGCGTATTTTACCTGTTGCGGTTGTATGTTATCGTTCTTTCTTAAATGTTTCTCTCTCTGTTTTGTGCGATTGAGGATAGTTGAAGGTTATCAGTAATAATGTCATTATTACTGTACTCTGTAATCTGTAATATCAGTAATAATGTTGTTTTCAGCAATCGTCGTCTGCTCAGCATGCACAAATCTCCTAATTCTGGTATAAAATATCTAATGATGTCATGGGGCTAGTGATGCCAAGAGGGCTGCTGCAGAAATCCTGGCTGTGGTTCATGAAGCAAACCTGACTAATCATTACATGCTTGAGGTTTAGGCATACTTTATATATTTCAAATAAAAATTTCTGGAGTACAATCTCTGTAAATCTCACTAAATCTGCTGCAGGAGCCACGCGCTGACCAGCTCCATCAGAGTGTAATATCTGTGAGACTGACCAACATGTCTGTTTGCCTTTAAAGCCCCACTTGGGATGATTTGAGTAACGTAGGTGACATTTTTGAACATGCTTTATTTTTGGATCTTAATTCATCCAAGAAGAGAGTCCTTAAAGGGGAATTCCTTCGTTTGTTTTTGAAAATGTCCTGAAATGGTTAAAATGTCAGAGAGGTTTGTTGGGAAACTTACCAGCTTGAATTTTTTTTGCAGTGGTGGTGATAGGAACCAGGGGTCACCATGACTACAACACTAATATAGACATTTTACTGTCCAAAGCCACCAAAAAACCTACTCGTGTCTTCTGAGTTTTATATGGAATGTTGATGATGGGAAAATAGTGGAAAATCTGAAATAATTTTCTTTGGGGACTATTTTGCTTCAGCATGTATCCCTCCACCATGAATAAAGGCCAAATTCTTCTTAAAACTATTGTAAACAATGTCTCAGACATCAGGCAGTGTATTCATAACCATTTCATGTAATAACTTTCTGTGAGGGAGCTTTTAGAGGTGGACGTCTGGTTCCTATCACCACCACTGTGAACAATTCTAAGTTTCTCTAGAACAGAGCGTTTTAGACCAAACCACTCTGAATGACTCTATTTAAATCTTAACCATTTAATTATGCAAAATTTTGAAAAATAAATGAAATTCCCATTTAACTTTTAGACCTATTTTATTACTTGACTATTTCTGAATAGTTAGGAATCCCCCCTTATCCTAGATGTGTTTAATCAGCCAAGATAAGTCTGCTGCTTTGATTTTGCACTGGAACTCCAAGGGTAATGTAGCTAACAAATAATGCATTTGCATAATTAGCATGTTGCGAACTCCAGGCTAAATCATAGCACACTCGTCTTAAAGCATGTGGAGTTGTAATCTTTAATAAACTTTAATAAATAGAATAATATATTTTGGAGTACAATCTCAGTATGTGGTTTCTGATACCGTATGACACCTTAAAGAGATGATTTTTCAATGGTTCTTTAGTAAAGGCAATGGTTCTATTTAGAACTCTTAGTTCTGTGAATGCATGCGCATTCCGTTTAATACTTGAATGGTTTTTTGCATGGTGAAATGGTTCTTCATGGAGAATGTGGTTCTATATAGCACCAAAAACGGTTCTTCTATTGTTATAAGCTTGACATTGTCACAATAGCAGCACCATTTTTTGTGCTATATAGAACCAACAAACTCTCCATCAATCTGAAGAACAATTTCACCATGCAGAGAACCATTTACGCGTGAGTTTTTAATAGAACCATTGCCTTTACTAAAGCAACTTTAAAGAACCACCTTTTTAAAGAGTGCACTGTTAAAACATGGACTACAGTGCATTAGCATAGCTAAAAACATTAGCAGCAGTTTAAGTCTGTATTTTGTCTGTATTTGTGTCCTTTTTTAAATATTCCTTTAATACTGAAGAGTTTAGTGCTGTGTAAACTCAAAATCATTCTGAATGGGGATTTAATCCATGAATTCAGGTGTTAAACCGGTAAACTAGCACATTAGCTGCCTGCTAACGGGTATTATTGTGTTGCCATTAGCTGAGCTCGGTGCCTTTCCACCTTTCTGTACAGATAATACCGTATTACACTGTAAAGTGATGAGATGAGGTTTGTACTTTTGCTGTTAAGCTAGTAGAAAGTATTGTCTTTGCTGTTGATGATTTTGTTTATAGACCTTTTCATTTAGAGTGTAAAGTCCTGTCATGCTAACATGGTAACATGCTACACATACAGAAATCTGATCTATGGCAATATATATGGATTTCAAATATATGACATATACTAACGTGAACTTCCCTTATATCTTTGATTTTGTCACATATGGATGTATTTTGTTACATATATGCCAACTTTTTTGAAACTGTCCATTTTCAATATGGGACATACATTTCAGCCATATTGCAAACATATATGTGTAACTGGTAAATTTAACAATGTGATTAAAAAAAAGTTCATATATGGATGGAATATATGACTCATATGTGCTAGCTTCATGTTCTATAGGATTTGTATATTTCATTTTGATTTTTTTGTTTTAAAAATCGTTCTTTTTTATTAGAAATATATTAGGCATATTTTATGCGTATATGGACACTACATATATGGCCATATATCAAATTTCTGTATGGGTAGCGCTGTTTTATTTCTGTTATCGAAAAATATAAACTGTTCCATTACAGATATTGACATTCCGATTGTTGTTTCGGGTTGAGATTTGGGACTGGAGAGTTTTGTTTTATATCTGTTTCAATGATTATATCACTAGTCATTGATTGACAGCTAATGAGATGTCAGCAGTGTGCTAGAGCCTTCATTAGCCTATACAGCTGAATGAAAAGTCTTGTGTTGTATACAATCATTCTGTTCATTTTCACAGCCGGTGACTGAGCCGTTTGAACCTTGAGCGTGCTGTTTTATCCACTGTACCATCAATAGAAATGTCTGTAATTTTCTAATGTCATAAAATAGCTTTCACAATCGCATCATGCCTCTGATCTGACATTACTGAACCTTCACTGTGAATAAGACTGAAGCCTTAAAAGGCCCTTATCCCGTGTTTTTTGTGTATTTTAGTTTTTCCCCTGGCATTTATGCACCAAAAGCAGTCGTAATCCATCTTTTATGTGATCAGCCGCTCTTTATTCCTTACAATGTAACAGGCTTACTGAGCCTTTAAGGCTGATATGTTAATGAGCTGTTCTGATTGGCTGCCTTGCAAAAATGCTCCTTATAACTTCAGTGTGAATGGGCGGGGCTAACCTGCTCTACACTCTTAAAAAAGATGGTTTTTCAAGGGTTCTTTAGTAAAGACTGGTTCTATATAGAACCATGAACACTCAAAGAACCATCTTTATGCATTAAGGGTTCTCTGCATGGTGAAATCGTCCTTCGGTTTGATTTCTTGGTTCTATATAGCACAAAAAGGGTTCTATTGTGACAGTGTCAAGCTTGTGTAACAATAGCAGAGCTCTTTTTGGTTCTGTAAAGAACCGTATACAACCCATTGTATGTCAGTCTGAAGAACCATTTGTTGAATGTGTTGTGTATGGTTCTATATAGAACCTTTTTTGAAAATAGTTGTATATATAGCACCAAAAAAGGGTTCTGCTGTTGTGATGATGTCAAGCTTGTAACGGTAGCGGTAACCTTTCCGAAAAGGATCTAAATAGAGCCGTGTACAACATATTGTCCATCAATCTAAAGAACGACTGCCTCATGCAGAGAACCATTTATGCATTCAAAGGGCTCTGTGAGTGTTCATGGTTTCATGTACAACTATTGTCTTTACTAAAGAACCCTTGAAGAACCAGCTGTTTTCAGATTATAGGCTTAACAGGTGAATATTTGTTGCTGCATTGTTTTTCCATGACATAAAAACAGGAAGTTTGTTTTAGAATAACAGTGTTTGCGTTCTACATAAAACTCTTAATGCAAAAAAAGGCGAATAACGTTCAGTTTTTCAAAGATATGGGTGCTTTGAGACTCCGCAGGACTCTTGCAGGGTCACATGAGGTCAGCCTGGAGGGTTTGTTATTCTTCGGCCCTCTGTTTCAGAGTGTCCTTGAGTGAATAAAGCTGTGTTATGTAACAGTCTAGCAGAATCAGCTGGAGTGAAGGGTCACTTCTCTGGACCAGATGCACTAGTCACTCAGTTTGGGGCTTTTTGTTGTACAAGCTCATTGTTTTCATCACAATCTTGCCAAATACATTTGATTTCGAGTGTAACAAAGAGTCGTCTTACTCTTGGCTGACTTTTTCCCTCATAAAGGAGAGAGTTTATGGTGTGTTTCAGCTGTTTTCCCTCTATGATCCATAAAACTCAATAGAAGACATGCTCATGTTTGCTTTTCTTTCTATTCCCATCACACTGTAAGTGTAAACAGAAATATGGTTGTTGGTTTATTGCTGGACTTTATTTGGACTTTGTCTCTTTGAAAAGTTTATGATGTGTATGTGAAGAGGGAAAAATACATTTCAGTGTTTTGCCTCATAAATGTGTTTGAATTTGTAATGTTTCTCCTGCTGAATTGCTCTGAATTCTCTCCACAGGTAAGGCAAGGTCACTGTGAATTGTTCTGTGGCTTTCTGGAAGCTGCTGGATTACATCACAGTTGATTGAAATGATCTAAACAGACTTATCCATTCTGTTTGAATCTAATCTAGAAGTCTAACCACAGGAATTTCCTTCTGTATGGGATTCTGAAACACTCACAGTGAAACTGGACACATGATGTGATCTTCCTGTCCGTGTGGCTGCTGTTCATGGGCATAAACTAATCTAGCGGTGCAATAACTGGTGTATATATATACAACCTCTCCTGAGCTCCCTCTTTAAAGCGCAGATCCCATAAGAGTGTTATTACAGCCCATAATATGACTTATAAATGATATTGTTTGGATTGACATGTCACACTGCACTGATAAAAACAAATTACTCAAATTACTGTTCTCGGGCCTTACTACTTTAAAAAGCTTGTTATTTGTCGCCCCCTAGAGGCCATTTCTCAGTACAGCGCCTGGACTCACAAATTTCACTACAGGTTCATTTCAGACTTGTTTAGTGTTAGAAAAAAAATAGCTGTAGTTATCATACTTAACTAGCATTGTTCTCTTTGAATGTTTCAAAATAAAACTAGTCTTGCGTACTATTTAAAAATAATGGAGGTCCATTTTAAAATCTAAAGTCTTTCCTTGCCAAAGAATCCATGTTCTCTTTTTTAAGTGCCCTAAGTAGGGACCATGTGCGCAGTTTCGTGCTTAGTGCTGAATTTTGGCGCACTTGGCGCTTGTACACATGAAGACTTTGACAGATTTCTACCCGAGTCTGAGTTGTAGAAAAAAGTGTGTCCTGGCTGAGCATCCTAGAAAGCGAGTATGCACAAGACAAATGTTCTAGAACACAAGTGTGCATCTGATAAGCCTTCTGGAACGCAAATGTGCACCATTTAAGCGTTGCAGAACACAAATGCGCATCTGCAAAGCATCCTAGAGCACAAGCAGCCATCTCCTAATTGTACTAGAATGCAAGTGTGCATCTGCAAAGCATTCAAGAACGCAAGTAAGCATCTGCTGAGCGTTCTTCACCGCAAGCACGCCTACTGGGACGTGGCCAGTCTTCGGCTACGTCATACGCATGCGCATTTTGACCCCAGCAGCGAGCCGGCGGGAGGAAATTGAAGTGTGTATCGCATTAAGCTGCTTTGAGTGAGTTACTACATCATTTATTACACTTTACGTTTGTATTTCAAGCTCGGCGTGTTGTGTATTTATGCTGAAATTCGTTTTTATTTCTTTATTTAGTGGGCTTTTCAGACGAAGCTAAAGCCAGCTTCCTATTCGCCAGCTCCTTGTTCGAATTTTCCCGTTCCACCTTAAATGGTGCCGCAGTTACATTCTGGCGCCTGCTGCACCGTTTAAGGTGGAACGGGAAAACTCGAACAAGGAGCTGGCGAATAGTATAAACAGTGAGTATAATAAAATAAATATAGAGACAGCATTAATTTTCTTAGTTAATTAGGTTACTTTCCCTTGTCTATAACTATCATTGCTTTTGGTACAAACTCTGTGTTTTTCCTCTCTTTACACGACCCCCAGAAGTTCCTGTCTTCCTTACTAAGCATGGATCACATGAGGGAGGAGTGCAAGATCCAGGCTTTCGACTCAGAAACTCAGCACCTGATTAAAGCAGCACTAAAAGGTATAACTGAGTCATATCTGTGACATATGGAGCTCATGATAACTTCATTGCGTTTAAGGGAAATTCTACCTTGTGTTTCAAATTCCTCCATAATCCAGTGTGTGAGATGTAAACAGAGTGATTCAGAGTAGTTTGGTGTGAAATGGTTACAGTGGTGGTGATAGGAACCAGGGGTCACCATGACTACAACATAAATATAGACGTTTTATTTACTATCCAAAACCTCCAGTGAACCTACACGTGTCTTCTGAGTTTATATGGAATGTTGAAGCTGGGAAAAAAGTGACAAATTTGAGTTTTGCTGTTTTGCTTTGCAATTCCTTGCATGTATCCCCTTTATAAATATGTTTTAAGACCAAAATCTTTTCAAAACTATCATAAAACAATGTGCCAGACATCAGACAGTGCCGCTCTTTTCATGTAATAACTTTCTGTGAGAGAGCTTTTAGAGCGAACAATTCTACTCGGTGAGTTTCTCTAGAACAGAGCTTTTCACAACAAACCACTCCAGATGACTCTGTTTACATTGTAACCATTTAATTATTTAGAAAATTTGAAATAAATTGGTGAAATTTCTCTGTAATGTAGAAAATATGGATTCTTAAATAAAGATATATGCAGCTGTTATGGTAACATTTATAAAATGTTGTTTGCCCTCTTTTTTTCTCATCCAGACCCCTCTGCAGTCGACTTAGGAAAGCTGTCTGAAGCCATTGTGGACCAGTCACTGAAGGACAGGTCCTTATGCAGAGATGCAGGACACATCTGCTATGCTTTAGTACAGGTGAAGATTCAATCAGTTATTCCTGACTTTAAAGGGAAAATTGACAAAAATTTCAAAATTACCACATAATTAAATGGTTAAGATGTAAATAGAGTCGTTCAGTGTGGTTTGGTGTGAAATGTTCAGTTCTAGAGAAACTTACTGAGTCAGAACTGTTCACAGTGGTGGTGATATGAACCAGACATCCACCTCTAAAAGGTCCCTCACAGAAGGTTATTACATGAAATGGTTATTAATTCAGTACTGGATGTCTGAGACACTGTTTTACAATAGTTTTGAGGAGGTTTAGGTTCAAAACCATATATTTAATATTTATTCATGGTGGAGGGATCATGCAGGGTGCAGGCAAAATAGTCCCCAAAGAAAACGTGTTATTTCAGATTTTCCACTATTTTCCCATCATCAACATTCCATATAAAACTCAGGAGACAAGTGTAGGTTCACTAGTTGTTTTGAATAGTAAATAAAATGTCTATATTTGTGTTGTAGTCATGGTGACCACTGGTTCCTGTCACCACCACTGTAAAGAAATCTGAACCATTTCACACCAAACCCCTCTGAATTACTCTGTTTACATCCTAACAATTAAAGTATAAAGTTTTGTAAATTTTGAAAAATTGGTAGAATTCCCCTTTGCATCCCTAGTCAAAGTCATTCAGCTTTGTTGGGAATAAAGTCTATGTTGAATTTACACCACTGGTCTCCAGCCTTCCTCCTGGTGGCAAGTTCTCATATATATATATATATATATATATATATATATATATATATATATATATATATTATATATATATATATATATATATATATAATATTCATACATATAGCATATTTCATACACAAAGGCAATTCAGAGAGTTTGAAATAAGTAAAAGCAATATAAAAACAGCGTAACAACAGATGGCAAATGACGTTAAAGGACTTCACAACAGTAAAAAAATAAATAAGTTGCACACAATACTACTAAAGTCTTTTCCAGTACCCAAAGTAAAGATGGTCCACACGTCAGTGTCATCAGAAGACCCTGATTAGCCACATCAGGTGTGTTCAGGAGCGTAGAGGTCCCGGAGCAAGACTGACAGTTCTTATTGGTGCTTTCTCAAGCTAAGAACAATCTGTTGTTTGCTGTTGATATCACTAAATTGGCTTTGTGGTACTGATAACGCAGAAGGCTGCAGTATGCAAATGAGCCCTCTAACCAATTGCAAATGTTGTTCTTTATGTCATGTGAGCATCCTGACCCACCTCAGATGATCCAGAAGAGTTTCTTCAAGTGTTTTGATAAATTAAGGTGTTCTAAGTAATGCAGGTAGATATCAGGGGCTGGTATATAGATACATTGCACTTCTAGCCATTCTGCTCAAGAACTGATGTTTTTCTTGGAAGATTTACTTGCATAGCTTTAATTATTTGCATCTCTACATCACAGACGGAGGCAAAACACAGCAATATGAACGTGTTTCGGAGAAACCTGCTGACCCGACTCCAGAAAGAGTTCATGGAGAGAGAAGAGACGCGCAAGCGCTCTGTGCAGGAGTGGGTGTGCGTCGTCTCCTTCATCTGTAACGTATTCGATTACCTGAAGGTAAGTGCTTCTAGTACACAGTTCTTTTACTGTGAATGCAGTTCTTATTGGGCTGAAAGCCGATTAGATCTGGGTGATTTGTTGTTAAACCTATGTTCAGGTGTTTGCGCGTGATTATGTATACATATGTGGTACATGGTTTGTTAGTCTAAATCGTTGTGCTCAAACTAATCCGTGTTTTAAGTTTATAGAGAAGGAACAATATTCTTAAATTTAAGAGTTGCAGAGTTTTTATATTAGAGTGGCGATATTTTCACGGTAGAATCAATGATGTGCTTTCTGTGCAGGTGAACAACGCCCCCATGACTGCGCTGGTGGATCCAGTGTATGACTGTTTGTTCAGGTTGTCTCAGCCAGATGCTCTATTGAATGAGGAGGAGGTGAGTCATTGCGAATTTTAATTTATTACAACTGCCTATGCCTGTCTACCCGTAAACACATCTCTGCACACCTGTCCAGACCTTGTACATACCTGTCTACCCATATACACATCTCTGTACACCGATCTACATGTTATACGTATCTCACAAGTCATATATACACATCTCTGTACACCTGTCTACACCCCATACATACCTGTCTACTCGTACAGAGATGTGTCTGCCTACACCTTATACATACTTGTCTGCACATACACACAACTATAAACCTGTCCACACCCCTCATGCACACCTGTCTACCCATATATACATCTCTGTACACCTGTCTTCTCTCTGCATCTGTCTCCACCATTCAGCTGAGGTGAGGTTGTGTGAACTAACCATGTGTCTGTGTGTGTGTATGTATGTGTTTCTAAATGTTTACACACAGATCCCATCTATATATATATCTCCATAATGTTCGGGACTTCACGAGGCATATTATTTATTTGCCTTTGTACTACATAGTTTTAAATTTGTACTCAAACAATTTACATGAGGTTAAGTGCACATTCTTAGATTTTATCAAAAGGTTTTTCACCATGTAGAAATTACAGCACTTTTTATTCAGTTAAATGTTCTACAAATCTAAACTAGGTAAACTCTCTGTATGCATTTTTGACAGGTGGACTGTTTAGCGCTGCAGTTACACCGCGTGGGTGAACAGCTGGAAAAGCTGAACGCCCAGCGCATGGACCAGCTGTTCTACTTGCTGCGAGATGGCTTCCTGTTGCAGGACGACCTGAGCTCCATGACCCGCCTGCTGCTGCTGGAGGTGCTGGAGTTTCGGGCCAGCGGCTGGACCCTCAGTGCTGCAGCCCAGCGGTACTACTACAGCGAGGTGGTGGACTGAACCAGCATAACGGTGCTTTTACTCCAGCAGGGTGACACCCTGCCAGCTTTGGAGTTCAGCCAGCTGTTCTGGAGCTGGTGCGGACCGGTTGGAGAGAGTTTAGAGGAGGTTTGGGAGGCCCGAGCTTGGTGTGGTTGAAGCAGTTGTGTGTTTGTGGGCTCGTTGCCTGCAACTCTGCTCGTACGTTTGGTTATATGGTGTTTAAATTTGAAGGCAGTCATGAGTGGTTCTGTTATGTCGTCTCAGTTACAGTTTGTGCAATGGCACCACCGAGGGACAGTCAGTAAACCCTGAAAGGGTATATGTATGAGGTGGTGAGCCAAATAAAGCATGAAAAATGAGAGCAGTGACCCTGAAAAAGAACTATAGTAACACAACAGAAACTTCTACAGAGTAACACTGCAGTAAATTCAGGCATTTACTGTAGTTCTCTATACAAGTATTATAAATTACAATAGGACAGTTCTACAGGAATATATCAGGAAAATATAAGAGATTATTATAGAAATGTTATACAGCACTACAGAAATAGTAATGCTGTAGCTCTTTTTTGTAAGGGTGCACTTCTTACTCTTTTTGGTAATTGGTTGGTGGTTTTCTTTACTATGGATGCTTTATACTAATGTGAATTTTGTAATTGTTTAAACATTTTTTACATTCCAAAAGATTTCAAATAAAGTCTAAGTTAAAAGGGAATCCCACCAATTTGTCAGTTTCTGTGTTAATTCAGTGGTTGTGGTGTAGACAAAAATAGTTATTCACAGTGATTTTATGTGAAACAATTTGTTGTGGAGACTCAGTGGTGGTTTTCTTCTTGGGGACTATTCTTCTAGTCTTGGGGACTATTTTGCCTCACAGCACCCTGCATGTATCCCACCGCCATGAGTGGATTTTGAAAAAATATGTGTTGGGTCAAACTGTTCTCCAAACTATCGTAAAATAATGTCTCAGATGTCTAGCAGTGTATTCATAACCAATTATTTTTCTATTAAGCACAAGGAAAATATCCCAAAAAAAGACAAGGAATACATACTGATCACAACAGACAATGTTTAAACAGCAGAGGTGGAAATGATGTTTACAACACAAAAGAACACAACAAGCAAGGAGATATTGATATACCCCACTGATAACGAGAGAAGGCAGGTTTAAAAAAGGGACAGTCAAGTGAAAAATACATAGAGCAAAAAGGATCGAACTAAGAGCTTAAAAAAAAAGCAAGGACCGAGATACAGATGTATACAATTTTTTGAACCTTTCTATTAATTTTTCCCATATTTTGCAGTGACTTAAAGTTTCGCTTACAAGCATGAATATAACATTTACCCAAAATAATAACACGATTCACAGTATTTAATATGTCAGTATCCAAGTTGTCCAATCCAACATTCATAACCATTTCATGTAATAACTTTGTATGAGGGACCTTTTAGAGGTGGACATCTGGTTCCTATCACTACCACTGTGAAAAAATTTGAATTGGCAAGTTTCTCTAGAACGGAAAATTTTACACCAAACCACTCTGAATTACTGTATTTACATTTTAACCATTTAATTATGTAATAAGTTAGTGAAATTCCCCTTTAATCAGTCTGAAGTTGGACTTTTGAGAAGCTCTGTTGACATTTTCAGCAACATTTTCAGTCTTTTACTGTATTATCTTCACAATAAATTTTCCTATTCTTTATATAAATCATCCAAGTGTCTGTTTTTAATGATAAACTATATATTTCGGCCTGTACTTATTTTACAAAGTGGTGAACATGGCGGATCCGGAAGGAGAGTCACTAGAATCGTGGCTTAGTGAGTAACTTTAGCAAATTAGCTAGCCGCGTTGTTTTTTGGCCATTTTAAACCATTTTAAAAATACGTAAGGCGAATAATCACATATTCTGCTGCTTTATCGCCGTGTTTTGCATTGATTTGATGTCGTATACGTCTTAAACAGCCTGTTTATATCGTTGTTGTAGCTAGCATGCTAACCAGCTGTCTTGCTGTGGTTAGGTGACAAACCTGAAGTCATCTCCTTGTTTGGTTTTTTCCCGTTCCACCTTAAATGGTGCAGCAGTTACGTTCTGGCGCCTGGCGCCGGTAAGAAACTGCTGCACTATTTAAGGTGGAACGGGAAAATTCAAATAAGAAGCTGCTGAATAGAAGACAACTTCAGCTGTTTAGCTGGATAGCTGTGTTGACGTTAATCTAGATAACACAAAACAAAGCTCGTTCGTAGCTCTAACTGTATTTTTGTGATGTTTCCAGTTCATATAACGTGGAAATATCACAGAAGTTTTGCTCTGTGGGTTTATTTTATGAACCTAGGTTACATAGTTTTACGTTGTGAATTAGCTAGCTTGGCTTAGCTTGCCGGCTGCTTTGCTAAAGTAACTCTTTAAAAAGACGTTTTTTCAATGGTTCTCAAGTAAAGGGAATGGTTCTGTTTAGAACTATGAGCTCTATACAGACCTGTTTCATGCTTTAATTGTTCTTTTCAATGGTAAAAGGGATTGATAGAGAATGTTGTTTTTGAAATTGGTTCTATATGGCACCAAAAAGGGTTCTACTGCTGTAACGTTAATGCTGTCAGGCTTGTAACAATAGAAGAACCTTCTTCGGGGCTATATAGACTCCTTTTTAAAATGGTTATGTATGGAACCATATACAACACATTGTCCATCAATCTAAAGAACCATGTGTTGACTGTGATGTATAAGGTTCTATATAGCACCAAAAAGGGTTCTTCTGTTGTGACGATGTTAAGCTTGTAACAATAGAAGAACCTTTTTTGGAGCTAAAAAGAACCATTTTCAAAATGGTTCTATGCAGGACCATATACAACACATTCTCTATTAATCTGAAGAACCATTTCACCATGCAAGGAATCATTTAAGCATGAAATGGCTCTATACAGAACTTGTGGTTCGGAACCATTCCCTTCGTAAAGAACCCTTGAAGAGTCACATTTGCCTTGCCTTTATGTAGCTACAAAAAAGCTCTGCAAAGCTTTATATGTTGAGACATCTAAATGTCTTCATTCACTAATAGTGTTGTTATTAGTAGTTCACAAGCAGTCAAATCTAACATAATGAAGGTTTAATTTGTTTTCTACCCAGACAAAGCCACCAACCCTTCCAACAGACAGGAGGACTGGGAATATATTATTGGATTTTGTGATCAAATCAATAAGGAGCTTGAAGGGTATGGATGCATTTTCCAAAAGTTCTCGAAGTGCCTACCAGTTTTTTTTCTGTTTCCTAAGGAGGAGCTTCAATGAATTTTAAAAAGTTCTATGTAATTAAATGGTTGAGATGTAAACCAAGTTATTTAGAGAGGTTTGGTGTGAAATGCTCCGATCTAGATAAACTAACAGAGTCAGAATTGTTCACAGTGGTGATAGGAACCAGACGTCCACCTCTAAAAGGTCCCTCACAGAAAGTTATTACATGAAATGGTTATGCATTCACTGCCTGATGTCTGAGACACTGTTTTATGATAGATTTGAGAAGATTTTGACCTTAAATCCATTCATGGTGGAGAGATACATAACATGCTGGGTGCTGTGAGGCAAGATAGTCCCCAAAGAAAACTTACTATTTAAGATTTTCCACTATTTTCACTTCGTCTACATTCCATATAAAACTCAGGAGACACGTGTAGGTTCACTGGTGGTTTTGGATAGTAAATAAAATGTCTATATTTGTGTTGTAGTCATGGCGACACCTGGTTCCTATCACCACCACTGTAAAGAAATCCGAACCATTTCACACCAAACTACTCTGAATTACTCTGTTTACATCTCAAGGACTGAATTATTCAGACATTTTTCTGCAACACTTTTTTTGTCTCAGTCCACAGATATCAGTGAGATTGCTAGCACATAAAATCCAGTCACCACAAGAATGGGAGGCGCTACAAGCACTGACTGTGAGTGACTGCTGTTGTTTTCCATGCATTTTTAGGTAGAGTGTTTTTTTATGTTACGTTTAACATCGTTCACTCCATGTATTTTGCTTTTTTTCCTGGTGCTGCAGGTCTTAGAAGCCTGCATGAAGAACTGTGGGAGAAGGTTTCATAATGAAGTTGGAAAGTTTAGGTTTTTAAATGAACTCATCAAAGTAGTTTCACCCAAGGTGAGCCTCAGCACTTCTGAGTAGTTGGCCATGTATTCTGTAGAATAATGCTGTGACCCAACTTTGTGTTTTGTGTGTGTTTTTTACAGTATTTAGGAGACAGAGTGTCAGAGAAGGTGAAGACAAAAGTAATAGAGATGCTGTTCAGTTGGTCCACCGCCCTGCCAGATGAGACAAAGATCACAGAGGCTTATCAGATGCTAAAGAGGCAAGGTATTTCATCACTACACAATCTGATTGTCTATTTAACTATTACTAAAACTTTGGTTTAACAAGATAGCGATCACTTGTGTTAAATGCAGTTGTTATTCTACATCAGGCATCGTGACGACAGATCCAGAAGTTCCTGTGGATAAGACTCTGATTCCCTCACCACCTGACCGGCCTCACAATCCTGTCTTTGAAAACGAGGAGAAGAGTAAAGTAAGAATGCATTAGCTTTATGGCGAAAATTCCCCAAAGGCAGTGTAGTCTTAAGTTAAATTCATACGAGTGCTGTTGAGATGCAGTCTTAGTTCAGAGCTTTTATCTGCTGTAAAACAATGTAATTAAACTCTTAATATCATTTCACGAACATTTTAATGTTGATATTGTAGGTGAGCTTTGGGTCAGTGTGCTCTGGGCATTAAAGGAAAGTTCTATTATTCTATTCTATTATTATCTTTTTTTTTTTTTTTTTTTAATCTGCACAAATAAGTGGTTATGATGTAAGCAGAGTCATTCAGAGTGGTTTGGAATTAAATGCTCTGTTCTAGAGAAACGTAGAGTCAGAATTATTCACAGTGGTGGTGATAGGAACCAGATGTCCACCTCTAAAGAAAGTTATTATTATTATCATTGTGAGACAAGATAGACCCCAAATAAAACTAACCTTTATAATCCCTGCTTCTTATCACCACCACTTTTAAGACTTAGAACTAGGTACATTTCTTTACAATACATTATTTCACAATAAACCATATCGAATAATTTCGTTTTCATCTCAAGAATTTTATTTTGCAAAAAAAGGTGGAATCAGCCTTTAAAGAGCTTGATAATTAGCTGCTGATTTGAATTAAAGTATGCTAAAACAGGAAAACCATGTGGCCCTTCAGGACTGAAATGGTCCAGCTCTCCTTACAAAATAGTTTGAACAGTAATTCTAATGTGGCAATTTGCCACCTGTTTGAATTAATTGCGTAATAATAATAAAGAAACCTTGTTAGATATTTCAGTCATTTTAGAACAGTCTTCACCTTACAGTGGTTTTGGAAAGTTGCAGATTGTTAGAAATTGAACCTGGATGTAGTTCTCTCTCTTTTTCTGTGTAGCGTCTCGCAGAACTTCTGAAAAGCAAAAAGCCAGAGGATCTGCAGGAGGCCAACCGGCTCATCAAGAACATGGTGAAAGAGGTAGCTAAAAAGTGTAACTTGCCTGATAAAGAGCCACAGTTAACTCTGTAACTGTAGAATTAAAAACAGAAGAGTAACAAAAAAAAACAAAAACTTCATGGTCAATTTATGAGAATTTATTTATGAACTGCTGATGTGTTTGTGTGTTTCAGGATGAAGCAAGGGTGCAGAAAGTAGCCCAGCGCACCAGCACTTTATTGGAGGTGGACAACAGCGTCAAACTACTGAACGAAATGCTGCGGCACTTCAGTAAAGACCAATCTACGCAGGCAGACAGAGAGCTTCTTAAGGTAAGCCTGTTCCCTGTAATGTGTCTGTTCCCTGCAGTATAAGACGTAAGTTTTATTTTAGTGCTTTATTCTTAACCACATTAAACTTTTATAGGAAAGGGAAGTTTTCCTACAAATGTGAGAGAGTTTGTAGTTGTGTTGACATGTAATTGTTAAGGGTTTACCAGCAGAGGGGTTTATTTTTTAGGATTTGCATGATGACTGTGATAAACTGAGGACGACAGTGTTCAAGCTGGCCACAGAGACCGAGGATGATGACAGCAGCTTAGGTAGAAATCTCTGGGCTACCTTGTACTGCCAGCACCTGGCCACTTCATTAGAAACACCCACCTTGTACTTCCACTAACTGGCCACTTTATTAGAAACACCTGCCTTCTGCTTCCACTCACAGTCCACTTTATTAGAAACACACACGTTGTGCTTCCAGTAACTGGCCACTTTATTAGAAACACCCACCTTGCACTTCCACTCACTAGCCATTTTATTAGAAACACCCACCTTGTACTTCCACTCACTGGCCACTTCATTAGAAACACCTACCTTGTACTTCCACTAACTGGCCTCTTTATTAGAAACACCTGCCTTGTGCTTCTACTCATTGGCCACTTTATTAGAAACATCCACCAAGTTTTCTGACAAAGTGGCAGAGAAATGTGCATCTGTGCTTTAAATGTTGGATCTGTCTGAAACACTGTATATTTTACAGATGTCTCAAGAAGAGTAATGTAATTCGCTAACTGATGTCTTTCTCTTGCCGCTCCTCAGGTGAAATTCTGCAGGCGAGTGATGATCTCTCACGTGTTATTAACTCTTACAAGAGCATAGTGGAAGGACAACCTGTTAGCGCTGACACACCTGGATCTACAGCATCAGAACGTAAATATAGCAGTTTACGACTGCATACGCACTTCTGATCTGCTTTGTGTGCATCTGGAGGTGGCCGTTAGATAATATGATATCGTTATTAGTGTTTTCAAAACAGTCAGAAGATTATAATTGCTTTTTAGATACTGTAGTTGTTTTGCAGTCCTTTTGATGACATGGGTCCAAGCAAGCCGAATTGGTCCTGTTTTTAATTGAAGTTTTTAAATGTGGCACTGCTGGTGCACTGTATGATTCGACTTACCCAAAAATCAAAGTGTTATTAAAGGGTCATGATATATTTTAGCCATATCGCCCATCTTAAATTCATATCATCTAAATGAGCTGCACGATCGGAATTTGCTAAGATTTATTATTATTGTGTCCAGCATTATTGGTTTTTGAGGGCCATGAGGTGAGACAAGTAAGTTAACTCGCGCTGCATTTGAATTCTGCTGCTACACCTGATGTACATAATTATACAGGACTCATTGTACTGGATGGTCGGTTGCCTCTTACATGTAGCATTTTATTGATTTATTGATTTATCCTGTTAAATAGGGACCTGACTTCTTGTTTAGGAATGTAGAATGCAGGTTTGGTTCATTTAAAGAGCAAATAATTTTATTTGCATTGCAATGTTGATTAATAGATAGCACTGGAAATGGAAATTCATGTGTTTATCCTACAGAGCCCTTAAAAAAATCAGCCAATTCTGCTGTAAAGAAAGCGAAATCTGCCATAAAATTCATGACTGTGCACTTTTTACATTTACAGCACAAAATAAAGAATTCTTACTTTTTTCTCTTTTGTTATTTGTATGTTTTGCCAGGTACCGATAACGGAAGCTCCTCAGAGATTTTAATAGACTTGGCTGGTTTGGACGTTCACACTGCTTCACCGCAGCGTCCTCCTCTTCTGTCAGCTCAAATCCCAGCTGACCTCTTCATGTCTCCACCCGCTTTTGACCCTCCTCCTCCCTACCCCAACTCTTTTTCTGCCCAGTCCGGCTTACAAGCTGACATAAAAGGCAGCCCTAATCGTCCAATCACAAGCGAGAATCCAAACAGCCTCTCTCTCCTGGATGAAGAGCTCATTTCTCTAGGTAACATTTGCTGTGTTAAAATGTTTGTGTGTATATGCTGCCACTAAGTACTGAATGTTGACTGACACCGATAAAAATGATATTTAAGAGATGATGTTGAGTAAATTGAGTATTAACTCTGTAGGTCTCAGTGATCCGGTTACATCTACTAGTGCTCAGAAACAAGACAATGAAGACAATCAGTGGACATCCTTACAGGTACATCAAAGAGCTTGATTCATGTTCATTATGTGGTGTCATAATTTAGCTTTTTTAGATTATTTCTGGAGTTATGAGGCCAACATTGCTAACAAACACCACATGTCAGTGGTCACCCAGATCTTCTAAACTGTCTTTGAACCTGCTTAAACTGCATCCAGATCTTCATTAAAGTGGTGCAGCCTTGTAGATGTGGTTTAGGACACAGTATAACGTACTGTAAGCTAGAAACGTAAATCATTTTTATAGCTCATAGTATGGCATACTGTGTCCTTAGCTACAGTCTACATGTTCTGTCATCCTAATGAAGAGCTGGATGTGGTTTGAGTGGGTTTAGAGAAGTTTTGGAAAAAGATTTGGGAGACTAATGATTTGTACTGTTGTTTGCAATGTTAGCCTGGTAGCTCCAGTGCTAAAATAAAGAAGCAAAATGTGGACACCAAACACATCTTGGGCTGCTCAGCTACATCTGAAGTTACATGGTAACCCTGCATAAATTTGATTTTTTGCCAAACTGTTTAACCGTTTATGAATCTGAATCTCTGACCTGAATTGTTTTTGTATGATTCCAAATAATTTTTTGAAGTATATTAAATATATAAATATAATTTAAGAAACTATTTGCACAGTACTGGAATATAGACCAAAAACAGGACACAAAGATTTTTTTTGTGTTTGAAAGTAGCCATAGAATTTTATTTTGGACAAAAACGTGTAATTTACTGAATATGCTTATTCTGTTTAGTGTTACATAATTCTGTTACAATTCTTTTCTAACATTCCAACGTCAGCCCAGTTGATTCACCACCTTCAGACTGATGGATCACAGTGCATCAATGTATTTGTGTGGCCTAAGATGAATAATTTGATTTTTCATTTATCAACCATCCACAGAATTAAGTATCTTACAGCACAATCGAATTACTACTTTATGGTTAACATTTGAATGAAGTGACTTAACTGACCTACTGTTTGTTATTAGTTTTGTGTGACATTTGCAACTAAACAGCTTTTTCCTTTATCATCAGGCCCCCAATCCACTGATGGATTTCCTCAGCAGTTCTCCTCCGTTAGACTCTACCTCAGCTTCAGACAGCAGTCATGCTTCAGAATCCTTTGGGGCGGTGGCTCCTTTGGCCTTTCCTGCTCCTGCCCAGTCTGTGTCCACCTCGCTCCAGGATCTTGCCCTGCTGGACCTGGGAAAACTTAGCAGGTGAATAAACTGTTCTGTAAAAACTGTTTTAAGTGACAGTATGTTCATCAGGAATAGGTTCTGAGAATGTAAAGCCCTGTGATTAGATTGAGGATTGGGTTATTCAGTATGACAATGTTATATTTTTTAGCATTTCTAGGACACTGAACAACAATGTGGATGATGATAAAGACAGATTTAGTCCAATAATGTAGAGCCTGTAAAAAAAAAACAACAACAACAGCAACCAGTGTTTAGTAAGTGCAGAAACTGCATAGCTGATTGGATAATACACTATTATACCTGTTGTTGATTTTGCTAATTTATTTTTAATAGTTATTTAACTTTTCCTCCTGGTCCTTCTTAACAAAATGGTTCACCGAAAAATCTAATTAACACGGTTCTGTCCCTTACACCAAATGTAGCTGATCAGCCAAGACTTGTTTGGAGTCTGAAGTTTGCTTCTTTTGTTTTAGCAGTGATGCTGTGAGGCTAATGTAACAAGTAATGGAAATCAATGTTACCCAAAAAGATATCTTTGCCTATCTTTATCTTTATCTTAGATATTCTGTTATATAATTTACACTGTCTTCTAATAACCTAGTTTTGCACTAGAGCTCATATTATATTAGCTCCTATGCAAAACTGAACGCCGAACATATCTAATCATATTTTTGGGGTAAGAGCCAATTCGATTTTTCTGTAAATCAATCATTTTAGAGATTACTATAAGGGCCATGCTAATCATAGTTCTTCAGGCTTTTTTAAATGTAACTCCTTTGTTTGTTGTTGTATTTTGCAGGTTAAACTTGTTTGCCTCAAAAAAAGTAAATATTGTGATTACTTATCATGTATCCTGAGAAGTAATGATGTTGTGATGTTATGTTTTTGTTGTCTGCCTTAATTCAGGGCCCTTTAATGAAAAAACAGCTCTTGTTTCATAGCAGACACTGTATGATGTCACTAGTTTGTGAAATACAACATGAGGCTGATTTAGAGAGGTGCTAGTTTACTGCATTGTTCCCTTCAGTGTCATAGTTTTTATTATTTTAATTTCCATGTGTGATAAATGTCTGTTAGTGTCCTTGTTGAATGTTGTTGTTATTTCTGGTTGCAGTAGTCCGGCTGGGCTGGCGATGGCAGAATCGGCGTCTTTACCCTGCGAAGTCGGAGGAGGTCCTGCTGTAACATCCTGCACTAAACCCCCAAACTCAGCCTTCCTCCCAGACAGCCCGCTCCTGCAGCCCCTCTCACCCCCTCTGGTGGCCAGGCAAGGAACTGCAGCCCCTCAGCCTGACCCCTCACTGACCAACGTCTTTGTCCCACTGGACTCCATCAGACCCAGTGAGTCTAAAGATAACAAGGAAGATGAATTAAATAATGAGCAAACTTCCACCAATACTATAGTATGTAAAAAATAAAGTAAAATTGAGAATATAATATCATATCATAAGAGTATAAAATACTACTGCTGCACATGAGTATATAACATTCTGAAGTGTACTGCAATAGACACCCTGTTACAGTTAGACTGCCATAATAATAATGATATTAAGAATAACAATAGCAATACTACAGTCGGCTGCAGGGGAAATTTCAGGTTGGATTTGTTGTTCTTCACCAAAAAATGTATAATTGGAGCCTAAAAAAAGATGTTGAGTAAATTCTTATTGTCTTTAGTGTAAAATGAAAATAATTAGCGCTCATGTTGTATAGAGCTCTTTTAAAAACATGAATGTTAGATAAGGCTGTTTGTTTTTAACATACTTTATAGAAATAACCTTTTTTCAACAGCTACATTGAGGGAGAACCCTCGTTTACAGTGTTGCCGAGTAAAACGGTTCAAAAGAAATCAGAATGAAAATAAAAGAAATATTAGTAAAACAATAGTGAAATGGTATGAATATTAAAACACTGTTTCTCAGGTAAAGAAAGCCCAGTGACGGCCTATGATAAGGATGGCGTTTGCGTCCTGCTGCACTTTGCCTCTAACTGCCCTCCTGGACGGCCCGACGTGCTGGTCATGGTGGTGTCCCTGCTGAACACAGCCCCTCTCCAAGTGAAGAGTCTGACACTACAGGCAGCCGTGCCAAAGGTAACAGCCCAGATGTACGTAGTAGAGACGTATAGTACATTATTTACTTAATAGTTACTGAATAATTCATATTTGTTGCAGAGTAATTCACAGTACATGCTGAATAATTTATAGTAGATACTGAGTAATTCATAGTGGATACTAAATAATATATGGTGAAAACTGAGTAAATAAAGTAAATACTGAATAATTTGTAGTAGATGTTGAATAATCGTCCTTTTTTGCGTTTGTGTAATTAACAGTCTATGAGAGTGAAGCTGCAGCCACCCTCAGGCACGGAGCTGGCCCCTTTTAACCCAATACTGCCCCCTAGTGCCATCACACAAGTAATGCTGCTGGCTAACCCACTGAAGGTAAACTCATATCAGCACCACTGTCTAAGTAAGAGAGAAAGATCAGGTCAACTCCTGCAGAGACACATTCAGCTGTCTTACATACTGGACATCACAACATATAAGATCAAACTGTCGCTGTTACAAAACCTTCTGAACTTCATGTAAGAAGCAAGAAAACAACTTTAGTTTGAATCCATGTAGTTTTTGTATTGAAGTAATTTTGAACCATTCATCACGAAGTGTTAACATAATGTAAGGAGCAGTGACTGTGACAAAGTAGATTTCACTGTTTCATATATATATATATATATATATGTATGTATATATATGTATGTATGTATGTATGTATATATATATATATATGTATGTATGTATGTATGTATGTATGTATGTATATATATTTACACAAACATACACCGATCAGGCATAACATTATGACCGTCTCCTTGTTTCTACGCTCATTGTCTAATTTATCAGATCCACTTACTGTATAGGTGCACTTTATACTTCTACAATTACAGACTGTAGTCCATCTGTTTCTCTGCATACTTTGTTAGCCCCCTTTTACCTTGTTCTTCAGTGGTCAGGACCCCCGTGGGCCCTCATAGAGCAGGTACTATTTGGGTGGTTGATCATTCTCAGCACTGCAGTAACACTGATGTGGTGGTGGTGTGTTAGTGTGTGTTGCTCTGGTCTGAGTGGATCAGACACAGCAGTGCTGCTGGAGTTTTTAAACACTGTGTCCACTCACTGTCCACTCTATTAGGCTACGTTTACACAGCAGGTAAAAGTGGCCCAAATCCGATCTTTTTCCTCATATGTGACACAGATGTTTCATCTGTGTGGCAGTGTGAACAGCAAAAAACGCAATGAATCTGACATTTTCAATTCCGATTTGAGACGCTTTCATATGTGGTACTGAAATCCGATACGTATCCGATCTGCGGCGATGCGACTCTGTCTGAACAGCCAGATCGGAATTCGGACTTTTACGTCAATCCAACTTGACATTCGTCATAATTTCGCGCTGCTGAGACTGATAAACATTTAGGCTAATGTTTCTGTACCAAAAAATTAGAAGAGAAGTATCGCAACGCTCTGTGTTCGAGGAGATTTCGAACAGAACGGCCGAGCACGGCCGAAGGAGACTGAGGCAGCAGCATCAGAGAACAGTTTAAAGAATCCGAGGACACGAACCAAAGAAATGGCCGTGGCCGAATAACGTGCCCTTTTTTTGCGAACTTGAACACATTGTGGGTGATGAGTCCAGCTGTCAACCACTGTAACTTTATACTCGCTCATGCAATGCTGGCGAAGACGAAACTGAAAGCTCCAGGAGCAACAGGCGTCATGACTGTTTACCTCTGGATGAGCCGCCATGTGAAGCACTGTTCTTTTGTGCATGCGGGTCGGTTTAGGAGTGTAATCTGTCCAGACTGATGTCGCATACAGGTCACATTTAAAAGATAATGTGAACAGCCAAACCAAAAAATCGGATTTGGTGAGAAAATCAGATTTGGGCCACTTTTACCTGCTGTGTAAATGTAGCCTTATACACTCCTACCTTGTTGGTCCACCTTGTAGATGTAAAGTCAGAGACGAGAGCTCGTCTGCTGCTGCACAGCTTGTGTCGGTCATCCTCTAGTCCTTCATCAGTGGTCACAGGACACTGCCCACAGGACGCTGTTGGCTGGATATTTTTGGTTGGTGGACTATTTTCAGTCCAGCAATGACACTGAGGTGTTTAAACTCCAGCAGCACTGCTGTGTCTGATCCACTCAGACCAGCGCAACACACACTAACACACCACATCAGTGTTACTGCAGTGCTGAGAATGATCCACCACCCAAATAGTACCTGCTCTGTGAGGGTCCATGGGGGTCCTGACCACTGAAGAACAGGGTAAAAGGGGGCTAACAAAGTATGCAGAGAAACAGATGGACTACAGTCTGTAATTGTAGAACTACAAAGTGCACCTATATAGTAAGTGGATCTGATAAATTAGACAATGAGCGTAGAAACAAGGAGGTGGTCATAATGTTATGTCTGATTGGTGTATATATACATATACATGCACAAATGAACATTTGCATTATTGGTTAAATATATGCATTTTATTAACTTTCCAGAATTTATAACCTTCTGCAAAGGAATGTTTGTTGTATAGATGGATATTTGCTACAGTTTGCCAATTATAGATGCTAATCAAGGTGAATTTAGTCCAGATTTATACATTTTATAAACATGCATATAACAGCATCAACAATGATGCACATGAAAAATATTGGCGCAGCCCAGTATTTCCATAATGCATCCCTAATTTATGTTACTTTATTAAAAATACATTCATTGCTGACTTCTAAAGACACCATGGATGGTTATGTGGGCCATGAAGGTTTGCCTATGATTAATATTCTGGTAGAATGTGGTGCAGGTTGTAGGGTGGCGAATGGAGTTGCGTGTGAACATGTACAGAATGTTTTCCAGTTTCCTTTCAGGAATGTGTATCTGATGACTTATACTGAAAGTGCTTTAATGCCACGTTAGTGAGAATAGACTGAGGGATGGAATGTGATACTTTATAGTAACTGGTGAACCTGATTAACAGGCGTATCACAGTAACAGAAATATAAACACTTTATTATGTCCTAAGACCTGTTTTTCAGATCACTTTTTCTTTCCTCATCACGTTTGTGGTGTCAGTCATGTGAAAAATATCAGTTTTCTTCATGCTGTTAAAATTACTTTCTACATGTTTACAAAATCTTATTTAACTTTTAATGCAAAAAGACTAAGCTGCTCGAGTCCTCCTTCATGCGAATTGCTGTTTATCATAAACGTTGTGCTTTCATAAACGTGTATATAGTAGTTTCTTGACCCCACACTAATTTGTTAATTTCTGAGTCATAAACATAAACATTTGTCTTAGAGATAATCCTACATACACATTTATAAAGGCATTTATAACTACCTTAAGTTGCCATTAAAGCTACATTGTCAATTTTTATATAATTTCAGGTGTTCAGACAGCTGGCGCTTGTTGGAATAAGTCTTTGTGAATGTCTGTGTGGGTTGTCCTAAAAGGCTTATGTAGGTATCATGTAGCTTTATGAACGCTGCACTTTAGTGAAGTGTTACTGAATATTTAGTTCTTAACTTCCTCTTTGTATGTTGAAGGTGTGCTAATGGCACACCTTTGAGAAGGTGAGAAATGTAAATTGAAGTGTTTATGTTATGTGTTTCTAGGAGAAAGTTAGGATGAGATACAAGCTGACGTTTGTCCTCGGAGATCGGCAGTGCTCAGAGACGGGTGAAGTGGATAAATTCCCGCCGGTGGAGAGATGGGGCAGGCTGTAGTGTTCACCCGAGACACGGATCCTCAATCCTGCTTGCAGATATCCATCCTCCAAAGTTACCTTAACGGTCTTTAAGGGAATACTCCAGCATTTTTCAACCTACTCTTTCTCTGCTGCATCTTTATTGTGTGGTTCATTGATGGTAGATTTGTGTTTTACATGTAGGCATTTGGCAGACACTCTATCTAGAGCAGCTTGTGATTTAATCACGTTACAGATGTGGGCGAAAATAGCATTAGGAGGACAACTTATTGGTGGAGCGTGGCATTTGTGCCTAGGTGTGGTATCAAAGCCCAGCCTGCCATGAGAAGGGCAGTGGTGTTACCTAGTAGTGGGCAGTATGGCCAATATATTATTAAAGTGTAATTAAAATTTATGACAGTTTCAGTATAGATATGAACAGTATATACATTTTTACAAATAAAATCATTTCAGATGCTTAAACACATTTTTTTAGTTTATTATTGGCTTATATTTCTGAATCGTACCTTCACTTTTATTAAAAAGCGTTTTTAACACAGTGCTATATGTTGTTTCCTGTCTAAAGAACTTGGCTTCTTCTTCAGCAGCTTTTTGTTAGAATGCTCCCTTCCACCTTAAATGGAGCAGCATACAGTCTGGCACCTGTATAGGCACCATAATGTAACTACTCATTTAAGGTGGAATAAGCAATTGGAATAAGAAGCCAACACCTGTATATAATCGTAAACGTTTCAGTACCAGCTGCTACGCAGCCTTTTCTCAAGACTGCAGCTTCAGTGCAGTGATGCAGTGATGAGTGAATCAGGCATGCTTGTCTAATGCTAACCCCAAAAGACCAACCGTTCATTTATATCTCAAAAACAAAGTAGACTACTTCATATTAAGTGTACTAGACAGCAGGACAGTTTCATTTAAAACATGACTAAAACATCCCTGACTCAGACACTCAGCTAAAGGAGATAACATTAGCGTGGTCTGCGCTGTTTGTATGTTGCGTTATCTATACTTACTTGTGATGTACCAGTATAACGGTTATGACAAAACTCTAACCTGAGGAGCTACTGCCCACTATTAGTATAAGACACTACACTACACCACCATAAAATGGCCTGTGCCACATTTATAACAGTGTTTTTGAACATAACACAAAGCCCACTGACTTAAACCCCATTTATAGTAGAAGTCAATGGGCAGTTGCTGAGTTCTGCAAATAAATGTTAGAAATATGTGACTATATAATGTGAATTTGAGTCACTGGCTGTTTTACTCTAACAGTACAGGTGTTAGGATGAGACAGACTGAGACAATGAGCCATACCAAAACTGTTCTTGTAAAGTTTTATTCAACTTTACAACACAGGGGCAGCACAATTAGAAAATCGTTCTGGTTACTGTCCCTAAGGTATTCAGCTATCAAAGGCGATCACAGCAATCCACTATGATGGCAGCAAACTAGTCCTTTCTCTAAAAGAATTAACTATACAGCTTATGAATTCATTTGACTAAAGAATTCATGAAAGTGCAGAAATACATAAACCTTTACTGACAGAATTCAGCAGCTGCCCATTAACTTCTGTTATAAGTGAGTTTCACGTGAACATGTTTTCTGTTCTAGGAAATGAGTTGAAATTATAATCTGCGTTAATCAACTGTACACTCTTAAAAAGGATGGTCCCTTAAAGGTTCTTTAGTAAAGAAGATTGTTCTATATAGAACCCTGAATACTCAAAGAACCCTTTTCATGATTAAAGGGTTCTTTGCATCATCAAAGCGTTCTTCACATTGATGGAAAATGTGCTGTAGATGATTCTTTATAGAACCTTTTAGAAAGGAATTCTATATAGCACCAAAAAGGGTTCTTCTATTGTTATGATGTCAAGCTTGTTATAATAAAAGAGCTCTTTTTGGTGCTATGTAGAACTCGAAATTTAAAAAGGTTTTATATAGAACCATTTGTAGCACATCGCTTCTGCAATGTAAAGAACCCTTTAATCATGCAAAGGATTTTTGAGTGTTCATGGTTCTATATAGAACCACTTTCTTTACTAAAGAACGCTTGAAGAACCATCTTTTTTAAGTGAGTATGCTAAAGATACAGCAGATGGAGATGGTTATAAGCGTTGGACTATTCCTTTAACCTACTTAACAGTGTAGCTCCCCATAGAGGGGACAGCTGGAGCTCAGTGTTTGATACCAGTGGCTTTCCTGCTAATTGAGCCCTCAGCCAAACTCTGTCAGACAAACGGAGAAGCATTGGAGATTGTTTTAGGCTGTTTTCTGGATTTCATTCAATCCAGAAAACAAATTTAGGTCAGATTATATTTGAAAAAAATCAACCCAAATCATTGAGCTCTGCGTGCACAACTGTCTCAATATTGAAGGAAAATGTCACCCATTTATCAAACTGCATAATTCAGTCATTCAGAGTGGTTTGGTGTGAAATGGTTCTGATTTCCTTACAGTGGTGGTGATAGGAACCAGGGGTCACCATGACTACAACACAAATATAGACATTTTATTTACTATGCAAAACCACAAGTGAACCTACACGTGTCTCCTGAGTTTTATATGGAATGTTGATAATGGGAAAATAGTGGAAAATCTGAAATAAACAAAGTCTTCTTTGGAAACATTTTTGCCTTTTAGTGCCCTGCAGGTATCCCTCCATCAGGAATGGATTTAAAAAATATATTTTACTATCGTAAAACAGTGTGTCAGACATCAGGCAGCGCATTTATAACCGTTCGGTGAAGGAGCTTTTAGAGATGGACGTCTCGTTCCTCTCTTTACCACTGTGAACAATTCTGACTCAGTAAGTTTCTCTAGAACGGCGCGTTTCACACCAAAGCGCACTGAACGACTCTGTTTACATCTTAACCATTTAATTATGCAGTTTTTTTAAAAAAAAAAAAAAGGGTAGAATTTCCCTTTAAGTGCTAGTAGCATTCATTAAGTTGCTCATACACAAACACATTTTCAAAACTGCTTATCCTTCTGGGTCATGGGTAAGTTGTAATTTGGGCTTTGATGTCCATCTGAAGGATAAACTTACTGAAACTACTGAAGTTAATTATGTTACAGATAAAATTGCTGCCTTGAATCTGAGTGAAATTCATTTGTGGGTTGAGTTTGACATTATGTTTATTACAGAATTGTGTCCGGCCATACATTTTTGTAATAGGACGTGATCTTTTTTTATTTGAGTGAACTTTTCTTTCATTATTGTGTCTGTTTGATGGCTTCAGGTGTTTCTCTGTATTTATTTGATATGTTTAATGTGTTTCCTGGGCTCTATCAGAGGTTATTATTTATGCTGTAAAATGATATTTGATATTTTATTAGAGGTACTGCTGTATCCTGTAGCCCCCTGGGGCAGCTGGAACCTTACACGTTTTTCTTTCTGCAGCTCCTGAGCATTTGTCCTTTTTAGGGCTAGTTCTTACGATGTGATGTCATACAGTATTAAGTTAACATGAGTTTGTGAGTGTGAAAAAACGTGAAAGAGTGATTATGAATCATAGGATGAGAGGATTATTCTTTTTACAGCTTTTGATTTCTTTCCTCCTTCACCAGTTTTTGGCAGTGGTTTGTGCAGTGAGTTCTCTGCGGAACTTTCTCTGAGTTACTGATATTTTGACCTTTTAAACCATCAAATTGATGATATGTAAAAACTAACACTGTACATGTTGGTGTTTGAAAGAAAAATAAAAGCTCTTTGGGTTATTTTTGTGGGGTTTTTCCTTACAAATTATATAAGTGAAAAGTAGAATCTTCTAAGTGTTATGATAAATTTCAATATTTCATAGTTTTGTGGTGTTCTCCTTTTAGTTTAAAGACTATGTGCACTTGAGCAGAACTCCACAAGCTTATGTAAAAATCTCTGATTAACAGACTGAATCAAAAGTCATCTAAAATGCGGCTTAAACATTTACTAGATATCAACTGCTTTTTTGAAAACAATCACTTTTGTTTCACTGCGTCACTGTTTATTAACAGTTATTTTAATGTTATGTAGTTATTCTGACAAAAAACAGACTTTTTGCCCAGATAAATATTTTTAAACGGTTTGCTTAGAAGCCCAAGACTTTACTGTATTACTGCTGTTCAAAAGTCTGGAATCAGTTGTCATATTAATAATTTAATGTCATTTAATTTCATTATTTCACAATTTTATATACATTAATAACTTACATAGTGTAGTTTTAAATGTTAACTGCATACTTATAAAAGATGGTTCTTGAAGGGTTCTTTAGTAAAGGCAATGTTCCTGTTTAGCACCAAGAGTTCTATATAGAAGCATCTTGTGCTTAAATTGTTCTTTGCATGATGAAATGGTTCTTCAGGTGGAGAATGTGTTGTGTATGGTTTTATGTAGCACCAAAAAGGGTTCTGCTATTGTTACGATGTCAAGCTTGCAACAAAAGCAGAACCCATTTTGGTGCTCTATAGCATAGATACACCATTCCACCATTTGAGCAAGCATATATAGAACTCTTGGTTCTAAATAGAACCATTACCTTTACTAAAAAAAAACCCTTCATGAACCATTTTTTAAAAGTGCATAATAAACCATTTCACACTGTAAACAATAAACTGTAATAACAGATTTCTGATAATTTTGTTCAAATATGTGCTTCATGATTTGATCCCCACTTTTCTAATATGATGGGTTTTATTTTATCAGAATTTTATTTTATTGTTTAATTATTATTCTTTCTTTTCTGCAGCCACATATTGCTATATTGAGGCCTCAAGTTAAGTTTTTTTATAACTTGTGGCCTTAATATAGTAAATTAAGGCCTTAATATAGTAAATTATGGCCTCAATATATTAATTTGCAGTATGAATATAGCAACTTGTGGCCTCAGTATAGTGAATTGTGGCCTCAGTGTAGTAATGCATGGCCTCAATATAGTAAATTGTGCCCTCAATGTATTAATTTACAGTATCAATAGCAACTTGTGGCCTCAATATAGTGAATTGTGGCCTCAATGTAGTAAGGCATGGCCTCAATATAGTAAATTGTGACCTCAATGTATTAATTTAAAGTATAGATATAGCAACTTGTGGCCTCAATATAGTGAATTGTGGCCTAAATATAGTAATTTGTGGCCTCAATATATTAATTTGCGGTGTCAATACAGTAAATTGTGGCCTCAATATATTGAATTGTGGCCTAGATATAGGAATTTGTGGCCTCAATATATTAATTTGCGGTATCAATACAGTAAATTGTGGCCTCAATATATTGAATTGTGGCCTACATATTGTAATTTGTGGCCTCAATATATTAATTTGCGGTATCAATACAGTAAATTGTGGCCTTAATATAGTAAACTGTGTGCTCAATACATTAATTTGCGGTTACAACATAGCAACTTATGGCCTTAACATATTAATTTCTGGCCTAAATATAGTAAATTGTGGCCTCAATGTATTAATTTGTGGCTTATTGAAAATAATCACACTATCACCTGAGGAGCTCCGTAGATTCCAGACTTCTATCCTGAGTTAAATTTTATTAATTTAATTTTGCAGCTCGGTTTTTGTTTTGAGTTCTGGAACGCCGTAGCGTAGCGCGCTGACGTCACTTCCGGCGCCAGGTTGAGTGGAGAGCAGCGGCAGCAATGGCAGACGAGAAACCCAAGGTGAGAAATTAGAGAAAAAACGACCAAAAAGAGCATTTTACCCCACAAACACAGTCTGCATGGGTTTATTATAGACAGTAAAGTCTGTCTGTGGCGTCAGTGTCTAATTAAAGTTGTGCAGTTCGCCTTATTGTGCCTTTTAGTCTGTTAGCTGCGACGCTAACAGTGCTGGGCCGGCTAGCAGCAAATGTGCTTCTGAATTTTAGCAAATAATCGGGCTAAAAATGAACAAATCTATAATTATATATGTACAGATACACGTATAGAGGTCACTTATGTTTGTGTGAGCAGGTATTTAGAGATGTATGTAGAGCTTAAAGCCCTACTCGTTATGTTTTAACTTTAACTGTTTGAGCTCTGTGTGTTGGTCTAAAGAAGAAGATGAGCGGAGAATCGTTATTTAGTCGATGTGGCGATATTTGGCCTTTCGATACAGTTTTATCGTGGAAGGCTACAATATGCAAACTGGCTTTTAATCAGTCAGTAAATGTTTGTTTTGTAGCTGAAAGCATCCTGACCATATGTTAGACCTTACAGATAGTTATTTCTAAATCTCTGTTCCAGCTAGAGACTGACAAAAATATAAGATATGGCAAAAATATAATTTTGTAATACTTAAAGAATTTTTCACGATACACAATATGCCACAATATTTATTTTTTCAGACATTTGATCAGTTGGAACAGAGAAAAAAGAGTGAATACAGTGATTTTTATTCAGTATTGTGCACATTGTGTTGCACTACATCTAGTTAAATGAGACTAATTTTTTAATGAAACTTGGTTATTCAGCGTTCTGTAAGTACTGACAATATACACAATATGTTCAGAAAAGCATATTATCACATAATTTGTCACAATGACATATTGTCATATTATCCAGCCCTTCTTCCAGTTTTTAATGCATTGCAAGGCAAATCACAATGTGGTATTTTGTCTACATCATGCAGCTCTTGTCAACACTGCAGACTTTCTTTTGTGCAGTTTGTGCATTTGCTAAGTGACATTTTGATATTTTTTGTGCAGATGTATTAATTAAGCTTCAAACTCAGTGAGCATGGCTAATAAATGATCTTGCATTCAGTGTATAACGTTCTAGACCTTGGGTTGATATGGGTTCTTGCTTTTACAATATGTGCATATAACATTTTTTAAACCTGAAACATAAACTATGACATGATCTTGTAGTACTTCCTTACTATAAGGTGGAACTAACTGGATGTGGTGGGTATTGGTGGCGATTGTGGCAAAAATATAATATCATGATACTTCAAGACATTTTCACACTACACTGCACTAAATCAAATTAAACAGCATAATTATGCTCTCTTTATAATGAAACATGCAGTAGGTCAGTCTTCTTTAAGTACTGATGATATCTACATTATAATCAGAAATGCATTTATTTTGTTTATTGTGATAAAATGTATCCCAATAGCGACTGAATATTGTCAGATTGTCTGCCTTTAATAGTTTTTATGTCATAATTAGCTTTTACTGAGCATATTGAAAACATCTCCAGCATTTAAGACACTGACCAGCTGCATGTTATATTACAAAGAGGTGCATGATTAGGCCTGTCTAATTGGATTTAGAACATCTGTTTGAAACATTAAATAAAATTGTATTTGTAGTAAATGTGCTATAAAGGCACTTTTGGGGCCATTTATCAATTATATTATTTTTTTCCTTCTTTTCCTTAATTTCCATAATCACCTGATCCCAGCACTGTGTGCAGCTCTAAGAATCGGACAATTTTTTATTTCTTGGAGCTTTATATTTTCAGCAAACATGTGACAGAACAGGTGTTACCATCTTCAGGCTTCTGATTCATGACGTTATTTCCTGTAACCTTTTTTCAGGAAGGCGTGAAGACTGAAAATAATGAACACATAAACCTGAAAGTGGCAGGACAGGATGGCTCTGTGGTCCAGTTTAAAATCAAGAGGCACACCCCGCTCAGCAAACTGATGAAGGCGTACTGTGAAAGACAGGTATAAACATTCCCATTTATATTTACATCTATTCATTTGGCAGACCTGCTTCAGAGCAGCAGTGGCCGCCAGAGGTATTTGGACATTTTGTGACATACATGTAGTATGTTCTTAAATATGTAATAAGTTCATTGTGTGAGGAAACAAAATATCAAACCAAGTATCATTTGTTTTAAACAACCATTAAAATGCTGTTATTTTAGTAAAATTTCTTAAAAGGCAGCTGGTGAGATTACATCATTATGTCTTTGAGGACGTCTGCAGGTTTGCATCCAAAATGTGTTTGTACACTTCTGAGCTCATGATCTTGTTAAACACACCACTGTAAAGAAAAACAGACCCAGGTTCGATATTTCCACCTCTTCCCTTGAAGGGAAATTCCACCAATTTTTCAAAATTTCTGCATAATCAAATGGTTGTAACCAAAGAGAGAAACTGAAAACAGAATTGTTCACAGTGGTGATAGGAACCAGATGTCCACCTCTAAAATCGTTAGTTATTACATGTAATGGGTATGAATATGCTGCCTGATATCTGAGACATTGTTTTAAGGATAGTTTTGAGAAGATTTTTGTCTAAAACTCCTTTTATGGTCGAAGGATACATGCATGGAGTTGTGAGGCAATATAAGAAAACATTATTTTAGATTCATCACTATTTTCCCATCATCAACATTCCATATAAAACTCAGAAGACATGGGTAGGTTCACAGGATAGTAAATAAACTGGGTGCATTTGAGTGAACATCTCATCAAATAAAATATACAGAATAGAATTCCCTTTAAGAGAGATTTCCATCCACCAATTTAAAAAAATGTCCAAATATTGTGTGTATTAATAGATTATGCTTGAATGAAGTTAAAAGTCGGTTTACTGCTGAACTATAAATGCAAAAAACAGTGATGGAAGCAGATATTTTGAAGTGATGTTATAGCAGAAACGAAAGTGTCTGACGATAGCAAGTCATTGCCTGCGTGTCAACCTGCCTATACCATACTAAATAGTACGCCAAATTAGTACACCACCAACGGCGCTGTTACTGTTTTAAAATGACTGTATAATACAATAGTATGCAATTGGACACCGTCGTCAGCGCTACATCTGGCCTGTACTGTTAGGGTTACACTATATACAGCTAACAGAGACTGTACTGCTTCTGTGCTGGGAGATAATACAGGTTCATGCATAGTGAGAGAGGTTCTTGTCTCGTTTTGTGTGGCACAAAAGCGTAAAATCTTTGCATAAGAGTAATTAAAGGAAATGGATTAATTTGCAGTCTGTGTGGTCCAAATAGTTCTTGGGCCCCTGTTTAAAAAAAAAATGTGAAAACAGTAGGAGGAGCCAAACTGATGCAAATGCCATAGAGATTCTGCAACAGTTCATGACATACAATACATACAAGAGCTTTTTATTGTGGTTCAGTAACTAGCTTTGCAACTGAGCGTAAATGCTCACTGATGTAATCGAGAGAACCAGCCTGCTTTTCCCAAAACATACGCTCTCTTATAATCAGTAAATGGAAGGCAGCACTACATGCTCTACCACATAACAGCAATTGTTGTGCTCTTTTGGGAAATTTAACCCTGCACCTGCACTAATAGTGTGTTTTACTGTCTAAATGTTGCAGCCTGTTAAATGTGCAAGGTTTAAATAAACAGACGAATAAATCAAGTCAAGGTCAGTTCCTGAATTGCAGCTGTAAGCCTAGAAATGCCATTTGATATTTAAATAAGAAGTAAGGCTTAAATAGCTTTCAGATCCACTTTTACAAAAAACATTGTGCCGCTAAAGCAGTGAAACTGACCTGTATACTGTTTGTGTTGTGATTTTTGTACAGGGACTTACAATGAGGCAGATCCGCTTCCGGTTTGATGGACAGCCTATCAATGAGACAGACACACCTGCTCAGGTATGGCCTGCTGCGTCTGTCCCCTCCAGATCCACAGCTTGTGTTATATGATGCTTCAGGGGTCAGTGCTGATTAAGGGTGGGCAATATGATGATATATCATCACTACTGTGCCGTTTTAGTTGGACCCCTTGTATCACCACTTTAGCAGTTTTGACTAACTGCTCATGACTCATGGGTTAGCAATTAGGACTGGCTATTGAAATTTTGTTTTTGTTTTTTATGGTCAGGCGTAGACAGATATCCAAAAAGTTGCACTGTCCGCTCAGGCCCCCAAGCCAGTGATTCTGGCCAAATTTATGGAAACATGTTTCTGAGGCTCATAGGGCTGAAAGATGAGTCGTTTTCATGTAGAGATTGCAGTTTTCAAATCCCAAGAGCTTTGATTTTAATTATAGTCTACATTGTGAAAAGCAATCAGAAGCAACTAAACACACAACAAGCCTGAAAAAGTGAAAATGCTGGTCTTCTTGGTAAATGAGCCTCAATTTATAGAAAATAATCGCTGTTTAAATAACAATTGCAATAAGCATTAGAAAAATCTGAATTAGAATGTAGCACGACGTGCTACCCCAGGCTCAAGGAGGACGCTGGAGGCAGAGTTCAGTCCTGCAGCAGCCATATTTATTAACATATAAACACAAAGCAAATAAACAAACGCTAAACAACTCAAACTATGCTGGCCACTTTTCAGTGGCTTAAGCAGGCTAGACTTTTCAGTCCTTCTCCTAAATAAGCTTTTCAGCTCCTCAGTCTTTTGCTGCTGCTCGTGCCTCTCTCGCTCTCTGTTCCCTCTCTCAGCTCTTTTAAAAGGCGCTTACGCTGCCAGCCAGATCAGCAACAGCTGGCTCTCATTAAGGGCAGTCTTAGCACCTGAGCCAAGAGGGAACGAGAGCTCGCCGCCCCGCCCCCTCGTCACCGCCCCCAGCTCGCAGCTCAGCTGCCCGGGTCGAAGGTTAGGTGTAGTGGAGCGGCCTCGCTGCATAACATGGGGCAGGGCCCAGGCGGCGGAGCTCGGGACTCGCTCCTTGCCGGCACCGTCGTCACCTTCCTCCTCCTCCCGCCGTCACTCGCGTCACTCGGGTTACTCCAAGGAGCTCGGGCTTTGCGCTCCATCCCCTCCCCACTCGCGGCTCTCTCCCTGCCGTCCTGGCCGAGGTTTGACGCCACTGGGTGTTCGGGCCCCGCCTTCCTGCCGGCTCTCGCGGCCATCATCGTCGGGGCCCGGGGGGCGTGCGCATGCCACATAGATATTTTTCATTCAGCCCTAAAAGCATGCTTAGGTACCTTTAGGGGTGGACGATATAGCAAAAATATAATCATGATACTTTGAGACATTTTCACAATATTTACCACAATATTTAGTTCTCTGTTTAAAGTTAGAACAGACAAAAAATTACCACAAAAACTTTGAATGCAGTGCTTTTTATTCAGCATTTCACGCATTTCACTGCATTAAATCAACAGGCCTAATTATGCTCTCTGTATTCTTTAAGTACTGACAATATCCAGTATCCACTCAGAAAAGTATATTGTGATGTAATTTATCACGATAACGATAAAATATTGTCATATTGCCCACCCCTTTTTATAAGTGGGATTTGAACTTCCAACCTTCTTTTTTTGCGCTGAATCCCATAAGATCAAACTTAAAACACTGACCAGCTTATTAAAGTTTTTGTCAGGAGTTTGGGAGTTTGAATACTAATATTGCCGGGATTTCGAGAGAGTCTAACTGGCCCTGCTGTCCTGAATGTAATGATGTGCAATATGATAAACACTGAAGCAACTTGAACAAATTCTCACATTTATGGTTTTTAATAGAAGTGTTTTCAAGCTTGCAGTGTTATCAGTTGCGAGGTCAATATTCCATTTGATTTCTGATATTTTGTAGAACCAAGAACATGTATTAAACAGAGCTGTAATTCTGTTTTACACAGGTTGGTTTGGCTCAGATAAATAAAAGTTTTCTAGTGGAACTTTTTCAGTGGCTGCTGCACCACCCTATAACAACATAAACCCCAAAAATCACAACCCCTACAGTTTATAAGCTCTTCAGAATAAAAGTCCAGTCATTTGTCACAGATGAGGGGCGCCAGGAAGACTCATCAGCCGCACAGTTTTATGGGTCGTTCTAAAGAGCTCACTGAATTACAGCGTGGTACTGTAAAGGATGAGACTGTTGCAACAGGTCAGTTTGCGAAATTTCTTCCCTCTTAGATGTTCTATGATCAACTGTGAGTGATATTATTGAAAAGTGAAAGCGTTTAGGAACCACAGCAACTCAGCCACGAATTATCAAACCACGTAAAGTTACAGAGTGGGGTCGCCGAGTGCTGAAGAGCATAGTACATAAAAGTCACCAACACTCTGCTGATTTAATAACTGAAGAGTTTAGACCTGCTTTGGCATTAACATTGGCACAAAAACTGTGCGCTGGGAGCTTCATGGCATGAGTTTCTATGGCCGAGCAGCTGCATGCAAGCCTTACATCACCAAACACGATGCCGACTATCGGATGGAGTGGTGTAAATCGTGCCACAACTGGACTCTGGAGCAGTGGACAACATATTCTATAGAGTGACAAATCACGCTTCTTTATCTGGCAGTCTGATGGATGAGTCTGTGTTTGGCGAATGCCAGGAAATCATTACCTGCCTGACTGCTTTGTGCCAACTGTAAGGTTTGGTTGAGGAGGGTTAATGCTGTGGGGTTGTTTTTCAGGGGTTGGTCTAGACCCCTTGGTTCCAGTGAAGGAAAATCTTAATCTTAATTCAGCAGACCAAGACATTTTGGACAATTGTATGCTTCCAGCTTTGTGGGAACAGTTCAGGGAAGGCCCTTTTCTGTTCCAGCATGACTGAGCCCCACTGCACAAAGCAAGCTCCATTAAGGCGTGGCTGGGTGAGTTTGGTGTGAAAGAACTTGACTGGCCCTCACAGAGCCCTGACCTCAACCCCATCAAACACATTTGGGACCTTAGAATGGGATGTCATACCAGCCCCTGTAGGTGTAATGTGCAGGTGTCTCAATACTTTTGTCCATGTAGTGTTTATAAAGTTATTCAGAGGGATCTTACTCTCGTGCGTCATGTTATTGCCATATTTATAGCAATTTATTCTTTTTCTTTTCGCAGTTGGAAATGGAAGATGAAGACACGATTGACGTATTTCAGCAGCAGACGGGCGGCGTAATGTAAAGCAGAGGCTACCTCTCCTCCTCCATCCCAGCGTCCCTCCACCTCCTGCGTTCCTGCGTGTGCTCACAAGCTAACCACCATGCTAAAACCGCACGGACTGACATGCCCAGTTTCAGATACAGATGGACAATGTTTTACCCTCATCTCTCTCTCTTTCTCACGCTTCCTCTCTCTCTTTAGTTCTATTATATAAACAAGTCATGCATTTCAGAGCTACGTGGACCTACGACCAAGAAATCCTACAACGCTGTCGATCCAGGTGTTCTGTGTTTGTTTTTCAGGTAGTATGAATGGATGCTCAAAGCTAAATCACCTTTTGTCTTTTTTTTTGTTTTATTTTACTCAAAAAGGTTGGCTTTTATATATCTTTTATATATGTTGTAGTTCTCTTTTGTACCCAGTCAATTTTATTCAGTCACATTTACAATGTGGAGTGTCAATGGAGTAGTTTTGTGTTTAGAATAAAACGACTGTATAAAATTGCCCAAACGCGGTTGGACTCTTACATTCTGAGATTACATCTCATCACACTAGAGCCACTATATTATGAGATGAGGAAATAAATGAGGCTGGTTTTCAAAACGATGCATTTTGTTTCCCTGCTCTTAATTACAAGGTCATTAAAGTCAACCTAAAATCAAAATGGACCTTTTTGTGCTTGTTAGTTTGTGTCCTGTATTAAGCACAGTTTATCTTACATTTCTTTACAGTGGTGGTAATAAGAACCAGGGGTCTTCTGAGTTTTATATGGAATGTTGATGATTGGGAAAGTAGTGGAAAATCTGAAATAATAGGATTTTTGTGATGGAACTTTTAGAGGTGGACATCTGGTTCCAAATCTGACTCGGTATGTTTCTCTAGAACAGAGCATTTCAAACCAAACCACTCTGAACGACTCTTTACATCTTAATCATTTAATAAAGCAGGAGTTTAGAAATATTTATGCAGTTTCCTCTTAAGAGGTTCAAAAACTTGCTTCAGAATTTTCATAGAATACCTATAAACTAAGACTGCCAGAGTCTATTGAAGGGGCGATTCCACCAGTTTTTAAAAATTTCTGCATAACTGGGTGTGTGAGATGTAATCAGAGTGATTCAGAGTGGTTTGGTGTGAAATGGTTAGATTTCTTTACAGTGGTGGTGATAGAAACCAGGGGACACCATGACTACAACACAAATATAGACATTTACTATCCAAAACCACCAGTGAACCTACACATGTCTTCTGAGTTTTATATGGAATGTTGATGTTAAAATAGTGGAAAATCTGGAATAAGAGGTGTTCTTTGGGGACTATTTTACTTCACAACGCCCTGCTTAGACGTATCCCTCCACCATGAATGGCTTTTAAGGCCAAAATCTTGATGATATGATTGAATCTACAACGCACAAAAGATTTTTTTTTATCCGGCGTGCATATTTACACACACATATATTCAATTTAACATGGAACAAATAAAAAGAAATAAAGTGAAAATCAGAATAAAGAGTAATAGAGAGTAAAGCGTGTCCCTCCGTTCCAGCCAATCAGAACGGCCGCGAACGGCGCTGTAGCCAATCAGAATGAGCGAGAGGGCCGGATCCATCCAATCAGAGCGGAGGGAAACCCCTCCGTCTGAGCAGGTGGAGTTTTAAGCGTTAGCATGAGGCTCTGAAGCTGCACAGCAGCATCGATTTATCATAATAAATAAAGATCGCTTCTTTATCAGGAACAGATTTAACTTCACGCTTTAAAAATGACCACCACCACCACTTTCCAAGGCATGGACCCGGAGGCCAAGAGCAGCTCCAGGTAAAAACGGGGGAAAGAAAAGAGAAGGGAAGAAAGGAACCGGAATAGGTAGTGTTAACATGCTCATTCTGGGTGGATGTAGCGTTAGACGTGGGTGTTTAAAGGTTTTGCCCTAAAATTTGATGGTATAAAAGGCTTAAATCCGTGCGGATTACTTCTCAGATGATGCCTTATTATCATTATGTTGGGTCAGCTTCATACTCGCCAGCTTCTTGTTCGAATTTTCCCGTTCCACCTTAAATGGTGCAGTAGTTACATTGTGGCGCCTGAGACGCCACAAGGTAAGTGCTGCACCATTTAAGGTGGAACGGGTGAATTCGAACAGGAAGCCAACTTCAGCCTCGTAAGCACATGGAGGCTGAATCGGAACCCGAGATGCTATTTTCGGCATTAAAATTGTTACAGATTGGATGCAGTGGACTGGAAATGTTTATGAATTTGATGGTAGAGATAATAAAGGCCTGAGCACTTTAGTATTCTTTATTGTTCAGCTGCTCAGGTCTCCCTTTGTTGTCCATTGCCTGCTGCTGCTCTCTCTCTGCAGCACTGCTTGCAGCTGCCCATCTAAACCTTCTCCTTTGTGTGTTTGGCAGCCTGTTATTTTGTGTAGTGAAATGTGGGAGGCTTGTAAGCTACAATGAAGTGATTCCGTCAGCTCAGCATTGCAGGACGGTGTGCTTTGGATGACTGGGTGGGGTTCAGCCTCTTCTGTCGCAGGCTGCTCTTAAAGCCCAGCCACTGTCAGCCCTCCACAGGCTCAGAATGGACACACAAAAAGCTGCAGGCAACACCTAGTCAAGCCTAGTCATCACTCACTGTACATTTTATCAGCTCCACGTAGCTTGCAGGAGCACTGTGTAGATGTATTTTTTTATTAGCTCCCTTTCACCCTGTTCTTCAATGGTCAGGACCCCCATAGGACCACCATAGAGCAGGTATTACTTGGTTAGTGGGCCATTCTCAGCGTTGCAGTGACCCTGACATGGTGGTGGTGTGTTAGTGTGTGCTATGCTGGTGTGAGTGGATCAGACACAGCAGTGCTGCTGGAGTTTTTAAACACTGTGTCCACCCACTGTGACACTCCTACTGTGTCGGTACACCTTGTAGATGTAAAGTCAGAGATGATGGCTCATCTGCTGCTGCACAGTTTGTGTCGGTCATCCTCTAGTCCTTCATCAGTGGTCACAGGACGCTGCCCACATGACAAGATGTTTTTGGCCAGCAGTGACACTGAGGTGTCTAAAAACTCCAGTAGCACTGCTGTGTCTGATCCACTCGCACCAGTGCAACACACATTAACATGCCACCACTATGTCGTGTCACTGCAGTGCTGAGAATGAGACACCACCCAAACAGTACCTGCTCTGTGGGGGTCCATGGGGGTCCTGACCATCAAAGTAACAAAGTATGCAGAGAAACAGATGGACTACAGTCTGTATCTGTAGAACTACAAAGTGCAACTATATGGTCAGTAGAGCTGATCAAATGGACAGTGAGTGTAGACACAAGGAGGAAGTTTATGGTTATGCACACACAGACCAGCCTGATCACTTGCTCAGCCAATGCACATGAAGCATCAGCACTGTTAATGTTAGCATGCTGTTGCATGCAGTTTCACACCAAAGCCGTATGTAAGCACAAAGATTTAACCTTTTTATTATGGATAGCCTTGTGTGATTGGTGAGCAGTTGCACAGTGGAACCATCATGTTGGGAGAGTGATTATAATAGAGTGATATAATATAATATAATATAATATAATAATATATAACATTTATACTAGGTTACCAGTATATGCACACATAGGGGTTCCATGAATGGCTCTGAGGATGGAGTTGAAGGCAGTCATTTTCAAGTCCTTGGTAGACTTTTAATCAAAATTAAACCAACTATATCCTGACAAGTGTGCACCTGTATGGGAATTGTGGCCCATTGCTTATATCCAGATGCACATACACCGATCAGGCATAACATTATGACCACCTCCTTGTTTCTGCGCTCATTGTCCATTTTATCAGCTCCACTTACTATATAGGTGCACTTTGTAGTTCTACAGTTACAGACTGTAGTCCATCTGTTTCTCTGCATACTTTTAGCCCCCTTTTACCTTGTTCTTCAGTGGTCAGGACCCCCATGGACCCTCACAGAGCAGGTACTATTTGGGTGGTGAATCATTCTCAGCACTGCTGTAACACTGATGTGGTGTGTTAATGTGTGTTGTGCTGGTACGAGTGGATCAGACACAGCATTGCTGCTGGAGTTTTTAAACACCTCAGTGTCACTGCTGGACTGAGAATAGTCCACCAACGAAAAATATCCAGCCGACAGCGTCCTGTGGGCAGTGTCCTGTGACCACTGATGAAGGACTAGAGGATGACCAACACAAACTGTACAGCAGCAGAAGAGCTATCGTCTCTGACTTTACATCTACAAGGTGGACTGACAAGGTAGGAGTGTCTAATAGAGTGGACAGTGAGTGGACGCAGTGTTTAAAAACTCCAGCAGCAGTGCTGTGTGTGATCCACTCAGACCAGCGCAACACACACTAACACACCACCTCCACATCAGTGCTGAGAATGAACCACCACCCAAATAATACCTGCTCTGTGAGGGTCCATGGGGGTCCTGACCACTGAAGAACAGGGTAAAAGAGGGCTAACAAAGTATGCAGAGAAACAGATGGAATGTAATTGTACAACTACAAAGTGCATATATATAGTAAGTGGAGCTGATAAAATGGACAATGAGCATAGAATCATAGGTCATGATCATAGGTCATAATGTTTTGCCTGATCGGTGTGCATGTCAATGCTGATGAACAAACTTTTATTAAATATGTAAATTGGGACTAAATCTACCTGGATTAGCATGTAGCCCACACAATTCTCTCTGAACCCGACTGTAGCCCACAAAATTCTCTCTGAATTTCACTGTAGCCCACAAAATTCTATATGAATCTGCCTGTAGCCCACACAATTCTCTCTGAACCCGACTGTAGCCCACAAAATTCTCTCTGAATTTCACTGTAGCCCACAAAATTCTCTCTGAATCTCAGTGGCTATGTTTACATGCAACGATTTTTTGCCAATCCGATTGAATACAATCCGATTGCAGATTTAGACTGAGGTGTTTATATGCACTCTATTCAACAATCTGATGGAAAATCTTCGTTTACATGCTCACTACAAGTAATCCGATGCAAAATGACGCGCATGCGTGGAGTAGCGCTTAGAGTAAACGTTACCATGACAGCGAACATCACGTGAGGTCCAGACCAGTTTCTGCTCCGCCATGTTGAGCGGTGTAAACTTTCGCCGTGACGCGACGCACATGCGCAGAACATACTTACACGTTCCGATTGGAATGTAATCGGATTCAGGCGTTTACATGGCTATTATTCTTCTATTTAACGGATTATTTAGAAGTTTACCCACCTCGTTTAATCGGATAGAAATTGTATTCCGAATGGCCTCAATCGGATTAGACTATTCCGATTGAGGTGTTTACATGGACATATTCTATTCCGATTGAGCTATTAGTCGGATTATTAACGGATTATCAGGCTGCATGTAAACGTGGCTATTGTAGCCCACAAAATTTTCTCTGAATCTGACTGTAGTCTACAAAAGTCTCTCTGAACCCGACTGTAGCCCACAAAGTTCTCTCTGAACCCGACTGTAGCCCACAAAATTCTCTCTGAACTTGACTGTAGTCAATAAAATTGTCTCTGAACCCGACTGTAGACCAACTTGAGCTCATCCACTACCATTGGGAGACCACATAAAACTCCACATTACTAATAGTGACGTGTGCCAAATTACATTAGCGACAACATTAAGCATAGCAACAATGACAGCACTCAACAGATCATCAAAAATTAATAGCATAATGATCTGATATCCTGTATTGACTTTAAATTCTACTTTAACAAATGTGTTCATTGATCCAAAGTTCTACCCAGCAGGTCCGTTCAGATTGAGACAAACATTTTAAGCTTCCGCTCAGTAATTTGTTGTCTTATCTGCTCCAACAGCCGCATTTTAACCCCCGGCTTCCTCTGGACTGAACGTCTGTGTGTCTCTTTCCCTCAGAGTGTTGCGTCCACCTGGCGGCGGCTCAAACATCAGCTTTGGCTCCGATGAGGACAAGCCTGTTGTCCGCAAGGATAAAATGGCTTCCAGTATCTTTGCGGAGCCGGAGGACCCTCACGCTCATCGACGGAACAACCCACCAGGTACGTGATGGTGGCGCCGACCTCACCCTGCTGCTCTGGCGCTGACCTGTGCAGGAGGTCCGTCTGAGCAGGCTGGGCGTCCGTGTTTTAAAGCCCTGCTCTACTCATGTTGTATCTGATGACAGCACATATTTATCACCATAATTGTATGCTTCTGGTTGCTAAGTAACAACAGAGGTTGCGACTTGTGGTGGCACTACTTTTTAGTAGAATAAATGACTAACATTAGTAACATACATTCAAAACAATATACTTTACAAAGTACAGACAAAAGTAAAACTGTTACATAAAAGCAAAAACACTGGAGGTGGTGTGTCTTGTGGAATAACGATTATGAGCTAGTATGATCTACTACCAAAACGAGCAGAGACAAAAAATATCGCAGCTAAACGGGACAATACAGTACAAAACACACAATTACTGTTTTTAAAAGGCTCAAAGCCCCAGAAAGGTTGTGCGCTGTTGATCTGAACAGAATTTTCTAGACTCTTCTCAGATGTGTCCTGCTGACCCTGCCAAACCTGGCGTCTAACTGTATTTATGTACCGCAAGTCTTTCAAAGTGGACTTTGGGAATAATTTGGCAAAAATCCAATGTACACAGTTTTCTGCCTTACCTCAGACATGCCTGGTGTCTGAAGTTTGCTTCTTTAGTTTTCCACTGCAGTTATGAGGCTAATGTTGTTGAAAATGAACCAGTTATCGTCAGAAAAACTGCAGCTTAAATCATCACACACCTTAAAGTGTGTCCAGTTGTTAAGAAATCTGAAATGGAATTCTATTACTTGTTAATTACATTAGCCTCGTAGCTCCAATGCTAAAGCAAGTCTTGGGTGATCGACTACATTTAGTGAAAAGGGAAAAATTCTTCTTTTCCTTGTTTTCATCTGAATGTAGTGACTTTAGCTGTGCCTCTAAAACATCTTCTGATTTTTCATGATGTCACCGTGCACCAGCGGGTGGGGCAAAGTAGTACTAACCAATAAAGTCATGTTTCACCCCCCCAGACCCCCCACCGGTCATGGAGAGAAAGTGCTCTGCTAGCTCAGAGACCCTCCTCAATACAGAGATTCACTCACAGTACTGGAGGAGGAGTTATGATGCTCAATGTTGGGTTGTAACATTAGAGACTTTAACCTTTTCTAGATCACACTTCAGTCGAAGAGATTGCATCCATTTTTGTCATTTTTATGCATCAAACCATCTTGCAATACGTTGATGTAATATACTGTTAGAAAGCTTGATCTCAGGATTTGAGTCTCACAAACAATTTCATGATCTGTTATTCACAACAGTTGTGATCGTCTCATTTTCAACATATGCACAAGCAAAAACACTGGCAAATCTGTGTGTCACCACCTTCAAAGCCTCGCCACTCTGCACAGAGACATCATAATCCAAAACATGTGATCTGAGAGCATGGCAAGAGTCAGAGATCAGTTTAGAGATCTGTGAGTCAGAAGGAAGTAAACTTCTCCATTCTAGACTCTTTAATTCTGTGTCAATAATTCATAGTTATTCTGACGTGTTAACCTTTGAATGAGATCAAAATCATGACCAAAGTATGTGGGAATGGCAGGTATGCTGTTTCAGGAAGCAATGGAGCACAGCACCACAGCCAGAAAATCAAGTTACTAAAACAACAACTCAACACCACAGTGGAACAGTGTTTGACAGTGTTTTCATGTTAAAATATCAGAAAGATGTAAATATTGACTTAATTATCTGGTTTCAATGGAAAAAAAACACTGAATTTATTAAAGGAACGGTGTTGGGTGAATAGAACTGAACACAAACATAAAACAAGCCCTCCAGAGTGTGGAACCTGAGCTTTTCACTGATGAATGGGGTTAGGGCGGCTGATAAAATGTATTCAGTAACAGATGAGCTACAGTCTGTGAATGTGTGGCTACAAGGTGCACCTGTATGGAAGGTGTTTCTAATAAAGTGGCCAGTCTGTATGAGAGAGGCTGTTTTTTGTGCTGTTGAAGAATCTGACTGGCAGGAAGGTTCTTTCAAGTTTAAAGTGAAAGTTTGGCCCTGAGTGAAAAGCAAAAATTCTCCCTGAGCGAGCAGGTTAAACCGGCTCTTCATCTGTTCAGTGCAGTAATAGAGTATTAATCAGCCGCGCTCTGAGTGACTGACCTCATCACTGCAGGGCTGTGTATGTCTTTGTTCTCCCACACAAAAGGCCTGATGTGTTTATAGCAGTGAGGAGGAGAAAACTTAAGTTTTATAGGAATGCACTGAAATGTTTGCCTCTGCCTCTGAAAATGGTCAGGGTGCTTTTGGTGTTCGGCCAAAAGAGGAAAAATTGACTAAAATTTGACCGAAAACATCTAAGATTAAATGGAGCTACAGCAAAGTACCACAATCTACAAACTTACAAATCCTTTTGAGACAGGTTCACAGTTATTTCTATAAATTATATTGAAAAATTAAAATTAAACGTGTGTGATATTCATAGCTTGTGCTAATATGAGTGCTAATTATTTGCATGCCTTGCTAAAGAAATACATTTGACAGACAGTAATACACTATAGGAAGTGTAGGGGGCCATATGGCGTCTATTGTTTTGTTTAAAAAGTGTTCTATAATGTTCAAATGATGCACGCAGTAATACTGACAGACTGTAATACACTACAGGAGGTGTAGGGGGCGATATGGCTTCTATTGTTTTTCAAAAAAAATGCTCATATGATCCACACAGTCATTCTGGCTTTGAAATGGCTTTAGAGTAGGAACTTTATGGCAAAGGCCAAGACAGAGGAATAGGGTGAATAGTTTGATTAGCTGATTAATCTCACAGTTGGTGGATCCATTGAAGACTGTGATACTCAGTAGTCGCATCCCTGCCACCGGGTTCCTGGTGTTTATGCTCTACCTGTGTTTGTGTTTCAGGTGGAAAGCCCACAGGTGTGCTGTGTGGAGAGCCTTCAGCTCCTCTGAGGAGGTGTGCACCTCCGTCTGGCAATCAAAACAACATGCTGGACGAGCCTTCATCTGCGGTGAGACTGCAGCACACAAACATGCCTTCTGCCGTTTTTTATGCATTAATGCAGGTGTAACCGAGCCAGAGTTAGCACAAAATACTAACACCAAAATATATACAAATATATATATATATATATATATTTATTTATTTTTATTTTTTTTGCTTTTTCCATATGGATTCATTATTTGCTGAAAGCTAGAATTTTATTTATTTATTTATCCTGTTGGCATTGAGGCCTTAAAAATGAAAAAGTAACACATTTGCTTATAGATGCAGTTTTTTAGAAAAAACTTGAAAAAACCACCATGTGAAAAGTTTCTTCAGCACATTATAGACATATATGATGATTTAAAAAAAAATGACCAAAAGCGCACATGCACTTGGAGTAGGTGAGATGTGAAATTGAATAGCAGAGGCTTTGTTAGTGTTGTTAGACATGATTTTTTTATTTTTTTTATTTTTTATTCCCTTAATAGAACATAAATATCCAAATAGACTTCAGTATTTGAATACAGGCACCTGAAACTCTTTACAGAGCACTTGAATATGAATGCAAAACCCCATTGCAACACGTGACCTTCTCTTCCACTGTCTTACATTATGTTCATTTTGTGTTTGTTTACAGAATGGTGACAACAACACAATGAGTGCTGGTGAGTAGCTACAGTCAGCGTAAGAAAGTGGTCCGTTTGTGAGGATGAGTGAACAAGTCTAATTACATGTTCTCTTCAGCGGTAAAAGCCATGCCAAAGTTTATATTTCCGTATTCAGATGGATTGTAGTTGGTATGAATAAGTATTTATTTAAGTGTAAGTGAACACACCTGCACTAGGCTGCACATACCAGACTAGGAGTGAAGTTGTTGACATAAAACACACAAATTTCTGAGGATGTCCTCACTCGTGTAGGTCACTGTTAGCACCTGGAAGAGCCACCTTTCCTGTAGAGAAAAACAGGTAACGTTCTGGAAAACTATCTGCTATCGCACCATGTTTAAGTCCAACAAGCTCCAGAGTCAGTATGCATTATTTTTGTGTACATTGTCACTTTTTTGCCATTTTTCCCAATTTTCTCTCCAGTTTAATCGTGTCCAGTTCCACCCATCAGCTCGGTCTCCCTCAGTCACACAGCACTGCCAGTGCTAGGAGATTGAAGGCTAGCATGTGAAGCTCCACCACATCTTTTTAAACAGTCGCTTGCGTAACAACATTGAAGCTTAACTATTTTGAGGGTAATGCTAACTGCTAATACCGCTACATTAGTTAAGACACCTGTGTTGAGTGATGAGGAGGGCGAGGGACAGTTATTTTTTGAACTCCCACTTACGGATGACTGTGGCATCACTACTCACAGTGTTCAAGTAGTCAAGATAAGAATATTGACACATTCAGCCCTCAGTGTCACGCTGGAATGTGCAGTTTGCTTTGCCAAAGTTGGACTGTAGGCTTGATGACAAAAAAATCTCTGTTTTGGTGCAGTTAGCAAGCTAGCTAAATTGCTAACCATAAACAGTAAAAATGCAAGAGTAAATGTCACTTACCTGGATAATTTGCAAAAGTATAATGTTGCACTAAAAATATAGATAGATGGCGACGGTGGGCTAACATGTACAGCTGTGTTTAGCCAAGGGGCTAACTTAGCAGTTATCAAGCTATCAATAAACACCCAAAAGTAGACTCTCTAGACTGACTGTGTCTTGCAGTCTCTCTGTGTTTATTTATAGTCAGTGAGGTGAAAGACGTGTGTTTAGCCACTTGCTAAATTATCGTTTCTTCTATTTTTGATCTTCAGTGCTACTAAATGAAGCCCTTTCAGAGGTCAGTACGGCCAAAGCAGTAGCACTGTTGGTCGAGGTTTTGCTCTGGAAAATGACTCCTCACAGTGAATTGTTTGAAATGAATGTTATTTCGCTTGTAAACTTTTGCAAACAGAGCTAATATGACTGGGCTAGTAAGCTAGTAGGACTGACAGCCTTACTGATATTTCTAAGTACCACAGTGTGGGAGTGTTGGCCTGCCTGTAGCTTATATTTAGGCGAGGGGAACCAACAGGACATTTAGGGTTTCATAGAAGGCCTGGTGATTTCTGGGAACTAAAAAATGCATGTCTGTACATACAGCATTAATAGATACAGCAAAGCGAGCTCTCTCATTGGTCAAGACTTCAGGAGCTGGACTGAAGGCCTTACTTGTTAGATTAATTACCAACAGAATTAGGATGTGACAGAGGAATCAACCAATCACACTTCGGCGGCAATCACACTGTGGCGGCAGCTCTTCACCAGAGCTCACTACTGAAAAACTCACTGTAAAAGTGATACACGATAAAATATATCTTTCCAAAATACTACCTTTACGAGAGAAGGAAAAAAACTTTAACTTTTAATGTTATTTAATGTGACAAGAATTTATTCAAAGTCATTTTGGAGTATTTCTCACCCATCATGAAATTTCAGCACAATGTAAAGGGCAGCTGATGTGTTTTAAATGTATGTAGAAAAATAAAAAGTCAAAAATGGAGTTTTTTTTTTGATAGCAACTGTCTAATGCTGTCTGTCACAAGTTTAAAGTAAAACATAAAATTAGAAGGTTCAGATGTCTTCAGATGCTTAATCTAGAACAGCCAAAACATGTTCATGTGAGGTGAGTCATCCATCGCTTAACACTAACATACTACTAGAATCCCATGCTAGCAGAAGATTTATCGTTGAGGTGGGATTTTTATTTGTTTATTTACTTATTTACTTACTTACTTATGTTTTGACCAAGTTTTGACATGTATGACCTGAATTGAAGGCCCACCTCTATCAATCATGATTCATCACGGATATTTAGCAATATTACCGTTTTGTCTAATTAACGACTTTGTTGTTCAGAGGATCCAGCCATGTTGGGGTTAATGAGGTGTCAGTAGCCAGGTATCCAACTTACTGTGTATTTATATTGACATGAAATTTCCCCAAAAACAATGATAAGGCTGTTTCTAAATGCACTGTATAAGAGATTAAAGCTCAGTATGTCACGCTTTTAGAATACTTTTGTGGGCGTAGGTATTAAAACAGGACACAAGGCAGCAGTTTCCAGTGTACTGATGAAGAAATCAAAGCATATATTTATCTTGTCAAAGGAAAACCATATCAGTAACATCAGAGGGTAGACAGAAGGCTGGACGTTTCCTGAGCAGCTCAGGAAATGTCTGTTAATCAGCTGCAGCCCTTTCCCCTCTAATATCAGTTGTTTTTCTTTGATAAGCTAAAAACATATTTAAATATCTACAGCTTCAAAGATTGATTATTCCGTTATTTCGTTCTCAGTTACATCATTTATTCAGTGAAATGTGTTTTCATTGTAATTTGGTGCATTTAAAAGTCAACCCCAAGGCAACATATAAATTTTATTATTCAGAGTCTTTATTTTTATATGACTATATGCACTATAAATATAGAAATTTGACTATTAATGTCAAACACCACTCATGATGCACACACTAGCTGCTTCAGTGCCAATAGTGCCCCCTTCAGGAGAGTCTTTAACCTGCTCAACATGAGGATGTTAAACAGCTAAACTGTTGGAAAGGGTAATTGATTTGAAGTTGTGGTCCCACCTGAAAGCAAATAATTGAACCTTTTCAAACCGATTTGCATCACTGGCATTTATGTGCAGTACAGTGGCTGCACTTCTTAAGGCCTTAACATGCCGTACAATTTATTCGGACACCAGTAGTTTAATTTGAGCATGTGTATAAGTGACTTAGTGTAAGTATCTTGCACACCAAACACAATTTTTAGCACAACTTGACATGAACTCACTGACCAATCAGCGTTGCCTCTGTTGTTGACATGGCAACAACAAAGATGATGGAGCAGCTGTGTTCCAGCAAATAGAATTTTTTCACAAACACTAAAAGGATCAGAATCTTCAAAAAATGCTCAAACTGAGCTACATACATTTAATTTAAAGCCTGTGTGGAAGCACTCAGAGTTCTAGCTTCTGAAAGAAGCGATGAAGCTCCTCATGCTATTTTCACTTTTCCGAAATGGACAGTAGTCCAGTGTCACCATTTGCTTGTTCTGTGAGGAGCAAAGGAGATCTTATTTGTTTTCGAAGACATTCAGACTGTTTACTTTGTGTCTTGTCAGCTGCATTTCCAAAATTAGCTAAATATTCGTCAGAGATCCAAGCTGCGAGTGAAAGAGCTCAAAGTTTCTGCTCCTGAATGAGGAGAAACTCTCCTCATCTTCTCCTTTTGCTTTTCTAAAGTGAAAAGCATCTGCACAATGCCTGGTTCATAAAGAGCAAAGGATATTTAAATACTATTTATTTTACTGCGCAAGCAATTTGGCAACATTCCAAAGAAAACTGTGTTGGGGAAGAAAACTTTAACATTTTTTATCAGTTCAATACTTGATGGGTTTTTATTTATTTATTTATTTATTTTAAATCATTTAGGCCTTCTACATATTCCAAGGTTTAAATTGACCTCTGTGGGTGCTTGATCATTTTAGTGTAGTAGTTCTTAAATTATGGAATAATCTCCGCAACTGTATTTAGGATGCCTCCTCTCATCTTCATTTAACACGCTGGTAAAGACATACTTGTTTTCACTGTGCTGTCAGTGTTCCTTATGTTTTGTATATTTGAATGTAATGCCTAAATACATCTGATTGTCGTGTGTTTTATTAATTGTGTACCTCCTGTTTAATGTGTGTGTGTGTGTGTATATATATATATATATATATATATATATATATATATATATATATATATATGTATATATATATATATATATATATATATGTATATATATATATATATATATATATGTATATATATGTATATGTATGTGTGTGTGTGTGTGTGTATGTGTGTATATATATATGTATATGTATGTGTGTGTATGTGTGTGTATATATATATGTATATATGTGTGTGTATGTATGTATGTATGTATGTATGTGTGTGTGTGTGTATATATATATATATATATATATATATATATATATATATATATATATATATATATATATATATATATATATATATATATATATATATATATTATAATTTTTTTTGGGGTTTTTTTTTGTATGAAAAGCGTAATATAAATACACATACTATGTAATATATTTCCTTTAAATAAACCTGTTTAGGCTAAATAATAATATGGTAAATTACTTCAAACAAAGAAAACATGATTTAAAACATGGAGCAGCTCAGTGTTCTCAAACTTTTAATGGTTAGTATGTGCAGTTTCCCTAAACAGCCACCAGGGGGGGACCACACTCTAAAGCCACTCCTGCACAGAATGGGACATGATGACACTGGGGACTTTTCTTTGGAGAGTTAAAAAAATCACAAGCAAATAGTTGTAATCTGAGTGCTGAGCAGCTTGTTTGGAGTATAGGAGGGGATTAACAGCACCTCCAGCAGTTTTGTAAGAGCAGATGTTTTATATAACTGTAATGCAATACTGGTGTAAGTGTTTCTGCCGGTCTTGTTTGTAAATGACCCAGTGGGTTCTGACTGCAGGGCACAGGTTTAAGCTTGAGCTGCATTTAGGTTGAAAGGAAGCATTTAGGAGTAGAAGAAAAGATGATGCTTCTTTTGTCAAGCTGACGGATTTGAACTGATCTTTTATACAGCTTTTACACCGTGTCCTGCACTGTTCCGTATCTGTAGGATCTGTATTTACATAAAGGAAACAACTCCACCTTCTATACAAATGATACCTGTGTATCGTTCCTTACGGCTAAAGAGAGAAACGCACCATAACTGCTAGTTAGGGGCAAACCGTGAGTGTTAGAGCTGGGCCTTCAGGTCAGGCTTTACATGTCAACTTGGTCAGTAAAAGGAGAATAAAACTCACCTCTGTATTAATGCTAATTTCTGCTGTGGGATTTCTAGTAGTATGTTAGTGCTGGTGCACAGTTTAACTTCTAGATTAAATACATATTTTTGCAGCTTGTGAAAGACATTCCATGTTTTATCTGAAGCGTGAAAGACATTAACATATATTTGAGCTTGTATTAGGGCTGAACTGTTTTTATTGCTATTTTTCTGACGAGTATTGTAATTTGGTTTAAATTACAATTGTTCTCTATAAATGTTTTTCTATAAAACTGAGGTATGGGCCCTATTTTGTGGCTAAGAAGACCAGTGTATACTTTTCCTGGCTTAAGGCTCAAACGCTTAACACAGTGCGCCAGCCTGCCAGTGGTTGTGATGTCACAGTGTGGTTGCTTCTCATTAGTCGAATTTAGCTATAAGCAGTTCAATGTACTTAAGTTACTTAAAACTTGCAGTGTATCCATGTTGATTATAATAAAAACTGCAGCTCGTGCAATTTGAAAATTGCACTCTTTCTTGCAATTTTGATATTAAAAACTTTCCGGTTTAGCTTGTGTGTATCAGTTTTACAGTGACTCAGTAAATAGTCCTGACAGAGCTGCCGCTGCTGTTGTCCATTCCTAGCAGCTAACCAGAACACTGCTTAGACTACAACTCGTATTCACAGTCAGTGACCTATCTAGAACTTCCAGAAGGTCCAGAGTGATCTCTTTTCTCTTTCTGTGTAAGATATTCAGTCCAGCTCCTTCAAGTCCTGACCAGTGGGAGACCTTGTTTGGGTGTATCTACCTAGATGTTACAGAAAAAAAACGATCCTGATTGGACAAGTTTCTTTTGGGCCTTTTAAGATTGGCATAAAAAAATGACAATAAAACTAATATAATTATAGACAATAGCTGTCTTTCAGCTTCTCTGTCTGTCTAGCTATATGTCTATCAGTCTAACTGTCTGACTGTCTATCTGCCTGTCTAACTGGGACCAGATATAGTCTGACCAACTATCTGTATCTTTGTTTGTCAGTCTAGCTCAGTATCTGTTTGTCTATCTTTTTGTCTAGCTCACTGTCTAACTGTCTAGCTTACTGTCTGTCTGTTTTGTCTGTCTACCTTTATGTGTCTCTGTCTGTCTAACTTGCTTACTGTCTATCGGTCTAACTATCTGTTTGTGTATCTGTCTATTTGTCTAGTTCACTATCTGTTTGTTTATCTATCTATCTATCTGTCTGTCTGAATGGGACCGGATATGGTCTGTCTATGGTCTCTCTGTCCATCTGTCGGTCTAGCTCACTGTCAAGCTTTCTGTATGTCCGTCTAACTATCTGTCTTGCTTACTGGCTTACTGTCTGTCTAGCTTACTGTCTGTGTGTCTAACTTTAATTGTCTCTCTGCCTAATTATGTCTCTCTGTCCAGCTGTCTATCTGTCTAAATATCTGATTATATAATGGTTTGTATGCCTGTCTATCTGTCTGTTTATCTTACTGATTATCTATGTATAATTATGTCTGTCTGTTTCTCTAATAGCCCCTGTGTCTAACCAGTTATCTGTTCATCTAAGAATCTGTCCATCTAATCTATTTATCCAAGAGGAAAAGCAGGAAAACTGTGATCTTGGTAAAGGGCAGCTTCAGGCTGTTGCTCAGTGTGAAAGTCTTCCTCAGTGAATGAATAAATTAACTGATTTATGTTTCTTCTCCTCCACAGAGAGCACAGATGACGTGGAGAGCGGTCAGGAGCAGGTGGAGCAGGCCGCGCCCCCCCGGGCGAGATGGCTGTGGCAGGGGTCCCGTCTGGCCGCAGGAATCCCCCCGGAGGAAAATCCTCCCTTATCCTTGGCTGAAAAACGTCGTCCTTCAGCGCCTAGCATCCAGAGCCATGTTCACAAAGTATCTCTCAGCACTGTTCCTGGGTCAGCTTTGCCTTCTCAGTCCACCATGACCAAACCCAGTGTGAGTGGGGGTGGATCCCAGTTTGATCCTCTTATGCAGATACTTTGTAAATACAGGCCTAAATCCTGTTTGCCAACGATGTTAACTTGTTCTATGTTTTTTGTTTTTTTTTCCCCTTTTTATATCACCTTGAAAGTATTGTTTGCTGCATTTGTGCAAGTCTGAGCAAATCCTTCCACTTCCCAATCTCTCTTCCTCACTGGTCTGGTTTCTGGGGTAGTGGTCTGGGCTGAAGATCAGATTAAGCCTGATGGTCATGGGATAAGTGGTTTCACTGACAATAGTGGGGGATTTTTTTCATTGAGAACTTAATTCTTCATTGAGTATTTCATCTGAAGTATGCCTTGTTTGTAATTGAGAGCGCTCGGCAGATGGTGCATTTGAACGTCTATTGACCCCTAAAGCCTGCTGTGGAAGGAGTGTGAATTGTTATTGTTCGTTCTGTCCCTTGGTGTAAATGGATTAAAAAATGTTTGTGTTATGAATTTCTAAGTACAATAAACTATTGTTATGAAGCTTGTGTGTGTCTTTCGGTAGGATTTCTACCAAAGAAAACGGACTGCATCCAAGAATAACAGTATTTTCTCAGTCCAGCTTGTACAGTGTAGGCCAGAGGTCTTAAAACGTGAACCGTGAATCCAGTTTCCAATGCCAGTCACTGGTAAGTATGACACTCTCCAGCCAGTTAACTACATCAACAGTCAATGACTATTAATTACAAAATCTGGAATTAGAAACTAGATGTTATGTGCAAGTCAACATTTCTGGATTTTTAACTGACTTCTAATTTTAATTGACTTTTAATAAGATCCCACCAAACACCCCACACAAACTACCATCATTAAGTGTGGTGTATGGGCTTGATTGGGCACCCACCTGTTTCATCCACAGATCATGGCCGCCTGTCTGCGCAATACCAGGAGCTGGCTTCAAGAGCTATTGCTGTGCGTGCCCACACCTGTCAGCTTCAACCATGTTATGCCCACTTATACCTTTGTAATCTACACTGCTGTCAAAGAGCAGCCCACTCAACCCACAATCAGCCCTTAGCCCTGAGCCCTGACACAGAACAGTCTCCAGACCTTGTCATATCTCCACAAACCATCTGCAAAAATAAATGTTTGAATGTTGTGAAATACTATTTTGTGTATATTTAGGCTAAACAAAACCATGAGGACTCATGGGATCACATAATGAGTGTTGAGAAAGCCAAAACGATTTTCTTGAACAATACATGGTGACCTGAGGATTATTTTTTAATTAAATTAATTTTTAATTTTTTGGCCATTAATTATTTGATTATTACATCAAAAACTTTAAGAAGCATTAAAAATGTAAACGTAGCTATTTATTCGAAGTGCTGTCCTTATGAAACATCAAAAACTAATTTGACTGCGCCCCCTTGTGGGGAATTTTCAGCCTGCTGATGGTGGCCTGCGTTAAGAATTTTCAGTGTGCTGATGGCGCCAATCATAGCCCCCCCACCCCCACCCCTGCGAAGAATTTTCAGCCTGTTGATGACATCTATGCTAAAAAGTGGGAAAATAGTCAAGTGAAAATTGATGATTTAGAACATAAACACACTTCCTGCAGAGGATGAATTCCTCTTTTGAGGGTTGGTTCCTCTCGAGGTTTCTTCCTTCCTTGCTCTGAGGGAGATTTTTCTTGCCACTGTCGCCCTTTGCAGCACTCAATGGGACTCGGACCCGGATTTTCTATGAATAAAGCTGCTTTGTTACAATGCCCGTTGTAAAAAGCACTATATTAAAAAAAATTACCTGATATGACTTGACAAATGTCACTAAAGTGGATAGTGGATCCTGATTAGGTCGTATAATCTTGGTGGGAACGGTGACCCATACTTTTTCTCAGTATGGGCTCTTTAAAGGGCTGATATCATGGAAAACCACATTTTCACCTCAACTATTTCTTTTTTTTTAATCAAAGAGTTTGATGTAGTATGTGAAGCCTGATAAAAGTTTCAAAATGTACTTTTCACTCCCCAGTCCATATATAGAAACTAAGTTGCAAAATGTGCCCATTTGTGACATCATAAAACCCACCACATTTAGATATACCCACCTATTTAACCTTCTGTACCTTAGCTCCATCCATTCATATTGAGGTTATCCACCTTATTCCTGCGCCCCATGATGATAAGTGACTTATGGACAGAACTTCTGGCAAAGTGTAAACAGACAATACACTGAATGTTTATGTTTATGTTAACATCTTAACATGACATAAATGTGGGAATAAATATAAAACATACATAATCTTTATTGTTGGGATGCTGAAATACTTGTTTGCTGATGTTTGTAGTTTAATCGATCTGTGAAACCTGAACCTGTGTGAGAGAAACGCTTTAGTCAGAGGATCTTATTTACAGCCTACAACGATTACTCACACTAATAAAGTAATTTTATTTAAACTGTTTGTGTTTACACTGAAACTCAGATATAGAGAACCATAAATTAGAACCTTTACACAGCAACGTCTAATGTAGAAATCTGTTTTTAAACCAGCTGATGGGGTTAGCTCAGCTCTATATGGAATTTTTATTTTGCTCTAGTTTAAATATGGACATTTTCAGCCCATAACAGGCATGTATCATTCTTTTCTTTGTGTTTCTCAGTTTTTAAGTGACACTTTATTTAAAGGCTTGAATTTGGAGTCTGTCTTTTATTATTGTGGCTTTAACCTGTTAGCTGGTTAGCTTTCTTTTGACCTGCTCAGCCTGTGAGGGCAGAATCCAGTTGTAAGAGAAAATAACATGTAAACCAGTTAAAGTGAGTGTTTGTGATGTTTAACACTGAAAGGTACAGGCAGAGACCCATAAAGCAGTGCCATTACACAGCAATGTCGAATGTAATTTTTTTTTAACCAACGCTTCAATAATGCTCCTTGTTCGCCATGATAGCTAGCTATGTTAACATCAAGCTGTTCTTCATCTGGTTGCATTTTATGGGCTCAGATTTCAATGCTAACAGCTGAGCTTTTTCACTATGAGTCATTATGAAGCTACAATCTCATGTCTGCTCTCTTTTTGCTTGTAGGTTAGCATTATGGTTTTTGCTGTAATTTCAGTTTCACTCTGAACGTTATCTCAGAAATGCCTCAGAGCAAAGAACAAAGAACAAAACAATAACTTGAAAAGTAAGCACACTTTCTTTTGCTAAAAATGGTTACAGACAAAAAATTTAAATAGTTTCTAACCATTTGCCCAGGACCTTCCTTTAATTTTAGAAAGTAGACGAAAGTATTTCCCTAAAACCGCAAAGAAAACTTACCTGTATAGCTATTTCCTTTCCAGCAAATGAGTTTTGAGCAGCAGGACGTTTGAATTACTGCTACCGAGTGCTGATTGGTTAGCATTACTGCTACTGAGTGCTGATTGGTTAACATTACTGGTACTGAGTGCTGATTGGTTAGCATTACTGCTACTGAGTGCTGATTGGTTAGCATTACTGCTACCGAGTGCTAACTGCTTAGCATTACTGCCACTGAGTGCTGACTGGTTAACATTACTGGTACTGACCGCTGATTGGTTAGCATTATTGCTACTGAGTGCTGATTGGTTAACATTACTGGTACTGACCGCTGATTGGTTAGCATTACTGCTACTGAGTGCTAACTGCTTAGCATTACTACCACTGAGTGTTGATTGGTCATGAACGTAAAAGAGGCGGCATTATAAACTCCTATAGTCCAAAAACGCTCAAATAACAGCAGTTTATATGCTTTAAGCTGTATGTGTTCAGGAAATAAATGCATTCTTCAATATTAAACATGTTATTTGAGTATTTGTGTATCATTTTGCTCAAACTCTTCATAACTAATTTATTTTGGACTCGTTCGGGAGCGCCCTCTGTCTGACAAACCAGAAGACGTTACTAAGTGGCAGTTTTTTCTGGTGTTTCAGCCCGGGCTGCTTATTAACTGAAGCACAGCCAATCAGCGCTCATTTGCATATCTTAAAGGCACAGTAACTAATTAATTCTGAGCAATAAAGAGAGGTTGGTGGTCATGTAAAAATGAATCATGACTGTTCTTTTCGTACATATCACACCAACCACGCAAATGGAGAATAAAAAAGTCAAACTAAATGTCCCGAGCAGACGGGGAAGTCCAGAAATCTGATCAAGGAAGTGCTTTTTCGTTGTCGCTGTTGATGAGACTATATTGAAAGCGAAAGCATTTCAGACCTGCCTGCCTACAGCAGCTGCTACACGCTCTCTGCTTTCCTTGAAGAGCTTGTATCTGTAAGTACTCATATTTTATATCATTTTAGTCTCTGTTGTTGCCAGACGTCTCTTTTCGCTTCTTAAATCGTGTTTGGACTTCTTGCTTTTCTCGCTGTGTGTGTTATTTTTAAACTCGGCCAGCTCGGCCATTCTAGAAGGCGCTGCCAGCACGCGCCGTATGAAACAGCACGTAACGTTACAGCAAAAACAGCCTACGAGCTGAAGTCGGCTCGTTTGCCAGCTTATTATTCGAAATTTCCGTTCCACCTTAAATAGTGCAGCAGTTACACTAGGCGCGAGACTGTAACCGCCGCGCTATTTAAGGTGGAACGGAAAATTCAAATAAGAAGTCAACTTTAGCCTCCTCTACAACTTGTAGACAACAACAGAAAATCAGGAAACTGCTGATCTTAATCACTAAAGCATTCTCAGTCTTCTGTAAAGCCAATGCAGTCTAAAGTACACTCTTCAAAAGGTCATAAAGGTTCTTTAGTAAGAAAACGGTTCTATATAGAACCATGAACACTCAAAGAAGCCTTCGCATGGATAAAGGGTTTTTGCACCGTGAAAGGGTTCTTCAGATTGATATAGAATGTGCTGTAGATGAGTCTATATAGCAAAGTTATATTTTTCTTATTTAAACTCTGAAACTGAAAAAAAAAACAACATAGAAGCCATTAAGTGTGTCTGTTGGTTCTTGATGGTTTTGTAATGTGTTTTGGCTTTTTTAATGGGTTGATATCACAATATAATGGTGGTTAAACATGGAGCCCAATGGCTGATTCTTAATGCATCTGATGGCTTTCTAATTGGATCTAAAGGTGTTTTACAGGTAACAAGTGGAATCCTTATTGGAATCCATTAAGCAAATTGACTTTAGATAGCAAAATATTATTAGGTTTTAATCCTAGTGGTTTCTAATGGCCTTTTTCAGCAGAGAAGGAACTCTTCACCAACAAAAAAACCAAAAAACAAATTTAGCCTACGCAAATGTACTTCCCTCTCCTACTCCATGTCGTCGATCACTGATCGACTCACATGTCTGAACTCGCATGCATTCTGTGCTAGTCTAAGCTGGTTTATGCTGGTCTAGTGCTCTTCTGGTGCTGGTTTAGCTGGTCACCCAGCCACGTCATGATGGTTGGCCAACATACCAGCATCCAAACACAACATATGCTGGATTTGCTGGTGACCAGCCATGCTCGTTTTTCGAACAGGGGCGTTTTCCTTCGTCAGTTTTAGCACTGGAGCTGCGACGCTAATGTTGCTAACCGGCGGTGGAAGTCTGTGTCACCCAAAATCATTTATAGTAGCTAAAACTGAAGAAGCAGACTTTAGACACCACATTGCATTGGCTGATCAACTACATTTGGAGTAAAGGGAGCCTTGGAGAATGCTAATGTATGCTGACCACATGTTTGGGAGGAGATGGGAAAGGAAACAAATATTTTAGCATGCTAATATTCTGGTATGTTTTCCAAACTTACAAGCACTGTGTTCACATTCTAGTTTGGAAATTGAAGAGGGTACAGTAGTTTTTGACTGTTCAAGTGATTAATTGTGAAATATTTGCTTCTCCATGTTCCTCAATATGTTCTTACAACATTACAGTCTTCTATGTGGGCAGTCTTGGGCTAACCTGCCTTGCGACCGGAAGGTCGCCGGTTCAATCCCCTGAGCTGACAGTGTGTGACTGAGGTCCCCTTGAGCAAGGCACCTAACCCCCAACTGCTCCCTGGGTGCTGTGGATAGGGTTCTGCCCACTGCTCCAGGCAAGTGTGCTCACTGCCCCCTAGTGTGTGTGTTCACTAGTGTGTATGTGGTGTTTCACTGCACGGATGTTCTTTTGAACTGGGCCACATCCCCTAAGCTACCCATGGCAGTGTGGCATGGGCGCTACACAGCCCCCACCGTTCTGGCCGCAGTGTGCTGCAGGGTGCCCACTCCTCAGCAACAGGTGCCTCCAGTCCTTGCTCGTGGTCGTGTCCGTGGTGGCCACCATAACCAGCATCACTTGTCCTGTATCTAAGCCCAGTATTTCCTTCTTGAGGTCGAGTGCGGCCTGGCTGCCTTGAGGAAATCCAAATTGAGTATGCACACGTCCTGTATAGGTGTGAGACAGAACTCTGTACTGCTCTGACACTGTTTGTTCAGCTACTCCAGAGTCGGTGGCTTCTCCCATAGGAAACAAACGCCACGCTGCCAATGGAGCCCAGCCTCTCTGCCTTGACTCTGCGTTAGCTTCCGTAAACAGCTTCACTCGTCCAGTCTCCAGCCCGGCATTCCCTTCCTGAGGTTGAGCAAATCCAAATCGTGAGGAAATCCAAATCGAGTGTGCACGCCTCTTGTATAGGCAAGAGCCAGAACTTGTGCACTCCGCTGAGACCCCTACCATGACTGGCAGCTGCTTACACCCTCATGTGTCGACTCGACTGCCGGTTAACAGACTTGAGTTGGACGGTTGTTGCTTCCTAATTGGCAGGTGTGCTGCTCTTAATGTACAGCTAATGAGAGCAGTGAGCTGTTTACCATCTATGCTGCATTTATCCCAAAGTCCATGGAGGCAGCCATGGTCCTGGCTGTGGAATTGATGCTGGGTATTGTTGTCTCCAGGGTCTGCCCACCCCTCACTGGGAAACGTAGCTCTGATTTCCCCTCTGGCTCAGGTTCACGGCATTGACTGGTGCATTGACCCCTTTTTCTGCACCACCAGCACACCAGTCGCTCCGTCGCCACTCGCTCAAGTGCTGTTTGGCATGACACCTCCTCCTTGAGCTCCTTCGCCATGTAGCACTGTGTTGCTTGCCTGGCGTCTTTATGCCAATAATGAGTTCTGCCATCCCTGAACATGCTGCTGCTGCCGCCATGGAGGCAGAAAGTGTTATAGTGCCAAATCTTTCTGCACAGACTTCGCAAACAGCAGGTATGCCTGCTGAATCATTGTGCTCTGCTGCCAGTACACTTATCCGCTATCCCTTTAGCCTCTGCCTCTCCAGGACCTTTCCAGGAGGGGGCAGACGTAGCGCTTAGTGCTCCCTTCCTCCTGGCTATGTCTAATATCTCATTGATTGAAAGGCTGCTCTACTTATTCCAGCTCGGCGGCCTTATTCAGCTTCTGACACCAGTGTAGCATCGGCCCAGAAGGAGACGCAAACGTTGCAGGTACAGGTGAATACTCTTATATTTTTTTAATAGGCACTTCAACAGAGGCAGGAAAATGCCCAGCCCTTACCCCTTCACATGTTTTGTTTTGAGGTAGTGCTGGGCTGGGTACTTTGCTGGGCTGCCTCTGTTGGGATGCCTGTTAAGAAGTAAAAGAGCATTTGCCCATACATGCAGTGTTGTACGCGTCTTCGTCTACACTGATGCTTCAGTATATAGCAGTGATAACTACTTCATTTCTGATAGCCTTGGCTGTTTACTTGGAGGCATATGTGTCAGATAAGTCTGGTATGTGATCAGCAATATGAGTCTGATTGGCCAGGTTACAAAGTTCACCAGTTGTGCAATAAAAAATGTTCTTATGCGCAGTCAGATGAGAAATGAAGAGCATGCTGCGAGTATATGTTATAAATGAAACCTTCAGCAGTATTTATTGCACTATGATCCATTGTTGGTTTATGAATGTGTAGATCTTTCCTCTAAATTCTCATTGATCATTATTGAGATATTTCGCTAAACTATTTTTCACAACATGTGGAACAGGCAGAGAATTTCACTCGCAATAGAAAGAAAACAATACCAAAGTATGAAAAGTAAGAAAGTAAGAAAATATACAACATAATTCCTTTTAATAGTGTTGTCTGCTTTTGTGTTTTAGTATTGCTATAGAAGCTATAGGATGTCCTCAGTTATCAGTTTGGTAGCTCAAATTGCAGGTGTAGAAGAGACTGGGGAAAAATGAAATCTGGACAGACAGACAGATGATTCCAGAAAATATTTGTCTGTCTGTTCAACATGACATTGGCACAATGTTAAAAAGATATAGTTTTGAAGAAAAAATAGAAAGAATCAGAGCTTTTAATCTAAACCAAACCACCAAATATAAACATATATAAACATTCACTGACAAACAAATTATATTTTTGAATCTGTGAAACGATAGGAGCGCTTCATATGTGTTATCAAGAACAATAATAGAGAAAACTGGACAACTTTATCAATATAAAATGATTTTTTTCTCTCATTTGCTTATATTTAAACATCACAATTCATTATAAACGTTCTGTGAATTAAACATTGTCTTGTTATACCAAAATAATAGTTAAATCTTGAAATGAATATGTTGACTGACTCACATCATCAAGTGTCTCAAAGCTTAGAGTCTAGAAAACGTTTAACCACGCTAGCTTTAACATAACCAACTCCAAAATCAACGAGCCAATCAACCCCACCCATATTAGTACAACTCTGTAATACTTTGTGTTCGCTAGCTAGCATTACTTATTAATGGCTTTCACATCATATATCAAATATAACTGGTTGCCATTAATACTGATTAAATGAATGATTTTATGGAAGACCATTCCTGATACCTAAATAAAAAAAACAGCTCCTAATTATTATTTTTCCATTATTAAGTGAATTGCTATGCCATTGTTATTAATACTAAGCAATTATTTTGAGATGCTGAGTCATTATTTTGAGATACTATCTCATTATTTTGAGATACTATCTCATTAATTTGAGAAATGTTCTTGTTATTTTTAGCAAACTTCTCTTTATTTTGAGATGCTTTTAAGGTTTACATATAAGTAAATAAATAAATTATGTGAAAGCATCTCAAAATATTTAGATAGTATCTCAAAATAATGGCATAAAAAATTCACTTAATAATGAAAAAATAATAATTGGGTGGTTTTATTTTAAAAGGCAGGAATGGGCTTTCATAATATTTTCAGTATCTCTCTTTTAAACATGTCTATCAGACTGCACTGTGGGCTGTACTTATGACCCATGGATGAACTTCATTCTTTGTGGTTCTAGATTATCTATCGTGTATTTTGACCTTTGAGTCATTGTGCATGACACACCCAAGACATTTTTCTTTCTGCCATCTTATTAAATTGTGTTGCATAGTGGTTGCTTCTGCCTGGAAAAACAACTGTTGTCTGTTGTTCATTACAAAAATTGACATAAACCTTATGGTGAATAATTGATGTAGTCAGTTGATTATTGATCCCAGCTGTCAGAGGTTTCTTGAGGACATGATAAAACTCTTCTCGCAGAAATTAATCCCTCCTCATACTGTGGAATTTACAACTGTGAGTGATGTTATTGGCCAAGATTTAAAGCAATGACTGGGCAAAAAAAAAACAGATTTACACAAATTTTTAACTTACATGAGATATAATCGATCAGAAGACACATTTGCTGTCCAAATTTTGCTTATTTAGTTTAGAACTGGAGCTATGAGGCTGACGGCTGCGCATTGAGGTTTTGCTTGTGTTAATAGCTCACAGTAAGTCATACTGGATGCGTGTTGTGGGATGTATTTACAGGAAAATATTTTGGGTGACTATTCAGTGGCTTCCAGTGTTTAAGCCTTGTAGCTCCAGTGCCAAAACTAAAGAAGCAAAATTAGGACACCAAACATGTTTTGGCTGATGGACTGCATATACATATACAGTGGTTGTTCCGTCCTTTGTCGATCTGTCTATCCACTGGTTCTGTTGAAAAGTGGACTATTCCTACATGCTGTTCTTTATGGATCTGTCTCTCTTGTATAAGGCCATGAGAAAAACGTGTCATCTGGTAAAAAAAAAAAATTGATTCTGAAATTCAATGCAGGACAACGACTTAACTGTACTTTTGTCCTGTTTTCCTCTGTGTACCTTCTGTATTTCTTTCTTCCTCTGGGTATTTGGATATTTACAGCTGTTGGCGTGGGTTACTTCCTTCACAGACTCCCCTCCCCCGTCCCCGTCCCTGCCCCCGGCCCCCGGCCCCCGAGAAGAAACGCACAAGAGAAATGAACCGAATGTTCTTAACTCTCTTATTGCTAACACAGCTAACACTCCTGCCATTTCAACTGACTTTGTGAGACCTCGCTGCATACCCTACACAAGCTGGCTTTGTTCAGTGTGGTGTGCGGGCTTGGTTGGGCATCCGCCCGCTTCGATCACATATCTCGTCCTCCTGTGTGCGCAAGTTGTTGTGATGTTCCTGCCAGGACCCTGATGAAAGACCTGGTGCAATCGTCTAGCCTTTGAAATCTGCATCACTGTATTAGAGCGGCCCATTCAACCCCCCACCCCCCGACACATAGCAGCCTCCAGACCCATCAAAACTCCACAAAACCAGCTACAAAAACAAACACTTGAGTACTGGAAAACAAACGTCTTGTGTATATTTAAGCTAAACAAAACTGTAAGGAATCATGGGATCACATAATGAGCGTCAAGAAAGCCAGAACTATTTTCTTGGGGGAAAAAATGCAGTTAGGTTTAGTGCAGAAGTATGTGAGTAAGAATACTAAATAGGATGTCAAAATTAGTACACCACCATTAGAAGTCCATTTATTAGTGTAGAAGGTATAGTATAGTAGTATATGCTTTTGAACGCAGCCCTTGTGTTTATTTTTAATAAGGCTTGGCCATGAATGAATATGTTGACGCCACATGACCATGAGAAACTGAATTCATGGCCTTAGCATATTGATTTGTGGCCAAACCTTATTAAAACATAATCTCCATGTCATTTTAGGGCAGGGGTCAGCAAGCCCAATGTTAAGAAGAGCCATTATGTCCTTGCAGCAAAAATCACCTTCTTACCTTCTTGGCTCTAAATATGTCTCAGTATGTGCTGATGTCCTAGTGTAGGATTTCAGCTTGAGCTCAGCTATAGCAGCTTTTCTCACATCTCTGGCAGGAAACATTTCTGAAAATGTAGAATAGTTACTTGTAAAATGTCTCTCAATGTTTGATTTTTTTATGAGGTTGAAGTCAGCTTTTCATTCACCAGCTTCTTGTTCGAATTTTCCCATTCCACCTTAAATGGTGCAGCAGGCGGAGCAGGAAAATTCGAATGCGACGTTTTAGTGTTTGATAGTTGACCGTATTAGGCTGCAGTTTGAATAGCTGGTGCTATAACATTATTAATTTCAGCTTCTCATTCATGTAATTTTGTGACGTTGATTAAATATGCAGGAGCTATGAGGCCGGCGGCTGCACGACAAAGGTTTGCTCATGTAAATAGCTTGCGGTAAGTCATACTGGATGCGGTTTGAGAGAACTGTTGGGGTTGTATTTACAGGAAAATATTTTGGATGACTATTGACTTCTAGTGTTTGAGCCTCTGAGCTCCAGTCGAAATAAAAGAAGCAAAATTGGGAGACCAAACATGTTTTGGCTGATTGACTACGTATACAGTGGTGGTTCTGTCCTTTGCCGATCTGTCTGTCCACTGGTTCTGTTGAACAGTGTGGATAATTCCCACATGCTGCCATTTCTCTTGTATAAGGCCATGAGAAAAACGTGTCATTTGGTGAAAATTAATTCTGAAATTTAATGCTGGACAATGACTTAACTGTGTTTTTTTTTGTCTTTTTCTCTGTGTCTCTTTTGTATTCCTTTTTCTCTGGGTATTTGAATATTTGCAGCTGTTTGTGTGGGTTATTTCCCTTTTCACAGAACCCCCCACCCCCCCCAAAAAAAAGAAAAGAAGCATACCGTAAAAGGGAAGAAATGCATACTGGAACAGAACTGAATGTTCTTAACTCCCTCATTGCCCTTGACATGACATTTAAGCGAGAAATGACTTAAAGATGAAACAGTCCGTCAGGGTGACTTTATAATAGAGTTCTAGTACTAAGCCGTGTTTGGAGCTGGTGCAACATGTCGTGCCTCACAACACTGTGAAATTGGCACACAGCACTTTGAGTTTGAGTGAAACAAGTTCCCCTATTGCCATTCGGATGATTATTAACCTCAGAAATACTGGTGTTACTTAAGCTCACTGTTGAATGGTGACATTCTTGGCAAGATTGAAATGTGAGGATGTGTCCAGAATTGTTGAACACCAAACACACAACAACACGGTAGTCCAAGCTGAATAAAGGTTATTGTTCCCTCACAGCTATCGGATGTCAGCTAACGTATACAGAGTGATAAAACAATGGATAGGTGAAAATAACCATAAACAGAAAGCAAGATTAGACATGTTAGGTGGAGATGTGTTCTACCAACCGCCGACTCCAGTGAATGAACATTATTGTGTATCATGAAAATGTCTTGAAGTATTGTGATATTGTATTTTTAGTGTTGTACTATGTGCAGAAATAATACAATGTTAAAGAACACATGTGGGGTAATAATACAGTGTAATGCTGAAATATATACAGTGTGAGGAGGGTGGCGCGCGCTGGGATGCTTCGGAAGAGGTTAGACAGAGGAACAGGGCAGGAGCTGGGTGGGAGGCATCTGGGATGGTGTTTTCTTGCCGGCAAAATGAAAACTGTTCCACTGAAAGTGGCTGGGAACAGCACCAATTTTAAAGTGCATACTGCCTTCAGTGTAACTTTAGTGTAAGAGTACGCTGCAACTTTTGTTCTTGGACTCGGCCATCGGCGTTACTATTATTGTTTTAACGAAAGCAGACAAACCTGGCAGCAAGTACTTCCAGTGGGGAAAAAAATGGAAAATGTGAAAAGGGCCTGTTTGAACTTGACTTCTAAAAATAACTCCAGCAGTGTCTATAACAGGAGTGCCCAATCCTGTTCCTGGAGATCTACCACCCTGCAGAGCTGAGCTCCAACCATAATCCTAATCCAGGAAATGAAGGCCTTCAGAAGCATCTGAATAATAGAGCCAGGTGTGTTGGATCTGAACTCTCCAGGGTGGTAGATCTGAAGGACCAGGACCAGGACTGGGCACCCCTGGTCTAGAATATTACCTTGAGGGGTTTTAATTGTAGTGTCTGAGTTACATGTGGAGATCATGTTGGCCTAATGCCCAGTTCTCAACTTCTCCTTTAGGGAAACATGGCTTCAGCTGTTCTCCTGTTCCTCACTGTGATGCTTTCATCTGTACATTTTGGAGCATTTGCTGGTAAGTAAGTTGACTGGAAAAAAGTAACAGCACCCAGAATATTGTCATTTTATTCAACAGTCAGTTCGGATGCTCACTTAACTCCAAGCTGCTGGAACTACTTTTTTGGCAGAAGAAACTGCAAATATTAAACACACAAATTTGAAACAATGTTCCAGGCTCCTTTGCGTTTTTTTTTTTATTACTGTGCATAAAAGCAGCATAACATCTGTGATGATCACACAGTCCCTCGTAGGTTCTGTTGCTTAAGTGAATATGTGAAAGGTCTAGGTTGATGGGACATCATTCTTTGTTGTGACACTAAGCACTATTCAGTTCATGACAGGTTCATTGTTCTTGGAATTTTACTCTTGGTGCAGTTCTGTTTAACATGTTTTCTTCTCATTCGGCAGCACTGATCAGTCTGGAATGCCAGCCTGCAGTTGGAGTCGTTGGGCAGATCACAAAGATCTCCTGCTCTTTCAAGATGAATTTTGGCGCAGATCAGAAAATTATTATTTCTGCAGGGGCTGTAACTAAGAGAGGAGAGACAGAACCACTGTTCTGGTTTAAGAATAATACAGTAGACGGAGATGATCGATTTAAACTTCTTTCTAAAAATGATCCATCTTTACTGCTCAGTAGCACTGCTGTCTCTGATGAAGGTCTGTATGATTACACTATTGTAACCAATCGTGGCATAATAGAAGATGGAACATTCAGGATCAGCGTTACAGGTGAGAGTTGGCCTTGTTGGCCTTTTATTTCATCTCTTGTTTATTTGGGACACGTCAGTAAGGGTCGAGGGCTGTTCAGCATTCATGCTCAGAGTCACTTGCTGTTTTTTTATTTGACTCGACAACTGAATCCTTTTGTGATTTACAAAGTCAGAATATCTGCATTCTTTTTAATGTTGAAGTCCTGCCAGTCTGAGTCACGCCTTTGTGTCTGTGAGGTCTGTCACTACACAGTGTTTTTACAGTACAGTGTTTGTTAATAGTGATGTTGCCGTTTGATATCGCAGATGGCTGTGATATGCAAATGAGCCCTTTAAAAAATACAAAAGCTTTCATTGTTTGCCACGAACCAGAGATTTGACTCAGACTTGGCCTTAACTGACTCATGACTCGGTCTTACCTTTAACTCATCTGTGTCTCTGTCTCGCTCTTACTGACTCACAGCTTGACTTGGACTCACCCTTAACTGACTCTCTACTCAGCTTGGACTCACTTTTAACTGTCTCTTGACTCAGACTCACCCTTAACTGACTCTCTACTCAGCTTGGACTCACTTTTAACTGTCTCTTGACTCAGACTCACCCTTAGCTGACTTTCAACTCGACTCAGACTCTCCTATCACTGACTCTTGACTTGGACTCGCCCTTAACTGATTCTCAACTCAACTGAATCACCTTTTACTGACTCTCGAATCAGACTTTCCCTGTAACTGACTTGCGACTCTGACTTGCCCTTATCTGACTTTTGACTCGACTCTGACTCACCTTAACTGACCTTCGACTTGACTCGGACTCGCACCTCAGAGGCTTGATACTTGACTCAGACTTGCTCCTCAGAGACTCAAGACTCGACTTGGACTTGGACTCGCCCTTAAGTGACTCTCGACTTGACTCAGACTCGCACCTCAGAGACTCAAGACTCGACTTGGACTCACCCTTGTCTGACTCTCGACTGGACTCAGACTTGCTCCTCAGAGACTCAAGACTCGACTTGGACTCACCCTTATCTGACTCTCGACTCAACTCGGACAAAACTCGCACCTCAGTGACTCAAGGCTTGACTTGGACTTGCCCTTATCTGACTCTCGACTCCACTTGCACCTCAGAGTCTCAGAATTCGACTCGGACACGCACCACAGAGACTCGACACTCAACTCAGACTTGCGTGAAGCAGCTTGTAAACATCTTTGCTAACAGTCATTGTGTCAGATATTTCAGATGAGTTTCTGTGGGTGTTTTGATGAATCAATGATGCAATCAAGGTTAATAATTTTGGCCAAAATAATACAGGCCAGTCTTTAACCGTTTTACATTAAACTGTTTTTAATGTATCGTCAGGCAGATCTTAATATATAGTAATATAATCTAAATATAATATCTCTCTGTTTAGCTAAATACAGTAAACCCACCATGAGCTCATGGCGAAAAGAGATCGAAGATGGTGGCCCTGCTGACCTTTACTGCAACGCTAGTGGCGGCTATCCAGCAGGAGCCATTCACTGGTTTGACAGCACCAACACCAACTGGACGACGAGCGCCACACTGAAGATCACAGAGAGAGAGGACAAACTGGTACATCTGTCCAGCAAACTGACCTACACCAGCATTGACTCGAGCTGGGCGCCTTTCAGGTGTGTCGTTCTCAACAGCAAATTCGTCCAAGAAGGAGAGGAAACGTTTCAACCCAATATAAAAGGTAATTACTCTTCCTGAACATTATGTATCCAGTAAGTGTGTCAAAAAATATAACATCATGATGTTTGAAGACATTTTCACGAAACACGACATGCATCACTGTGATTGGTATTTTTGTGGTACAATCACTTTTTTCAATTAAACATCTGCAAAACTAAACTAAGAACAAACAGCAGTAAAATTCTGATAAATGAACAAAAAATAAATAAACAATTTCTTCTTTTATGGTTCCATGGAACCATATCGCCACTTCCTGTAGTGTATTACAGTCTGTCAGAATGACCGTGTGGATCATATGAACATTATAGAGCGCTTTTTAGATGAAACAATAGAAGCCGTATCGCCCCCTACACTTTCTGTAATGTATTACAGTCTGTCAGAATGACTGTGTGGATCATATGAACATTATAGAGCGCTTTTTAAAATTCTTTCCAGTCATTACAGCCCATGTATGAGAGTGAATCACTGATCAGATTTTGTTCACCATAAATGAAGGAAGAATCTGCTCTTAGATCAGAACTCTTAAGACTTCGGTTCTTTCGCAACACCACCTTTTTATCAGATACCAAAGTTCTTGTCAGAGTAGATCTTTTGTTGTCTTTGCTGCTCTGTTACTAAAAGTGTATGTGTAATTATGCAACCTGGTGATGGGGCAGGGAGCTCAGTTTACAGTCTGATAAGAGAACAGGAAAATCAAACCCTTGGTTGTTTTGTAATTTACAGCTTTATGCAGAGCCTAAGTCCTTTAGCATTTTAAACCAGCATTTATTAGTTTGCTTTTTCAACACAGACTTTTCTCAAGAGTGTAGGCTTTCCCACCTATTTTAATTAAATGTCTGTGTTTATTTCCTCTGCTACACGTACTGTGGACAGAATAACTAGTGAAAACTACAGCCATGACGTTGAATCTGTTTCAACCCCTTTTCTTGCTGTAGGGCAAATAAAAATGAGCTGCTCTGTGATGTTGCATCAATATGAATTATTGCAAAGTATTGCAGCTTGGAGAAATGTTCACACATACGCATTATCTAAGCCATTTATACTTGGAGAAATGTAGCATTTCTGAAATGTAATGTATTAATACAATAAATGGTTAAATAATTAATGCCAAGATTTATTCATTATTATTTTTTGTATTAATTTTAGTTTTTTCTTTCCAGGTGGCAAATCAGACACATTTTCAGGCAATGACAGTGAGTTCAAAATGGAGACGAAATATGTCGCTCCGATTGTTGTCATCGGGTCTCTCATAGTCGGACTCCTGCTGGTGCTCCTGTTACGCGGAAGATGCAGCCACCGTAAGTATCTGCGTTATTCAGCACAGAGAGATTCGGTCGTGCCTGTATTTGGAGTGGTCAATAGCAAAAATATACTCAAAGCTGTTGTGGTATTTAGTTTTTGAAGAAGTGGGAACGGTGCACCAAAACACACCAAAACAGCAGGGCTACATTTTAAAAAAGGCTCCAAACTTTTGTAACTGAACAGGAGAAGAAAAAAAAATGGTAAAACTAAATCAAATACAATAAAATGTTGTCACAATGGGCGGCTGCTACTTGTTACTATATAGTCGATGCAGTTACTATACACAGATTGTTCTTGGAGTGATTGTTAACAGACTCCCTATAACTGGTCTATACTATTTACTTTATGATCCATGCAGGTGTACAGTGTTGTAGAAGCGTTGATCTTACCATCATACACTCACCAAAGAGTATCGTTACAGTATTTATCAAGATAACGATAACATATTGTATCATATCGTAAACTCCAAGCCTATAATCACAGAAGCTTTCCGTGACTGGGTTGTTTCAGTCTTGTGTAAGTTTATACTTCATTTTGTGAGTCTTTACAAAGTCATTAGTTAACACAGGTTAGTTTCGGACTGTCATTTTATTAAATTTGGTTTTAAATCTTTGTCTAAAAAAACAAGTAACAACTAACTACTGTGTACGTCACTGTAACTCAACGAACTGATCTGTAAACTCCCTGCTGAGGCGTTGCAACAGCAGCGTGCGCTGACTTGTTTTTAATAGAAAAAATATTTAGTAGGGCTGCTCGATTATGGCAAAAAACATAATCACAATTATTTTGTTCAATATTGAGATCACGACTAATTAACACGGTTACTCACTGACTTTGGAAACATCATTCATTTACTGAAGTTTAAAAAATAGTCTTTTTAACTGGATTTCCTTGAATTTTAAATATAATTCAACAGAAAAACTAATTAAAAATTTAAAGAAGTAAAATCCATAATACATAAATATTTATTTAAATAAATAATATACAAATAATAAGAAAAATTAATAAGTTCAGTCATGTTCTACTGCGCTTCCACAACCTACTTATAACTACCAAACATACATAAAAATAATAAATAAAAATAAATTAGACCAAAATAAATCAGATGAGTTTGGGCTTTTAGGGAGGGGGCGAAAGAACACTGCTGTAAAGGAAAGGGAGGCGCTGGATTTATAAAACATAAAAAATGAGAGGCACAATATTCATTTAATCACAATTATCTTGTTTTCGTAATTGCTATCCAGTACAGAAGAAAACAATGTTGAACCTAATAAAACTATGTCTGTTATTTCTTTCATTATTTAATTCCTCATGCAGCTTTTTTAAAGGGCTAAGCTGTGGGTCTGAATGCTCCGAGTTAAAACCACTGACTAGAGCTGTGTGGGCAAAATCTCCACATATATCATTTAGTGTTTTTTTAGCTTAATTACTGAAAAAAATGCTTTCTGTGTGGTTTCTGTTGGTTTCCCAACACTTACGCCTGCTGAGGTGCAGCTCAGTGTTAAAACTAGCTTGTGTGGTGCAACTCGTTTTGGTTTAGTAATGTACTGCTGGCACAACCGGCCCCTGAAAGGGACATTGTTTGTTTGAGGCACTGAGAGCCACTGCAAAGCTCCAAAACCAAAAGTGATTCTCACTCTAAGCTGGATTCTTGTGGCTGAGCCAGCACATAAATCTGCATTAATCTGTCTGGCTAGAGAGTTTTTCCTCCAGAAGCTCCTGCCACTGTCATCATGAAGCCACCAACAACGTGCAGTTATGAATCTGAAGAGGGTGTTTGTTTGAACTAGGGTTAGGGTTAGGGAACTTCTGGAAATGATTCATATTAAAATACAGTGCTAATGTCAGGCCGCGCTTTCACCGAGTTTTGAGACTTTGTGAGTGAAAAACTATGAGGCCACGTAACTCAGTACACATTTACAATGATTTAAATGATCCGTTCCACATTTGTTTTTAATCTCCAAAAAAGAGAGAGTAATTTTCATTGTTGACAGGCCGACAGTTGGCCCACATGTGTGGGAAAGCACAGATTAGGAGCCAGAGTGTTCAGCGAACTAATGCAGCTCAGCCTTTCTGTTTACAAAGTTATCAAGTAACCTCCACACAGAGGCTGCAAAATATGGACATCATACCTCACTGAGATTATATTGCTACATCATTTACAAATAAGGTGTATTGACTGAAAAATGATGTGTGTGAACACTGGAGCACTATTGAAAGTGCCTCAAAGGGTTTTTTTAGATCAATACCTTAGAAGATAGCTGTGTTTTCTCATCAGGGTTATTATAGTGAACTAAAACAATCACTAAAACGAAAACTAGCAGTGAAAGAATGTGTTTGTTAACTTTAATAAAAATAAAAACAGCAATTTCAAAAACATGAACTAAACCTACCATAATGTCCACTGCAAAACTGAAATGAAATTTCTGAAAAAAAACTGTAGTGTTAGTTTTTTCAGTGTGAAAGAGTGTTTAGAAGAGGAACTCTTCTGTGTTCGAGGAAACAGGAAGCTGAGCTGAGCTCGGTCGACTGCTGTGCTCACCATGTTCATCATAATGCTTAAAATACTAAAACTAAAACTAAACTAAGTGAAAAGTAAAACTATTACTTTTAAGAACATAAAAGCAAAACTTAAGACTAACTGAAACTAAACTAAAGTAAAAAAAAAAAACACAAAATGAAAAATCTAATAAAAACATGCTCTACAGTTCTGTGCTAAAGTTGTCAGACAAACGTTTGAACCTGTTTAGAATAAATAAGAAATAAACTTTAGAATAAATACAAATAAACACAGGTTCCTCTGCTCCTCACTGCAGCTCCAGCCTTTTCAAGGGTTTGTTCAATTTCGCCAGCAGCAAACCTGATTTAACTTAACAAAGGATTGATTAAACTGATTTCCTGAATGAAGAATTGATTAAACTAATGTAACTTAATGAAGGATTGATGAAACCGATTTTCTTAATGAAGCATCGAAATAAATTGATATAACTTAATAAAGGATTGATTAAACTGATTTAATGTAATCAAGGACTGATCCACCCGATTTCCTTAAAGGAGGATTGATTAAACTGATTTAGCTTAATGAAGGATTGATCCAATTGATTCCCCAATGGACGATTGATTAAACTAATATAACTTAATAAAGGATTGATTAAACCGATTTCCTTAATGAAGCGTTGATTAAACTGATTTAACTAAATGAGGGATTAATTAAACTAACTTAATGAAGGATTAATTAAACTGATGTAGCTTAATGAAGGATTGATTAAACTGATTTAGCTTAATAAAGGATTGATTAAACTGATTTAGTTTAATGAAGAATTGATTAAACTGATTTAGCTTAATTAAGGATGATTAAACTGATTTAGCTTAATGAAGGATGGATTGACTGATTTAGCTTAACAACGGATTGATTAAACTAATTTAACTTAATGAGGAATTAATCAAACTGACTTAATGAAGGATTGATTAAACTGATTTAACTTAATGAGGGTTTGATCCACCTGACTTTCTATAATGGAGGTTTGATTGCGCTCTTGAAAATAAAGGTTTCTAAATGGTTCTTGGCTCAAATGTAAAGTTTCAGAATTTTTTTTTTAAATTAGTATAGAACCTTTACATCATGTGGAACTTCTTTAAAATTTTAAAAGGCTCTTGTTTGAAAATGTGTTAAGCTAACACAGGGGCAGACATGAAAGCACTGTTTATTGTATTAGTATTTTTCTATATTTATATTTCTAATGTTATTGTTTTCCCTTAACATAATAAAAAAAAAAAACACCTTCGGCCTCCAAAAATAGCTGTATAATTTGCACAGTACTGTAGCTATAGACTGTGAAGAAGCAGGTTTCTAGCTGTAGTTAAGGCTATACATGTATACTGTAATGATGTGTAGATGTATTCATAGTCTAACAGTTTGATTGTGATTAATATTATTTTTATTTTTATTAATGACAGCAGCCCGAAGACCTTCTACTGTACCTATTCTGAGTATGTTCATTAAATATATGTTGTATTTCAGTATCTGTAACTTTGGTGCTGGGCCCCGTGGTTTCCTGGTTTCTAACATTCTTCTGATTTTCTGCTCTGATAAAATTAATATCTTCATGTAAAACAACATCTCTCCACTAAAATAACTCGTCATTGTTGAGCTATCATTTTGTTTATAATTTTCTCCCAAAAGCAAAATATCTTGAAGAATGGAAGAGAATTAAAGTGCTATTATGTAGTCGGGTTTATGCAGTTCCACTGGGTTAAAGGGGTGTTTGTTTTCGTGTGTGTGGGATGAGAGAGGAGTGCCAAAAGAAACAGCGTACTATCTCACAGCGCACTTTTCCTGTCCTTTATTTACTCTCGTCTTATCCTCTGACTGATGCCTTGTCCACTTTTCCTCCGGACATTATTGTCTCTTGGGTGGAACTGAAAGTCAAAGGATTTCTGTTTCCTTTGAAATGTTTAAATAATCTGATCACATATTCTAAGTTATTTTGTCCATATAGTGAATATATATATATATATATATATATATATATATATATATATATATATATATATATATATATATATATATATAAATATTGACCTTTGTTTTGTTTTATTTTAGGTGATTTTCGTGACGTGGAGTCGGGTGCTGCCGAGGATGTGACGAGAGGTATTTTTCATGTTGCCAGTTGTTCAAAGAGCTGCTCTAACAGGCTTTTGCCTGAACAGGTTCTAACAAGCACCATCTGATAACACTCCCGTAACACGCGATTTTATGTTATTCTACTAACAAAATAGGGTATTGTTTTGAGGTCAGGGTTGGGTTAGTGTTTACTCACTTTAACCCAACCCTGACCTTACATCGCTCTCCTGCTAAGCCGTGGCTATCTATCTGTAGTGACTGATGATTTCAGCAACACACTACTTCACAAGTCACTCCACAATTATTATTGTCAGACTGTAAAAACTACACACGCTGCAGATTCATACTGGATTAAAATCACTCCACAATTATTACCATCAGACTGTAAAACTACACGCTGCAGATTCATACTGGATTAAAGTCACTCCACAATTATTACTGTCAGCCTGTAAAACTACACACTGCAGATTCATACTGGATTAAAGTCACTCCACAATTATTACTGTCAGCCTGTAAAACTGCACACTGCAGATTCATACTGGATTAAAGTCACTCCACAATTATTACCATCAGACTGTAAAACTACACGCTGCAGATTCATACTGGATTAAAGTCACTCCACATTTATTATGGTCACACTGTAAAAACTACACAATGCAGATTCGTACTGGATTAAAATCACTCCACAGTTATTACTGTCCATCATATCTAACAGTCTGATTGTTGTTTTATTTTTTAGCCCTGACCGTGGAGGAGAAGCCGACCAAAGAAGTTACCGAGATGAAAACATGAATTTTCAAACGCGATTTGCAGTCGGCTACATTTGCAAGAAAATTAGCGCACTAATGAGACACTGCTGTTTTCATTCTGTATTCCTAGGACTGAGCTTCTTCTTCTTTAAAAAAAAAAAAAATCACTTCCTCACTCATTCCTCACCAAATGTCTTTCTCTGACATTTGTGGATTGGAGTGTGATGTGTGAGACTGTGGCCCGCTGCAGTTTGTCCTGATGTTGGTAGAAAAGCTGTTTCAATCAAAGCAAATGTAAAACTCCACTGGAGCCACAATATGGAAAATTCCTGTCAGTAACATCGTCCAGCCTGTGAGAATGATAGTGAAACAAATAGTGTGGAGTGATGTTTTGGTGTCCCTTACAGAAAAACCACGTCATTTTCATATTTAACCACCACACATGCAAAAACGTGATCATATGTTAAAACATGACAAAACATTAACACTGAAACTGTGCAAAAAAAAAAAGGATTGCATGTGAAAATTATGTAGTAACGTAAGTTTTGACAAGCGTGTGATTAGGGTTTTTTCACTTTTTTCATGTGATTATGTTTTTCTGTGTGTGACAACACGTGATCACGGTTTTGTGGTTTTTACAGCTCACGTGAAATATGTGACTTTTTTGTAAGGGCGTTTCAACTTAAAGTGTGTTTTAAACTGGCTTAAAATTGTGATTTCATTTAACTTAAATATAAAATAATAATCAGAACTATTAGAGGTTCAGTTCGCTCAAAACTTAAGGCAGACGGCTGAGTTTAATAAGTTTAGTAAAATCAAAACAGCACTTATATAGTGAGAGAGTTGAGGAAGATATTAGCTGGTGAGAAAATCTAAAATCTTTCCTTAAACAAAAAAAAGCATCTAAAGCTTTCTGTGATTTTGTCATTATGATTTTATCTTGTAACTTCTGCTATCGCACATCAATAACAAACATAGCAGATCTTCTGGTTACTTTTATCAATATTTTCACTTTGTGACTGTTACTTTAAGGGTAGTTTTTCCCGGACAGGGATTAAGTCTATGGACCACGGTTTTCCTTCTGGTGGAGAATCTTCATTCAAAATGCTGTGTAAAACCATGACTAGACTAGGCTTAAACCCTGTCCATTAAAAACTAAGTGCATCTGGCACTGAAAAATTCCAAAATCTCACTGTAAATTTGAAAATTAAGTTATTCAGTTAAATTCAATTATTGTGTGCTCTTCTCTGTTGATTGACTTCACTATGTTCTACACTATGTTTTATAATGCTAGTGTGCATTTAGTAGGTTGGGTGTGCTTGGTTTGAAAACTAGAGTATTTTTGGTCGGGCTTGTATGATACATAGGAATCGTGCTACATATTTAGCTGACGCAGCTGCGGCTAATTCTTTATCAGGTACTATACGTTGGGAGCCCTTTTAGATATTAGCGCAAGAATAGTAGAACCTCTATGGCTGCACTGCTTCAGTGCACTTTGCTAAATCTTCCCCAATAAAAATGTACCCAGTTTTCCCTCTTTACCCCAAATGTAATGTAATCGAGGTGATTAAATATAGACCAGCCAAGACATGTTTTGTGTCTGAAGTTTGCTTCTTTAGTTTTAGCACTGGTGCTATGAGGCAGCTAATGGAAACTTCTGCATGCATAATTAGCATTGTGCTAACCATCACACGCCTCAAAACGTGTGGAGCTGTTCAGTATCTCTAATAGGCTTGATTATAGGGTTTCTGAGACTGTATAAATCCATGTTATCTATAAACGTGGACTAAACTGAGGCGGCTGCTACTGGTTTTATCAATCAGGCATGCTAATGCACAATGCTAATTAGTGTGTTAGTGATTAGCTACATTAGCCTCATAGCTTCAGTGCCAGAGGAATGTCTTCCAAAAGTACATTTTTTTTTTGCCAAAGTATTGATCCAAAACCAGCTGCCCTGTGGAAAAAATACTTTGCTTTCTATTGGGAATTTGTTTAATGGTTAGCATTAGAGGCCTCTACTTTCCTGTGGAACACCTTTGGATCCTATTAGGAAACATCTGGAATCAGAACAGCTGTAAAACTCTCAGAATCCTCCACACTGTTATTTCAACCCCTCAGGAGAACACAGAACATCATTAATGACTATCAGACTCCACCAAGAACTAGCAGAACCTTTTAATGGTTTCTGTAATTTTTTCTTATCACAGGAAGACAATAACGGTAAAGCCGCAGCTTTTAGCACTGTAGGTGCCAAAATGTACCCTATTATAAGATTATTATTATTATTATTGTGTTAAAGCAACAAAATCTGTTGAGGGTAATATTTCCAACAGTTTTATGAGGAAGGAACATAAAATTACCAAGCAGTCTTGGGGAACATGCATAGCACTTTTACTGACCAGTACTGTCTGGAACGTTTTGGTACATTGGAAGCCAGTATGTAGAGTAGAGAGGGCGAGAGACGCTGTGTGGCATTTTTACTGAATGATCATATTGTAAATATTATGAACTGTAATATATCTACTCTTTGTGTAAACTGTTCCTATGATTGTGTAAAAACACAGAAAATAAATCAGTTTTGGGAAACTGAGGTTATTGTTCTGGCCTTTGTTCTCATTTACTTTCGTTTCTGCTGCCTGATCAGCCCCAATGCAGGAAGCAGGGCAGACTACAGGTGGGAAAATACAGAGATATCCAGCTCCATTGTGTTTGTATTAGATCACAACCATAAGTAAATATATAACCACCTCTGAGAATGTGGGCAAAAGGTCACACCAGTCATAATGAAACCAAAAGCCTCAAGCAGACGTGATCTTAAGGTGTTTTTCCACCTGGCTTTGGCACAAACCTGTTGAACCAATAAACCAGACGAAAGACGACACGGCAGTTCAGTGCTTTTTTTGTCAATAAACTTTTGTTTGCAAGTGAAACCATTAAATCTACACTCTGAAAAATGATGGTTCTTCTAGGGTTCTTTAGTAAAGGAAATGGTTCTATATAGAACCACGAACACTCAAAGAACCATCTGCATGTTTACACGATTCTTTGCATCATGAAGTGTTCTTCAGGCTCATACATAAAACATTGTTGAAAAGGGTTCTAAATAGCACCCAAAAGGGTTCTTCTATTGTGGCAAGCTTGATATGGTAACAATAGCAGAACCTTTTTGGGCATATTTAGAGCCCTTTTCAAAAAGGTTCTATATAGAACCATCTACAGCACATTCTCCATCAATCTGAAGAAACTTTTCATGATGCAAAGAGCCCTTTAATCATACAAAGTGTTCTTTAATTGTTCATAGTTCTATGTAGAACCATGTCCTTTACTAAAGAAAACTTGAAGAACCATCTTTTGTGTATATACCATGAACACTCAAAGAACACTTTGCATGATTACAGGGTTCTCTGCATCATAAAAGCGTTCTTCAGATTGATGGAAAATGTGCTGTAGATGGTTCTATATAGAACCTTTTTGAAAAGGATTCTAAATAGCACCCAAAAGGGTTTGTCTATTGTGGCAAGCTTGACATCGTAACAAAAACAGAACCCTGTTTGGTGCTACATAGAACCTATTTCAAAAAGGTTCCATATAGAACCAACTACAGCACATCTCCGTCAGTCTGAAGAACATTTTCATGACGAAAGAGCGCTTTAATCATACAATGGGTTCTTTGAGTGTTCATGGTTCTACATAGAACCATTTCCTTTATTAAAGAACCCTTGAAGAAGCATCTTGTTAAGAGTGTATATACCATGAACACTTAAAGAACCTGTTGCATGTTTGCAGGGTTCTTTGCATCATAAAAGGGTTTTTGAGATTGATGGAGAATGCTGTAGATGGTTCTATATAGAACCTTTTTGAAAAGGGCTTCTATTGTTACAAGCTTGACATTGTAACAATAACAGAACCCCTTTTGGTGCTACATCGAACCATTTTCAAAAAGGTTCTATATAGAACCAACTACAGCACATTCTCCATCGATCTGAAGAACATTTTCATGATGCAAAGAGCCCTTTAATCATACAAAGGGTTCTATGAGTGTTCATGGTTCTATATAGAACCATTTCCTTTATTAAAGAACCCTTGAAGAAGCATCTTTTTAAGAGTGTATATACCATGAACACTTAAAGAACCTGTTGCATGATTACAGGGTTCTTTGCATCATGAAAGGGTCCTTGAGATTGATGGAGAATGCTGTAGATGGTTCTATATAGAACCTTTTTGAAAGGGGTTTCTGTTGTTACAAGCTTGGCATTGTAACAATAACAGAACCCTTTTTGGTGCTACATAAAAGGTTCTAGATAGAACCCTAGAAGAACAGTCTTTTTTAAGAGTGTAATCAACATATCTGATGTTTCTGATTATGAGCCTGCTATTAGAATATGATAAGATCCAACCTATTTCTAGCTGTTTTCCTTGCTTCAAGAAGGGTTATCTAGTTAAACGTTGGTATGCGGTAGGCAGATAAGTGTTCTGGTACAGCCAGACACTGCAAAGCAAACAAAACATTAGCAGTGAAAGGATCTCATCACAAGGCCATTAACCTTTCTCTCTCTGATAAGACTGCATGTTTCACAGCACTGTGAGTGTAAGATTATTTTGTTTATTGTACAAACAATTAGCTTTATTAGGCCCATTTAGACATTTAACCTAATTTGAAATCATTTGCAGCACAAAACATCGGGATCACACATCAGGTTATTATGATTATTGTGTTGATAGTTATGATATTAAATCACTGTTTTTAAGCAGTTTCCTCTTACAAGGTTATTTCCGGGACTGTGAACTGGTATTTAGTGTTATTTGAAAGTTATGTAAGTGTAAAACTTGCTCACTTCATTGCCAGAATTCCCCTGGAGCTGCTTGTATACTGATGTAACTAAGTTAAAAACAGACAAAGCAGAATTCTCATTTTCTCTTGCTGGGTGAGCAGACATGGCTCATGGCTGCTTAAAGGGGAACTCTAACCAATTTTTCAAAATTCCTCCATAATCCTGTGTGCTTATAGCATGTGTGCTGCATACCTGAACACCTGAAAATAAGAGGAGTTTGGCAGATTATGATTGGCCGTAATACAGTAACAGCGCTCACTGGACAAGAATCAACTTTCATCATCCCAGAAATGCAGAGAGGCGGAATGGTCAGTGTAGGTCCAGGTCCGAGTACCTTCTGTTCATTTGATTTTCATTTTAAAAAACAGTATTGAAAAACGGCAAATGGGTCGAGTCTCGTTTCTGGTTCTGTTATTGTCAGTGGAAACATGAAGAAACAGCAGGTATGGAAGCTCAGAAACCACAGAAATCAGGCCTGTGGACCTGGTGTGCTGGTCGGCTGTGTTACTTTTTGCGTAGGTGTTTGTAGATTTGACGTGCATAAACTATATGTGAAAGAAATTATATAGGGAAAAACGGAACTGCCAACATTTGACGGGGGCTTCGCAATAATAATGGGTAAATAAAATACGAGCCTTTATTCCGGTCTCATTGTCTTGTTATTTGATTTTATGATTCGTGTTTGAAACTGTGAAGCGAAGCTATTTCTTGATTTTCCCACTGACAGTAACAGAACCAAAAACGAGAATCGGCCCATTTCCTGTTTTTTAATATTGTTTTTAATGAAAACCGAATGACCAAAAGATACACGGACAGCGGACCCAAACCCTCTGTCCCCGTTTGGTTGGGTAGGCCTGTGACACTGTGTCTGCGCCCTGAGTGGACTGCGTTATCATAACGAAGCCATTTCTGCTTTTAATCTCAGCGGAGAAAAGTGGAAAAACCCTTCTAAACCGAACCTCGGTGTCCTCGTCGCCACGTGCGCCGTGCTGCTGATGTTAACGCGGCCAAAGCGTGAAGGGTTCAGTAAACGTCAGGAGCTGAGGCACAGCAGCCGCTGGAGCCCGAGTGAAAGTGAAAGCAGCGCGAGCTACGGGGGTTTTCGTGTTGCTTTCACGCGCTCACTGGCGTCGCGCGCAGAGGATCAGCTCGCGCCTCTCTGTAAGTACGGACTTTAATTCATTTTATGAGCGTTTTCGCGCGCGCGATTTGGCAATTTACTGTCATTAGTCACTTAGACCCCAGCACTATATGTGCGCTGCAGTGTCAAAATTTTCTTATAAAAGTTTTTTTCCTCATGTGCTCAGTATGCCGGGAAGTCGTAAGAGGACGTGAATGCAGATTTACTCCACAGACATTAAACTGGGAGAGAAAACAGAACACGTAAAGAAGTGACTGTGAGAGACTGGAAGAGCAGTCTGCTCCTTCAGATAACTCAGGTGAGACGTTTTCTTTCTTGAGGTCGCCTGAGGGCAGGAGTGCAGTTGGCTTTTCATGTAATTGTCTACATTTGGAGCAGATGTTGCCTAAAGGCTGTAATGTAAAGGTTGTAAAGGGTTTACAGTGTGATATCATAACCCTACTGTGTCTGAGATGCTAAACACTTCTGTTTCCCAGCCGTGATGAGTTTGACAATAAGCTTTAATGTGTGCCATTTTGTGGATGCAACAATGCAGAAAGCAGAACTGTGTGGTAATACTGACCCAATTCATATCAAACAGCTGCACGGTATATGAGGAAGACAAAATGCCACAGAGCTTCTTCTGATTGGTCTAAAATGATGAAATGTTTTGGTCATCCCTGCTTAAAAAGCTAGGACAGATCAGCAAGTGTTCCATCTATAATAACCATGAACACTCAAAGAATGCTTTGTGTGATTAAATGGTTCTGTGTATGGTGAAATGGTTCTTCAGATTGATGGAGAATGTGCCATATATGGTTCTGTATAGAACCTTTCTGATAATTGTTCTATATAGCACCAAAAGGGGTTCTTCTATTATAACAAGCCTGACATCGTAACAATATAACAATATTAGAATCCTTTTTGGTGCTATATAGAGCCATACACAGCACATTCTCCATCAATGTGAAGAACCATTTCACCATGCACAGAATCTTCAATCATGCAAAGGGTTCTTTGAGTTTTCATGGTTCTATATAGAACCATTTTCTTTACTAAAGAAACCTTGAAGAACCATCTTTTTTAAGTGTGGAGTGCTGGTCTGGTTCTGGTATAGCTGACCTGCTGAAAAAAAAACATAGAAACCAAAATGTTTCCATTGGTTCCTGATGGTTTTGTAATGTATTCTGGCTTGTTTAATGGGTTGATATGACAAAGTAAAGCATCTGGTTTATCAGGTCACCACTGGCTGATTGAAAAAGCATCTGATGGTTTCCTAATGGGATCTAAAGATGTTCTACTGGAAACTAGTGGTCTCTTTTAAAAACCATTGAACCCCTGCATTCCAAACAACCTCAGTCTCCTAAGCAGGTGGAGTCTGCTCTGGCCTTTCCTATAAAAACACTAATGTTATCTGACCAGTCCACTCTATTCTTGAGAGGACAACCCAGATACTTATAAGAGTCCACTCTGTCAGTGTTTGTTCTCTGGATGTTCACTGGTGGAGGGAGGTGACCTTTGACGTATAGATCAGGAGGTGATCAGAAGGTTCCTCAGACACCAGTCCACAAAGTCCTGGGTCAGTTCTGTGTACTCTGTTGGTACAGTACTCTAATGGTTTCTCATGTACTTTTTGCTGCAGGTTGGTCAACCCAGCATGGTCATGCAGGGGTGACCAGCATGCCAGCATTAAAACACAACATATGCGGGTTTTGCTGGTGACCAGCCATGCTGGTCTTTGATGTTTTTTCTAGCAGGGATCTAACAGCAGGCTATACATTTAAATATGTTTAATTACATAATTTTAACCATTTTATCCATAAACAGGTGTTTGTTTTTGTACTGTTTACGTAAGTGATCAGTGATCTCATATGACCTTAAGACTGAATGTAATGATTAACCAAACCAAACCAGCCTGTGTTAAAAGTGCACTGGGCGTGTCTCATTTGCAACCCAGCTGAGCCGGATAAAAGAGGGATTCCACAGATTTTGGTTCAGATTTCTTTACAGTGGTGGTGATAGGAACCAGGGGTCGCCATGACTACAACACAAATATAGACAATTTATTTACTATCCAAAACCACCAGTGAACCTACACATATCTTCCGAGTTTTATATGGAATGTTGATGATGGAAAAATAGTGAAAAATCTGAAATAATACCTTTTCTTTGGGGACTATTTTGCCTCACAGCATTCTGCATGTATCCCTCCACCATGAATGGAGAACTATTTCATGTAACAACTTTCTGTGAGAGTCCTTTTAGAGGTGGACGTCTGGTTCCTGTCACCACCATTGTGAACATTTCTGATTCAGTAAGTTTCTATAGAACGGAGCATTTCACACCAAACCATTCTGAATGACTCTGTTTACGTCTTAACCATTTAATTATGCAGAAAATTTGAAAACTCAGTGGAGTTTCCCTTAACACCACACAAGCATTAGAAAAAAATACATATCAAAGCTGATCATCAACTACAATAATACAATCAAATAAGAGAAGTTTTAAAAAGGAATAAAAAATAAAAATGATCAGCTTAAACCTAACTGAAATGAAAATTAGGCAGCCAAAACAGAGAACAACTGTCAAATGTTAAAGATCAACTAAATGATTAAATAATACAGTGAATAACAAATTGTGATCAAATTGGTAACATTGAGCACATATGAGGAACATGAATGCTTATGAACCTGAAGGGGTTAAGTACAGGACTTTAGGGAAGAGGAAGTGCTTATGAACCACAAACACTCTGACGTGAAAGAACAGAGCCGGAAATGTCTGTTATTAATAGTATCTGTCTGTTATGATGTGAATACAGGTTTAGATGGAGGGTCATAAAGGTGCTTTTTTATCAAAAAGGCCTTTCTCATATATACAGTACTGTACAGATGTCTTAGGCAGCCATGAAAGCGGTTTAAAACTATTTATCTGGACTGTATAACACTAGAATATACACAGTAGTCAGTAGTCAGAACGTGTTGTGTTCTGTAAAGCTATGAATGTGTAGATTAGTAGAACAGAGGTTTGGTTCCTGACTTCTCTCTGCACTCCGGACATCACATGGCTTTGTTCAGTTCCGTTATCTGATTTAATTTAATAAAGTGTTGATTAGATAAATCTGGTACTGGACAGTAACTGTTAGTACTGGACATCCTCCAGGCGAGAGCAAGAAACACAGGACAATCACAGTGGGCTTCTTTTGTTAAAGATAGACTTTGTTCAAACAAATAGACTTTTATTTTCCACATAAACAGCTTCACAGAGCATTTACACAGATGGACTAATCTTTTGTGCTGTAACTGTCTTTCTAAATGAGGCCTCTGCTATGTGTGGATTTGCAGTAGCAGTTTTTGCTGCTGTATTTAGAGTTATTCAGTAAATCCACATTAGATAAACAAGCACAGGTGTGAACATCTGAGACAGGCGTGTCAAACTGGGAACCTTCCAGGCCAGAGTGTGGAGATTAGCATTTACTCTCATCTAACGCTCTAAAGTCAGTTCATTAAGGCCTTGCTAATTAGCTGATGAACTGAATCAGGTATGTTTAATGAGGCAGTGAGCTGAAGTCTTCAGAGTTTTAGCCTGCGAGGACTGGAGCCTGACACATGTGATCCAAACTGTATACATTCACTATAGAACATATACATTATACTCCAGGGCAAAAATGGGCCATTGACCAAAATATGTCTTTTACTGATGGTTTTGGCTGGTCAGAGTCCAGATTTAAACCCTGTAAAGAATTAAACACAAACTAGCTCTGCAATGTTTTTCAGCTGTTCGAAGTCATCAGTGCTGAGTGGATCAACACTGACTCTTCTTTCAGTAAAAGACTGTCTGCACATTTACACAAAAACTTCAACATTCAAAGAAATTAACGAAAAAAGCTCTTTCATATTAAGTTGCTTTATCGTTTGTTAAGACCATTAAAATCTTAATGTTTTTCCAATTTTGGTTAACAGAAGTGCCTAGGAGTGTTCATAACTATTTACATTCCACATTTATAATGTTGAATTCAGCAGTTTATCCAGGTTTGATTAGACTAATTTCTTGTTTTTACTTTATTTGACAGTTCTACAATCTCTCACTTAGTTAAAGGCACATAAAAACATACTCGAGGAGAAATGGATTGACAGAATAAAAGTCTCTAATGATGTAGTATCATCGGTGTGGTTAGACTGAGGAGTAAATGTGTCTTTGTCAATGCATTTTTAAGGAAATTACATTCCAGATGTGCCAGTTTTAACATTTGTGTCTGCCATCAGACCAAACAGTGATCTGATTACAGTGAAAGTGAGATTATAGTTATAGTGAGAGACACTGTGATGTTTTGGTTTGTTTCTCATGTGAGGCATGTTTTGTCTGTGTACAGCACGACAAAAGAATTTCACATAAATCACTGTACCTGCACATTCTATACCACCTGCGGTCTGAGCAGATTACTGTTTAGGTCAGTAAGTCTTTAAAAACTGGAAGTAAGCAAAAAATGGGCTGGTGACAGGATTATTTTCAGAGTTTGTGGGGGCCCGTATAAATCTAAGTTAACTTTAGATGTTCCCTGATTAGGTAACCTTACACACTTTAAATTAAGGTTCCTGAATGGTTCTTAGACATGTGGTTCTAGGTAAAAGCCTTAGATTTTGTAAAAGCGCTTCAGACTCACAGATCTAATTCACTAATATCGTTCCTATAATGGAAGAAAAGTATATGTACATATATTTGCTCTTATTAAAAGTTTAAAAGTGTATGCCTTATTATATGTGCAACATATGTGTTGTTTTAAAAAGATACAGTCAATTCCAGAATTATTGGCACCCTTTAAGAAACTGGGCAAAAACAATAATGTTTGGAGAATATGCTTAGTAATTATTTGATAGAATCATTCCTACAAGAATGTTGTTTATAGTTATATTTCTTGCAAAAACATATGGAGAAAAACTGTTGGCACCCCTAAAGAATATATTAAATCAAACCAAAAAATGTGCATCTTTGGGGAAAGAAAATATTTCTTCTTCTCGCTCATAACCTGAAAGAGCTCCATTGTAGTTGATGGCCATTTCCTGTTTCCCTGAGATATAAATATGAGGTCACACATGAACAAAATCCCTGGGTTAATCATTAGTGGGAAAAACACGAGATCTATCAACTCGGAGACAAAAGAATGTGGAGCTGCTCAGCAAATAGTTAAGCCAAAATATTGTTAAGCGCAGTTATGACGTTAATAAAGTCTGAACAGCTTGAAACATTTGAAATTTTGCCAGGTGGAGGATGCATGAGCACACTGCCCCCCACCCCCGCACTGTGAGGAGGCGGAGAGGAACC